TTTTAGTTCTTAAGATATTCTAATGAAAAAAAAAAAAATCTTATTTCTTGAAAATTCTAATCAAAAGGAAAATAGCAAAACAACTAAATTGTTTAGTCTTTTGTTCAAATCACATTAAATAAATAAAAACATTGCATATTCTTAAAATATCATATAAGAATTCTACATTATAAACTTTTGATGTTTTGAATACCAAAATATTATTTTTAGATTATAAGTGTTTTTATTTTTTAAAGCAACTCATGCCCGCGCATGCGCGGGCCAACTACCTCGTCTTTCAGTATTTTGTTAACACAACTAAAATCAACGGTAAACGTGAGTTTAATAAACCAAATGGTGCACTCGACCTCTATGCGCTAATGAAAATATAGAGTATAGACCTACGTTATATGTTCTCTGTTCTCGCAATCGACCTCCCTCGATACGAATTTGGTGTTTCTCAATCACATGTTCGATGAAACTCAAAAGTGCATGCATGTCGCAAAAACATGTTACTTTAAGCGATTACTTTATTTCATACCAGTGTGGTTTTACTTTGAATACCAAACATTTTGTATTTGATAGCAAACCTGTTCTTTGAAAAAAAAATATCTGGTTGTATATACTTTCTCTATAACCATATGACATGAATCGATAACCAGGGAGATGATGTGCAAAGAGCTTCAAGAAGTCTCTCCAACAAAAGACATTATCTTTGCACTGGTTGAAACTCGTGCCGTACCGTCATGGAGCCGACATGTCTGACGTCATGTACTTTGATCTCTCCTCGTTCTGAAGCTTACACACTTCTATCATGTTCGTGCTCACATCTCCCTCGATACGAATTTGGTGTTTGACAATCACATGTTCGATGAAACGCAAAAGTGCATGCATGTCGCAAAATCATGTTACTTTAAGCGATTACTCAATTTGATACCAACTACCAGTGTGGTTTTAATTTGAATACCAAACATTTTGTATTTGATAGCAATCCTATTCTTTTAAAAGATATATATATGGTTGTATATACATTAAAGACTCTCTTAATCCCAAAAATATTTGTGTTACAAATTTTCAATCTGGTTGTAGCCTCAGAATGTTATGTTATAGCCTAAAATAATCACCTTAATATTACGTTTCAACATTAGAAGGAGCAAAAGGATATATTTCATTTTGATAATGAAATCAATCAGATTACAAACACATTTCAATTCCGTCTTAGATTATCTATTTTTATTTTCTTATGTAAATAGGTCTTCGATTTAGTTTGTATGTCCAGCTCTATTTGGAACATAAAACGATTAAAATAAACAGAGCCTAGGAACTTGAGTTGGACGAAGAATTAAACTCTTAAGAACTAGTTTGTAAAAATAACAATTTATTTTTCTTCTGAAGCATGTTAAATTTATTCATCCGAAAACCGTTTTTACAATGAAATGCAACTTTAGTTTGAGATTACTTTTTTTAGTTTTGTAAATGGATTGTGTATTTTGGATAGGTTGGATAGATATAGCTTTTATGTATTTTGCTCTTCTTTCTCTATGACTATAACCATATGACATAATTCGATAATACAATAAGGAAGACAACCAGGGAGATGATGCGCAAAGAGCTTCAAGAAGTCTCTCCAACAAAAGTCCATGTCTTTGCTCTGGTTGAAACTCGTGCCGTACGTACCGTACCGGAGCCGACATGTCCGACGTCATGTACTTTGATCTCTCCTCAAAGAATCTCTTACACACTTCTATCATGTTCGTGCTCACATCTCCCTCCATCCCATGATTCACCACCTGCTCATCACCATAATTTACTTGTTAATAAAAAATAAAAATAAAAAAAAACATTTACTTGTTTTGGCAAGCAAGATATAAATCACTTGTGTAATTAGGGTTTACACTTTTACCATTCGCAAAACCAACCTGAAAGAAACCGTAGGTTTCGCAGGCCTCGGCTGTGGTTCGTAGGACGTGAGGTCGGTTAGGTCCAAGCAGCTCGGCGAAATCTATAATGGGAAGCTTTAGGTTTCGTTTTGGTTTCATGAGCTTGTCGAATTTTATGAAGATGTGTCTGTCATGTTCAGGCCATATATATTTTGTAGGCACTTTGGTCAAACCTTTGTCCCAAAGAGTCAAAGATATTCACACCTCTTTGGTATTTTTTGTTCTCTTCTTCAACCACCGGAGCGATCAACGACGGCGACATTCTTCTCCTTTACACTGCAAATGAGACATTGCACTTCAGGATAACTTATCCACAAACACGTAAACAGTTTCTCATTTATTTACAGGTTTTCATCTTTGCAGTTTTAGTAGAATTCTCTTTGCGTACACGTAAAAAAACAAACTTTTTTTTTTTTTTTTTTTTTTATAACTCTGGTATCCGGGCAGCCACATTCCCGATTAATCCCACAAGTGAGGTTCAGCGCCCCAAAGGATAAAAAAACACAAACTTTAATGAAGGTAAACTAGATCTAATAGACTATGGACACTCCGTCAAAACAAACTTTGCCATTCTATACAGTAAGCTTAAAAGAAAGAAGAGCTTCGTTTGGTGGCGGCATGCATGGCATATTTCTCAACTGAAAACATAAATTTTATATAATAAAAAATTAGATGACCTAAAAGAAACTAAATTGCGTTGCCACCTGCAAACCCATCTCAAGTCGATGAAGAAAGAAATAAAAAATAATTTAGAGCATCAAAAACCTGCGCGTATATGCGGGTACTCTCCTAGTATAAACAAATAGATGGACATAATTATAGCTCTCGATCCCCTCCTGCCTCCTGGTCACAAATGCGCAACAGCTTTTCACGTATAGGTTTAAAGGGATATGATAAATTAATTAAATAATTCTTATTTAAAAGGGTTACTAAAATTAAAATTAAATAAATTTAGGAGAATTCACATTGTAATGTATTATTAAGAGAAATACTATATGAAAAATGATGGGTTTTGATATATATATATATATATATATATATATATATAGTGATAATTATTAATTAACATAATAATCACATGAAATAACTTTTATTTAGATATTCTAGTTCTAATTGATTTGGGAGAAAACGCAGTCTCTTTTTGTCGGGTAAACAAAGGCACTCTTTAAAATAACTCAAATTTAAGACTGGTGTATTTTAATATTTACAAGCAGAATACAACTTAACAAATATCGTAATTTGATATTTAGAAGATGTATGTATATTTATATAAATAACTCGGATTATCCTTATTATAGAAAGAGAAATTTTATGAAATACACCTTTTGGGTGCAAATTTTCAAAACTACACCTATAGTGTGAAAATTTTCAAAAATACACATTTTTCTAATTTTAATATATGTTTGGGTTCACTAATCCTAGATTAAGGTTTAGATTTTGGGGTTTAAGGTTTAGATTTAAGGGTTCAATGTTAGATTTTAGGGTTTTGGATTTATATTTTAGGGTTTAGAGTTCTTTTACTCCATAAAAAAAGTGTAGTTTTGAAAATAAACACCATAAAAGTGTATTTTTGAAAATTAACATTTCAAAAGGTGTAGTTTTAAAATTTCCCAAATAGAAAAACAAAACAAACAAATGTGATCCAATCCATTATCCATGCAAGCAAAAAGTGCAGATGTTGGATACTTAAATAGATAGGTTCGTATTCGAAAGGTAATGTATATGCATTATAATGCATAGCATTCTTCGTACTGCACCTAACTCGGAGTACGTGGCCTATGTACGTAATGTGCGTACTTTTCCCTGTGGTTTATGTTTGTACTTTCACTTGCATCCTTATCATAATTTTTTTTTAATATATAAATACAAATATTATGGAATGAAAAAGTATAATATTATTAATTTTTTTTATATATCAACTATACGGTATACCGTATACCTTACTCCATCTAATACCCATTCGCCATTCGCAAACATATGTGACTATGACTGTACCACTAGCTGGAGTCTAGACCAAGACGTTGTCAAAACATTTTGTTATTAGATGGCCTTATTAGATTGCCTATGACAAAGACTAATGACCAAGAATAATTTCTGAAATATGTCACTAAATCAATTTTTATAAATTAAATGCCACAAGATTTATTCGACTTAATAATTTATAACAATACAAAAATAATGGCTCAGGTACATGGATTCCTTCCTATATTTTTCCTTTATTTTTTATACGTAATTGTTACTAAAATTACCATTGCACAACAAAAGATCCCTATAGGATGTTTAAGCATTTGAGTGACGAAAGGAAACTACTTGGCGCGAAACTTCATTCCTTGGATTGAGTCAACTCAATATGACTTTGTATATGTTGACTTTTACAGAATTCGCAAATCCATAAATAAAATTCATTAGTATAACTCCTGATATGTAAGAACGTAACCCGTGACTACTAGTCTACTATTATATGGTGGTGTAGATAGGACGATAAGTAAGTTGTTATTTACTGCCTCAGTTTAAAATAGAAATCAAATAAAGCAATCACCTCTAGTTAGTAAACTAACTGGGTATGTACTTTGAGACCAAAATATGTTTTAAAAAATTGGGTATATATATGCACTAACAAGATTCTAAAATCGTTGCTAAAGAAGTAATACATAATTTCTTCCCTCTGACTAATCGTTTGTAAGTAATTAAATATTCGTGTATGTAATGTTGAACTACCTATTTTTGAGTTTAATACTCCATTTGTTTCATATTAAGGTTTTTATACACATATTAAGAAAATAATAAATTTTCTGTTTTACCCTATATTTAATACATAACATTATTTGATTTTATCAATTATTGAGCTGAGATTATGGTAAATCTGAAAATTATATTAAAATTCTATATTGAAAATATAAAACAACACTTATAATGAAACAAAAATTAAACTCTAAAACAGCACTTATTATGAAACAGAGGGAATATGCTAAATCTTTTTGTGAACCGCCTTGATGGATTTTAAAATTTAAGATAGTTTAGGCAACGGAAATATCAGCTCAGATCTAACTTTAAAGTTATAAGATGAAAATGTGAGACGTTTCACCTGAAGTCGGCGGGAGAAGAAGGCCAATAAGGAAGATAAACAGGGAAAGGATGTGTAAAGAGTTTCAAGAAGTCTCTCCAACAAAAGAAATTGTCTTTTCTCTGGTTGAAACTCGTGCCGTACCGTAGTGGAGCCGACATGCCGGACGTCATGTACTCTGATCTCTCCTCATACGGAAGCTCAAAGAATCTCTTACACAATTTTATCATGCTCGATATCACATCTCCCTCCATCCCATGATTCACAACCTGCTCATTAACATAACTTCCTTGTTTAGGAAGCAAGATATAAATCACTTGTGTAATTAGGGTTTATATTTTTACCATTCGCAAAACCAACCTGATAGAAACCGTAGGTTTCGCAGGCCTCGGCTATGGTTCGTAGGATGTGAGGCCGGTTAGGTCCAAGAAGCACGGCGAAATCTATAATGGGAAGCTTTATGTTTTGTTTTGGTTTGATGAGCTTGTCGGATTTTGTTCAGCAAATTAGTTATCCCTGATGCTATTGCTAAAGCGGCTTTGCCGCATGTTGTAACTTCTCCGTTTGGAGAGTAAACTTGGTTCTCTATCTATAAAAGTTGTTTGTTCAAAAAAAAAAAATGTGCAAAAGACTACCAGCATTCACGTATGACTCAAACTCAAAGTAAGAAATATATATATAAAAGTGGTAGCTTATAATAAAGAAACCATAAAGAGAAGAACATTTTAAGTTGTTAAGGCAATATTGTCATGTATAAATTCAGAACTCCATCCACAAAGAAAAATAATATATACAAGAAATGGTAGTCAGAGAACATTTTGCACCATACAAACAATCACTCAACCACGCGGTATATTTTGTTTCCGTGCAAGTTTACCCCAAACCTATTAAACCATGAAGAGAAATAGTCAAGTCACATGTAGAGGCAAATGAGGAGATGAGTAAGGATGAGACGAAACACGTCAGAGACAGACTTTAAAGCAAACAACCCCCAAAACTATTAAAAAGTGTCATAGTGAGCTACAGAGGCCGTCCCTGAGTTGTTGATGGCCGCAAGCTTGCGGAAAAAATGGGCCGATTTATATATTTTTATTGAACAAATAATGAAATTTAAAAATTAATCCATAAGATATTAACTTTAACGCACAGGCTGGGAGTCGAACTCAGGACTCGGAATAGAAAAAAACAAGGCAACAAGCAGCTTCTTGCTTTGCTTGCTGCGGCTCTCTGGTGAGCTACACTTTAATAGTGATGAAACAAATTCCGAGGATAAACATTTCACCTTTAGTCCTTTTTGGGATAATCATTTGGTATAAACATTTTTTCGGCCCACCAATATTTTATATTAAAGATTTTATAAGAAAAAAGTTTTTGTATTTATTATACTAGAGTTAAAGCCTCGCGCAAGTGCAGGGTTGTTTGTGATAATTTTTCTGTTTGATTTTATTTATATTCATTGATTTGAAATTTTGAATTATGATGGTTATATGTTAACTTCCATGTTTTGGTTATATTTTGAGTTAACCCAACAATTAACACTAACAATATGATCAATTTTTTTATTAAGATATTAACACCTTACTTCATCTCGAGTTTTCTATTTCTATTTTTTAAAATTTGTAAACATGGTGTAGAATCGCAATTGCACTCAAAATATGATGAAAAACAAAAACATGTATAACTTCTTACATATATGCTTTGTTGTGGTAGCATATGACAATTGATTATTTTCTATTATGTTAGTTTTGTAAATATAAATTGTATTTTTGAAACAAACATGTCACCATTCTTAAAATTTTCATGCTTTTCGTTGCAATGAAATTTAAATAATAACTCGACTTCTATTTTTTAATAAAACAAACTCTAACTCTAATTTTTTATTAGCTTTTTACTATGTTAAATAATTTATATTGTACTTTTTTACTTGTAAGCACATTATAACATTTTTAAATAGGATAAATCCTTTGAGTTAAAACCTAACTATATACTATTTCAAGTTAAATATTTCTTTATTTCATCTCCATTTTATATTACAACTTTCTTTTAACTTTTAACATCAAGATATCACATACTTTATATTAATCAATTAAATTGTTTGTGTATTTTTCTTAGTTTTGTTTATGTGTAAAATAGGAATATATATAAAAAATATTAATACACATATATTAAATATCTTAAATACAATTAATGATTTTTTTGCTGATGTGGATAGCCTAGGAGGAGAGAGCAACTCTCCTATTATATACTACCTCTGTTTCAAAATACTTGTCATTCTAGTCTTATTTTTTTTATTCAAAATAGTTATCGTTCTTACTTTCCAATGCAAAATTTAATATTAAATACCTAGTTTAACCTTGATCTAATGAAAAATACTAATAGTGCTTTTTAAGGGTATAATAGAATTTTTAATATGTTTTACTAATCTGCGTGAAATCTCCTAGAAGGACAAGTAAAAAGAAACGGAGGGAATATAAGATACCAAGTTGTCACTTTCTTTCTATTTTCTTGTTTGTGTGTTTTCGATATTTATTCAAATGTTCCACCAAAATTAATGTAATAACTAATTTATAGTGGAATATGAGTCATCAAACTGTAGTAAGTTTTCGTGGAGTGAGGTAGTTTATCAAGGAGATGCCACAATAACTTATCAAGAAAAAACAATTATAATTAAATTGAGTTAATATAGTTGATTTTGCAGAAAATTAATATAATAGCGACAAAGAGGGTGTAACTTTAGAGGCATTTACTAAAGAAATAGTTCCTCAAGGAGATACCACAATCTATATTATAAAGAGAGAATAACTCTTTCTAATTGAATGACACCTCAGCAATTTTTTTTCTTTCTTGAATTGCCACGTACATTATAGATTATTGTAAATTGGGCTTTTAAAATAATATCTAACGTAATTGTAAGAAATATCAAAAATCAAAAACCCTTTGAATTGAATGACTAAAAATGAAATTTATAGAAACTTATAATCAGCTTATGCAAATCAAAACATTGAAAATAAATATGCATGAACGGACTATATAACAAATTCAGAAACTCTTATTCAACTTGTGTGTTGTGTTTTATAAAAGTTGGTGATACTGGATATTGATTGATAGTTTCAACTTTCAACGTATATATCCCAGCGATCTTTGAATTGTATAATCATGACTGACGTTTGAATATTGATGGATATGATATGTACGAAGTATAAAATAGTTTTCACTAGAAGTCTACAAGTATTTATCATTTCTTTGTTTGTCACCAAAATTTAACCATTTTGGATTGGGTAATAATAAGTCTAGAGAATCTAAGTTTAGGTCTTCGTAGAAACTGGGTAATAAGAAGTTAGAAATGCGTTGGTCACTCTGCTAATCTACATGTACCCAGCAGGTCCGCTCCTCTGTATTCAAGTATTCTCTTCATTTATACGTATAACTTTATTTTTATTATGTTTGGTCAAACATATGTATAAATTTATTAATTAGTAATACCTGATTTTTTAGTAATACATATCGAGTCTTAGTTGCTAATATAATGTTAACTTCAATGTTTTCTGAGAAAATATTACTCTTTCGGTTTCATTTTGTCGTTTAATAAATTTTGTTTCATATTATTTATTATTTATCATTTTTCATTTATTACAATATTTATTAATTTTATTCTTACTTTTTAACTCATTAATTATTCATATAAAAAAAACAAAATAGTGATTAGGGTTAAAACAATAAATTTGATTATTTTTGTAATGCGAAAAACATTTTAGAACGATAATTAAAAGGAAATAGAGGGAGTATAATTCTTAAGGTATAATCTATACATTTTATGTTCACCATTTATGCAGGGAAATACAATTTTTCATAATTTTGTTTTAGATAAGACAAAAACAATATAGAAATGTTTGAAAATTGATGCAAAAGTTCATATACATGTGACAAAACATTGTAATAGTCACAACCCGCACATCGTGCGGGCTTAGCCCTAGTTACTTACTAAAAGAAGAAGAAAAATGTATAATTAAATTGAGTAATACATAGTAGTTGGTTTTGCCGAAAAACTATAATAGTATCAAGAGCAACATTTGAACAAAGAGGGTGTAACTTTAAAGGTTGAGATAATCTTGTTCTTGTTATTTATGTCATACGTTCTCTCTGTCTCTTTGTATCTTTAGTAATTTTTGTGTCAATGTAAATAAATTGACTGGGAAAAGGTTAGAGTAAGCCAGAAGAAATCAAACATTATCATAGATTTTAAACCACTTGCATTGAGTGGAATGACACAGCCAAATCCTCAGGAGACACTAAAAAAAACTACTCTTTTGCATTTTTATGAACCTAAAGGAATCTGTTATAAACTCTCATACATATTACAAACCAAAATGCTTATCCACTAAAACAATGAATTGAAAAAATATAAACAAAAATGAGCAAAAACTAAGTAAAACATAAGCAAATTAAAAGTGATAAATTAAAGAGTGCCAAAAACTGATAATTACTAACTACAATTACACCAAATAAATCAACAAAACGAGGTAAGTATTAGAATTTTAAACTATACATGGTCTTAGGCGATGTATATGGTGTATGCAACATGCAAGATGACCTTTTTACTTATGTAGGCTGGTGAAAACGCTACCGAATATTTGCTATGGTTTTTTAAATCATGATCAATCATTTAGCTATTGAATGAAATAGGTAATTAAACATAAGTAATTTGACTATACATGTGTATACATAAATATGTTATTATTTGAAAATTAGATCCGAATATGACTATTTATATACTTATAATCTACATATTTGTGTATCTCTATATGCATCATGAATTCATGATATATTTATATATACGATAGTACACAATTCGATAGGTTTGATCGTGTGTTGTTCGTAGAGCCGGACTTGGTGCCCAAAATCCTGCTTGCTGTCGTGGTTTATATATTAAATGTCGGTCATGATTTGCAAAATGTTACTGTTGTCTAGCGGTAAAGTAATATGTTTAAGAGAACACGGGTTCGAACACTAGACCCAACTGAAATTGTGTTTTTTCTTTATTTTTGTTCTATTCTCATAAAACAAAACAGCCCTTTAACCTTTTTGGCTTGTGGCCTTATCAATATCAGGGACGGTTGTGGTTGTTTGCACATTAGTATAATGACAAATAAAATAATGTCACTCTTAGTCTCTTACAATGGCTATTTGTGTGTAAAACAATTTTGTGAGCAATTTTGATTTGATTGTACTGGCATAAACTTTAATGAAACATACATTCTAAGTTTCTAACGGACAACAAACTAACGATTAACTGAAATTGTGTTTTTTCTTTATTTTTGTTCTATTCTCATAAAACAAAACAGCCCTTTAACCTTTTTGGCTTGTGGCTTTATCAATATCAGGGACGGTTGTGGTTGTTTGCACATTAGTATAATGACAAATAAAATAATGTCACTCTTAGTCTCTTACAATGGCTATTTGTGTGTAAAACAATTTTGTGAGCAATTTTGATTTGATTGTACTGGCATAAACTTTAATGAAACATACATTCTAAGTTTCTAACGGACAACAAACTAACGATTAACTACAACTTGCGGGAGGATAAAGAGTTGTGTATTTTTTTATTTTTCTCTATAATATGACATAAATCTATAGCACAATTTAATTCACATTAGTGTTATTATAAAGTGGTAATTTATTTATCTTATACGGTGAATCTTGCGTGATTCAAGGAAATTTTTCCACTTGGGTTCGCGAGATGATACATATTGAAGAAAAGTAGCAAAATCGGTTTCCATATACTGTGGTGGGTTCCTTTCGTCGATAAGATGGGGAGATGGCTTCACGACTGACGTCAAAGGGAAGCTGTGTAGCGACGCCACCGATATTCTAGGCTTTATGGAATTTACCAATACCCTATGTAGCACGCTTTTGTACCTCCCGTTGCTGAATATCTACATATTTAATAACAAAATTGTTAGTTTAATTACTATGTTAATGATAATAACATAACTGAGGAAAAATAGAGATATATGTACGTAGAATTTTGGAAATTAACTTGATGTGGCAATCACTTTATATATCATTCTTGGAAGAAAAAAATAATAATCTGAATTTAACTTGTGTAGCGTTAAGACGATATACAAAAAAATAATATCCTTTTGACACTTTTGTATAAGAAGGTTTTATCGAAGGTTCAACAATTTTGAATTTAGTATCTAACTGTGAGTTAGAATATTCCATGCACCCTTGTTGTTATATCTTCAGATGTAAGATATAAATGATCTATTCACAATAAATAAATAAAATTAAAAGACTGTTGGATTACAGAAATGACAATTCTATCAACTGAATATAATGCAATTTAATAAATATTCAAATAAGAGTGATATAGAAAAGGTTTTCAAGAATATGATAATTAATACCTCGAGATGATCGCCAACGTTGACGACAAAAGAGCCAGGGATGGGATCAACAGTGACCCACTCATCACGGTAGAGAATCTGAAGCCCTTCCACGTCGTCTTGAAGGAGAAGCGTCAAGAAGCCGTAGTCAGAGTGCGGTGGCATCCCCAGCGTCAGCTCCGGCTCCGGACACGGAGGATAACAGTTCACCACAACCAACTGACTTCCCTCTTCCAACTCCTTGGCCGCCTCATCCTCGTTGCCGTCGATTTCAAGGCTCTCCAAGATGGCTTTCACCATCATCTCGAACAACTCTTTTGTCTCTTTCGCGTAGGTAGCCGCCAAACTCCTGTTGTAATTTTTTTTAAAGACATAAATTAGTTAGAAGATGTAATTATTTTCTTACAAAAATACTATTGAATGATTTATTAATATAACTCGTGATATGTAATAATGTAACCCGTGACTGCTATTATATGGTGGTGTAGATAGGACGATAAGTAAGTCGTTATATATGGACCTTTTCTTTGTTATTTAGTAGTTTTTAATTCCACACATCTTTGTAGATTCACAAGCCGCCACTTACTGTCTCAGTTTAAAACAGAAATCAAATAAAGCCATCGCCTCTAAGGACATCTCCAACAAGCCCTCAAATCCTCAAATTTTGAGGTTTTGGCATTCCAACAAACCCTCAAATCCTCAAATTTTGAGGTTTTGAATAGTGAAACCTTAAATTTGAGGTTTCACTATTCAAAACCTCAAAACTTATTTTCTCTTTCTATTTGGTCCTTATATTTATGGTTTTTCACAATTAGTTATACTAAACTTTAGTTTGAACAAAATTAAACATATAAAAATAAAATAGAATAAATGTTACCTAAAAACCAAAGTTCACTCAAAAGAAAATACATTTAAAAAGTTTACACAAAAATAAAAAATAGATTAAAGAAACTTAACACAAATTAAAGCAAATTACATAACACATAAATATTACATATTTTACAAATAGTACCAAAATATTTCATATTTTACATTATTATATATGTAATTTTATTATTATATCACTATTATTGTGAAATATGGTGTGTTGTCTAATAGTATAATAAATAATTATATATCAAATGTGTTTTAAATTTATTTATGAATTTTTATTATCATTAGTAATGTTTGTTAATATTAAGGACTATATTGCAAATTAAACAATTTTAAAGATTTTTTTGAGGATTCATTGTTGGAGCAAACTACCCTCAAATCCTTAAAATGAGGTTTTGCTCCCCTCAAATTTTGAGGGCTTGTTGGAGATGTCCTAACTAGTAAACTAATAGGGTATGCACTTTGAGACCAAAATATTTAAAAAACAAATTGGATATATATGCAGTAACAAAATTCTCAAAATTGTGGCTAAAGAAGTAATAATACATAAAGTTTCCCTCTGACTAATCGTTGATTATCGTTCGTAAGTAATTAAATATTCGCATATGTAATGTTGAACTACTTTTTTGAGTTTAATACTAAAACACACATGTGCTAAATCTTTTTGTGAACCGCCTTGATGGAATTTCAAATTTAAGATAGTTCAGGCAACGGAAATATCAGCTCAGATCTAACTTTATAGTTATAAGATGAAAATGTAAGACGTTTCACCTGAAGTCGGAGGGAGAAGAAGGCCAATAAGGAAGATAATCAGGGAGAGGATGTGCAAAGAGTTTCAAGAAGTCTCTCCAACAAAAGACGTTGTCTTTGCTCTGGTTGAAACTCGTGCCGTACCGTACTGGAGCCGACATGTCCGACGTCATGTACTTTGATCTCTCCTCGTACGGAAGCTCAAAGAATCTCTTACACACTTCTATCATGTTCCTGCTCACATCTCCCTCCATCCCATGATTCACAACCTGCTCATTATTATAATTTACTTGTTTAGCAAGAAAGATAGAAATCACTTGTGTAATTTAGGGTTTATAACCATTCGAAAACCAACCTGAAAGAAACCGTAGGTTTCGCAGGCCTCGGTTATGGTTCGTAGGACTTGAGGCCGGTTAGGTCCAAGGAGCTCGGCGAAATCTATGATGGGAAGCTTTAGGTTTTGTTTTGGTTTGATGAGCTTGTCGGGTTTTGTGAAGATGGGTCGGTCTTGTTCAGGCCATATATATTTGGTAGGCACTTTGGTCAAACCTTTATCACAAAGATGTTTCACACCTCTTTGGTATTTCTTGTTCTCTTCTTCAACCACCGGAGCTATCAACGACGGCGACATTCTTCTCCTTTACACTGCAAATGAGACATTGCCACGTATATGCATCAATAATCAATAGCAAATATACAGAGAACTTACAATCGAACAGTAACTCAGGAGATGTATGTTTTTAACGGAGGATGTATGTAAAATACCTAATGGATCTTGATGCTCTCGTGGGCAATATGCAGATAATATCTATGTATATGTAAATGCGATTATTGATGTTTGAGGAATTGGTAAGTCGTGGTGGGTTTTGCATGTTGATGGGTGTAGGTATTTATATATGTGCGTGTTTGATGAGACGTTAATAGTCAAGAATTGATATTTTGACGAATTAAACCAACTTTGGTATTGTTCTGAGTCAAATCCTTGGAGACTGACTTCTTCTTCTGAACTCGTCTCCTTAGTCCTTACCAAACAACCGTTGACATATTATTGGTATTAGTATTCTATATCAGTTGGACGATAAGACCACGAGATGGTAGGGTCTAGCTCGCAAGAATATTAAATACATGTGAAAATGATACAGAAAAAAAAAATATATATTACAAAAGTCTACCTAGTTTATGTATTTTGTAGTTACCTCCTAGAATTTAATTAAAAAAATGTTCGAGATGTATTTTTTCAAAAGAAATATATTATATATAATGTTTGCCATTAATATAAACAAATAGATGGACATGATTATAGCTCTCGATCCCCTCCTGGCCACAAATGCGCAACAGCTATTCACATAAAATATTTATCAGAAAAGAAAAACAAAACAGCTATTCACGTAGGTTAAAGGGATATGATAAATTAGTTCAATAATTCTTATTTAATAAACTTACCAAAATTAAAATAAATAAATTTAGGAATTAGTTCAATGATTCACATTGTCCTGTTTTATTAAGGGAAATATTATATGACAAATAATAGTTTTGATATATATATAATCTCAGGGGAAAAAAATTAAACTAACTCCAACTTAACTTATACGCAAATAACTTGGTACTCATATAAATTGATAAGTATTTTATAAATGACAGTAAACAATACATACACAATGATTGTCAAACCACATATTTATATATTGTAGTTTAATTATAAGAAAACTATTATGATTAGATAGAAAGTTCCCAATAACAGTATAGTAGTATACACAATACTAGTTGTCAATTAACATATTTATTAACACTTATCTATTTTAATATTTACAAGCAGAATACAACTTGACAAATATCGTAATTTTTATACTTAGAAGATGTATATATATTTATATAAATAACTCTGATATCCTTATTATAAAAAAAAACAAATAAATGGGATCCAAGCAAGCAAAAAGTGCACATGTTAGATACTTAGACAGTTAAATAGTTAGATTCGTAGTCGAAAGGTAATGCAAATGCATAGCATTTTTCGTACTGCACCTAAATCAAAAGATGTGGAGAACGGGCCTATGTACGTAATGTGCGTATTGTTCTTTTCCTTGTGGTTTATGTTTGTATTTTCACTTGCATCCTTATTATATATATTTTTATTTTTCGCTGAAAGTGGAATTGTATTAAATTGTAGCTCACCAAGAGCAAAGGTTCACAATGAAATGTTTTAAAGGACTAAACTCAAACCTTGGGTAAAAATCAAACCGAAAGATACATAATCCGATTAGCAGCAAGACTGCCCAGACCAACTTCATAGTTCCACCTCCATTGAGTACCTTTTGCCTTATACGTCAGGTTTTCTCGCTCTCAAAAAAACTTCGAAGCCAATCTGGTGCACCATGAGCCACGTAAGACTGCAGTCTATCACCCAAGATGACACTCTTAGCAATCTCTGTGGCTCCAATGTTAGAGCTCGGTTCCTCATAACTAATGTCCCATCCAATCTTGTCTGTGGTGAAAGTCAATAAGCCGGCCACATGACCACGTAAGCCTGGCCATTGGTGTGGTTCATACAATGCTTTAATGAGCTCCAACGTGGTTCCTGCGAATGTAACATTTTGGTATCTCATATCATGCATACTTTGTAATGCCCATTCCCAGCAATTCACCTTGGCATCCTTACTATAATTCTTTATATATATATATATATATATATATATAATTTTCGTTTCGAATAAACAATTATTAATTTCTTTTATCAACTATACGGTATGGCATACACATTCGCCATTCGTAAACCTAGCTGACTATGTCACCATTCCCATACCACTAGCTAGAGTCTAGACCAAGACGTTGTCAAAACATTTTTGTTATTAGATAGCCTTATTGGATTGTCTATGACCAAGAGTCCAAGACTAATGACCAAGACAGATTTCTGAAATATGTCATTAAATCAATTTTTATAAATTAAATGCCACAAGATTTAATCGACTTAATTTATAATAATACAAAAAGAAAAATTGGCTCAGGTACATACATGGATTCCTTCCCTATATTTTTCCTTGATTTATATACGTAGTTGTTACTAAAATTACCATTGCACCACAAAAGATCCCTATAGGATATTTAAGCATTTGACGAACTTGGCGTGAAACTTCATTCCTCGGGTCCCCGTTGGGTAGGGATTGGGTCAACTCAATATGACTTTATATATGTTGACTTTTGAAGAATTCGCAAATAAATAAATAAAATTCCTTGCAATTCTTTTAATATTTATTTACGATTTCTTTAAATTACAAGAGTCTTTTGATTTTAATTAAATTTAACAGTTTATCAAAGGTAAAATTCGTTATTGACAAACAAAAACTTGGTCAAAATAGTGAGATAGTGTTGGCATTTAGCAATGTCAAGGCTCGAACTTAGAGCAACAACACTTGGTGAGTTTTAGCACACCAAAAAAACAACACTTGGTGGACAAACTATTCAGCTGGAATAAAAAGCATCTTGTAAAGATTAGTCCCTCTCCTACTCTAAGAGCTAGCTATGACAAACCTTTTTTTTTTTTGGAAAAGGGCCGGCTAAGACAAACTTACCATTTATTGTTTGATAATGTTTGCAAATAATGAACAACATTATAAAATTAAGTAGCAAAAATAATTTGGTTTCATCCATGCATTCCAGCTGTTGATGACAAAAAGATACGTAATTAAGATTAGCACATCATGCAAGTGATCTCGATTTTAATATGAAAACATATTTTCATACAATATTTTTGGGAGATTGAAGATGAATTTTGGTCCAAGTAACGACTTTACAATATAATAAATCATTTCCCATTGAGTTATTAACATCTAATGAAATATAAATAAATTATACGTGAGAATTAGTATCGATTATATATAAAAGTCAAACGACGACATCTTGTACATTGGGTTGGTTTTAGGAAACCCACGTCACACCTATATATGGGCACGTAGCTAACTACAATATTGAACGTAAGATTAAGCCATACTTTTGTTACAAAAAGTAATTATTTATGCATGAACTGAGGATAACTAAAAAAAAATGTATTTATATGCAGATGAACAACAACTTGGTTACTAAATAAAGATATGAGTTACATCAAATAAATGTTGGAGTCCAGAACTATAGAAGGATTCATTTTTAAAATCTAAGAAAGAGTTAAGTGAGTTGGCAAAAGAAGTATATTAAAAGACAGTTAAACCTTGCGACAGAACAAGTAGAGATGCTACGGACGACCAGGCCTCGAAGTCAAGGACAAAATAGAGAGTTTAAAATTGAATGATGAAAAGTAATAAAATATCTCCATGCATTCCGTCTTTTTCCTCACCATTCGGTGCATTGGCTTATTTAGGCCACGTCAGGCTCTCTATTTCTTTATATCATCATTCCTTTGCATTGAATTTTAGTTTCCAACGACAATTTTAGCTCTTCTATAGTTCATTCTGTTCATTTTCCTGCCAAGTCTTTTTCCGTCGACTATCTTAGCCAATACCAGGCAAAGACACATTGGATTAGAATATATATATACTTAGATGATATTTTCATAATCGATCATTGTTTCTTAAGCAAAAAAAAAAAAAAAAAAAAATCACAACAATAAAAGAAAGTCATAACCATGGTAGCCTTTTAAGTTTTAACAAAAAAAAAAAGTCATAACCAAGGTTTATACAATTATACCCAAAAATTTCAAGGCAACATTTGTAATACCAAATCTTCTAAGCTATTGACTTCTAGCATTAATCTGTTTATTAAAAATATTATTTGTGATAGTTATCTCAAGCATCGGGAGAAGATTGTGAGACACTTATATATAAGGTATTACACGTCTTGTATGAATTACGTGAGCTTAATGAAAGAGTAGATATCAGAGACTGTATTAATTAATTCTCATTGTGACTTAGCAATCCTCCAGTTAAGAAGAAAATAAAAGGAATCCGTGGACCTTTCCAAGTCCGATGTAATAACAATTGCCTAAGTCAAAAGTTCGAATCGTATATTTTTTCATTATTATGTATAAAGTCAACTAATATAAAAATTATAAGAGCTATGGACATATTGCTGACGAACAGTTGCATCCGTAACGTTACTCGAACTATTTTATAAAAGTGACAAGGTACGAATCAACCAATTTCATGTTCAAAACTTTGCTTTCAACCATTTCTGCATGGTGAGATCTTAGATAAATGAAACTTGGCTGTCAAGTTTAATAATATACCATAAAGATACTGATGTTCCTTAACGGAAAATTTACCGTGTAGTGAAAAGTTGCAAATCGTTTCATGTATATCAATCAACTTGATCGATTGAAGCAGCTTAAGTGCTACTCATAGCATGTTTTTTTATCGTTTCATTATCTTAATCTACCTAAATCATACGAAATAGTTCTACAAGTTTAAAAGACACATGTTAATACGAAATTTTAAAAAAGTGATTGCGCAAAAATCAAAATAACAAATTGGTTTATATAGTTTAGGAAATTGTAATGGGCACAAGTATTAAGCATAACATTGTCAAACTGTAATTGCGATTTAGGGCTAAGATGTTTCAATCGGAAATGTTGGATAAGTCTGGCTGGTTTTTAGAGTTTGTTAGAAAGAAATCACGATTAAGAAGGTTACACGACGGGTTTGACCGATTCAAAAGTGAAGTTCGTTAAATACGTTAACCAAACATGGGAATGTGATCTTTTAATTTGGCAAAGTGGATGCTAAGTTTGAGAGGAAAAAAAAATACAGTTTGAGATAATTTTTGCTCTTTGTTCTTATAATTTGCAAGTTCATAGTTAAATCAAATATTTCCCCTCTTTTATCATCATCATTCTAACCTTTCTGATCAACAAAAAATTCAAGATGATAAAAGAATTTTCTCATAATAATGATAATTTATTTATTTATTTATTGAACAACTCTCATAATAATGATAATAATAGGCATTTTTCTTAGTGTTAATTGTTCTATGTGTGTGTGTTTTTTTTTTTTTTTTTTTTATTTTATCAACTCTGTTATTTTGTCCGAATGTCATATCATATATGCTTTATATGTGAAATGTTGATTTATAGAAGATTGATCAATTGAGTTCCTAAAAACTCATTGATAATTTTCGAATGTGGCCGATTCATGACTTAAAAGTTAAAACTAGACTGAGTCGTCGTAAGTTACGCGGTGTTTTCTCCTATTCTAAAAACATCAGTACGCGGTACTCATTTTCAAAAACGATACAAAAAGCCAAAAATGAAAAGAAACGATCAATGGTAGACCAGCATGCTGTTTATATCTAGAAACCAAAAACGACACAATGTAGCACAATATAGTCAAAGATTTGACCATTGAAATCCGACAAGGCTGCTGATTCAAGGTGGGGTTTTAAAAATCTGGCCAAGTCCGTAAAGGGAAATAGTACTTCAGATGTACTTTGTGGCCCCAACGTGCTCAGGGCAATTAAAAACCTAATCATTCATAATTTCATATCGTTTTTCTCAAATTTAATTATTTTGTTGTTCTGTTTATGGTTTTTTTTTTAATAGTAAGTCGCGTTTGTATTAATGAGAGACGACATCATAACAAATGCATGCATGATCCTTAAATTATTGCTCAACTTTATTAGACCCTAACTAGTAACCACTACTAGTAAATTTGATTTGATTGTTGTGCAACCTTTATTTTTTTATTTTTTTATTCATTCACAAAGTAAGAAACAGGAAATAAAAAAACGACATCTCCAGCCACGGAATCCCTGAATTACATGTGGTGATTCAAGAGACATGAACTAATTGAAAGGAATAGTATAATGGATTCGCAATATGGTTTCCAAATAAATAATCTTGTATTCTATGTTCTCTGTCATAAAAGAAGTACAACACATTGTATCAATAGAAAATTATCGTCTAAGAGAACACATCTTATCTACTATATAATATACAATTTGTAGATCACATGTAGGGGAGAATGCGAAAATGGGGTTGACAAATACACTGTCAGCCATGAAGGAAACATAAAGTTCTAGCAAACACGTAAAAACAGTATCTTCTAGAAATGCTGAAATTTTACACTAGTTCGTGTAAAAGCTAAAAGCCTAAAACAACTAAAAACGTGTGATCTAGTGGTTTGTTTTGTTCGAGTAGGTAGAAGACTCGCTTTGTAGATCAAAGATAGGGAACGAATTTCACCGTCAGCAAAAACTTATGTGACTTCTTAATATTGATTGTAAACGTCTCTAGTGATAAGAATATTAAAAAAAAAAAAAAAAAAAAAAAAAGATAAGAATATTTGGTTTTCTAAAACTTTGGAGAATTTTTGTGAGTCTAAGCTAAAAATAAACGATGGTAGATTTTTATAGCATTTTCTATAATTCGATGTTATGGATTACCACTAAAATTGGGCCGAAATAACTCACGGGCCAACAATAAAGGCCCATAAGTACAATATGTCAAACGAATACGAATTAGTCACCACTGTCGAACAAAGACGCTTTTTCCCAAATCAAAAACTCGCATATCGCCGATTTGCCCCAGCGGTTGTCTTTCACTGAAAGCTTCGTTAGATTCTCGGAGCTCAACTCCAATGACGGCGGAAACCGGACAATCCTCTAATTCGAACTCCTCCGATGATGCATGGGCCAAACTGGGTCAGCCTCTCTCTCTCTCTGTTAATTTTTTGAATTTCAACCAAATGCTGATCACGTCTCATTATACTCCATTGACCTTAAACGATTACTCATCGTTCTTCTCTTTTCTCTCGTTCCCTGTAAAACTAAGTTCGTTACTTGTAATTAATTTTTGATACTGATTTCTGCTCAAAATTTGCTAGTTCCCTTGGACACTCGGTTCTCAGACGTCGAGATTAAGTGCGATGATATGGTAATCTGCTCGGAGATCAAACCATCTTCCTCAGAAAGACATGAATGGTGCAGAATCACAAAGAATTTGGGTCCAGGCTCTGCCACTATACATAACAAGAGGTATATTCCCAATAACTAACTAATTAGAACAAAATAAACTCTTGATTTTACGTTTTTTTTATATTTCTGTTTTGAGTGTTGGTGTTTTCGTTTACTTTCACATTCTTTCTTAATTTGGATTTTGTTTTCGCCTTCTGAATGTTTGTTCTTGCTTAGCTCGGATGCTATACTTGTTGATGATGCTATCATCCCGAAAGATGGAGCTGTCGATATCATTAGTGGATCTGAAATTGTTCCTGGCCCTGGAGGACAAGGTTTGACCTGTTTGTGTGGTTTCTTTGTTGGAGTTTGATGCTGAAGTTACTTTAAAGAAGACACTAACTTTATAAATTTTGTAGGTTACTTGCAGTACAGATTTACGGTAATGCCTGCACCAGAATCAAGAACTCAGCTATTAAAGGTGCTTTACGATATATACTAGCTCATAGTCCATAATTCTCGAATCTTTTGCAAATTTAAGGTTGAGTTTCTTTAGCTATCTCTTTGATTTTTGCTTTCCAGATTTCTGTAGATCCCGATAATGCAAAATGCAGTATCTGCTTAAACGTATGGCATGATGTTGTCACAGCTGCACCTTGCCTTCATAATTTCTGGTACAATTCTCTTCGGTGACAGATAATATTACATTCACTATATTGTTAATTAGTGGTTGATGTGATTTGTTGTGCCTGCAGTAATGGCTGTTTCTCAGAATGGATGCGGAGATCGGAGGCAAAGCATCAACATGTGTTATGTCCACAGTGCAGAACAACTGTGCAATTCGTGGGGCGAAATCATTTTCTACAGAACATACAAGAGGTAGAATTATCTCTTCACTACAAGCATTTTGTTCATTTACTTATATATGACTGTTCTCTTTTCCCAGAAAAACCTTTTCTTTTATGCGTGTGCTTCATTTGCGCTTGAGCTTTAGGTGACTATTTCAGAGCTTGTTATGTTAGGACATATTGAAAGCGGATACAACACTGAGGCGGCCAGCTGAAGATATCGCAGTGCTAGACTCATCTGCATCAGTACAATCAAATCTTGTAAGTATTTGCTGCAATTTGGATATATAAAGCCTTTTGGTTATCAGGATGAGTTTGTCTTGCTGCACATTGACATATTGTTGTAAGTCACTAATGAATCATTACAATTGACTTGCATTTAGATCATTGGGAGCAAGAGAAAACGTCGTTTGAGTACTTTCTCGCCCATAACTGAAGAAAGGGATAGCGTACGTTTTCAATGCCCACAATGTGGTAATATATTTTTAACTTGATGCTTGCTTTACGTTCTTTTAAATAATGACCTCTATTATTTCGTATTTTTCAGTCCTCACAACAGCACTCTTTAATTGTAACTTTAAAATTTACTATTGATTGAGCTGATTTTCCGGATAAGTGGTGGGGTAAGAACCTGAACTTGTACTGAATTAGTTGATGGCAGTGGAACTATGAGACTATGACTATTATCCTAGTTTATTAAGAGTAAAATTGATTCAAACGAAACCAAAATTAAACTGACTAGTCCTTGTTGAGAAAGAATGTATTTGAAATCTAACAAAGATGAGGAATAGAGGTATCATCGAAAATTGCTGTCGTTGATTGGTTTTATCTGTTAGCTTTCCCGTCTTACAAAAGTTTGTTTATTTGTCAGTTGCTAATATTGGTGGTTATCGGTGTGAACGCCATGGTGCACATCTGCAATGCCACCAGTGTAGAGGAATGATGCCCTTTAGAGCCAATCTTCAAGTGCCGTTACACTGTAAGTGACTGTACATATTGCTTTATTTTGCATTGTTCACAGTTTTAAATAATCCACCATCTAGCTTTTAATGGCGTTGTAAGTTCATTGTACAATTGCTTTCATTTTCTCAGCTAAGAATGTTTCTATCAAGTGAATGGATTATTGTATGTCCTGTTGCCTGTTGGTAACCAACTAACCATGTTTTGTACTGATACTCTTATGTGTCATCTGGACTCATGTGACTATTTTTAATATTTAAACATGTTCAGTAGGAAAGGAAGCTCTTGTATTTTATAATATACATATCTATACACACATAACTCTAGTTTATTGCAGGCATGGGATGTGATAGGCCGTTCTGTGGTGCATACTGGAGTTCCGAAAATGTTACACAAGGTCTATCTACTCCAGTCTGCAGTCGAGAAACTTTCAGACCTGTAAGTTGAGCTATGATCTAACCAATATTATCTTATGTTAAGCACGTAGATACTACTGCATGTTATATAAATATTGGTTTGATTTTCGATAGAAACTAATCTCTCTAGATTTTGGCTCTCTGTCATGTATCTATCATACGTAATGTGACTTGTCTTAGGGTTTCTTTTCTATATATCTATGAGTTATAAGCTATAAAATAATTCAAGATTGTGTTGTGTATTGTTCTTTCAGTTTTTGACATTTACCTTGTGGTTTCCCTTCTGCTCCAGTCACTTGCTGCTAATGTTCACAAGATAAATTTTTTTTGCAGATCTCGGAACGTACAGTAACAAGGATTCCATCCACAACCCATGAAATGAATCGGCATGAACAAGATGTAAGGAACGTTCCTTTAACGAACAATTTATTGATTTCTCTCTTTGTTTTTTTTTGGTAACATTCTATGTGGTCTTTGTAGATAACACAAAGATGCATTGTCCAGATGGGCAAAACTGTGCAGGATGTTGCAGCAGAGTGGTTCACTCTTTTCAACAATAGAGAAATCGGTAATCTTCAAAGCTTTAGCACAAAAAAAAAAAAAAAAAAAAAAAAAAAAAAAAAAAAGATTAATAAAACGTTAGACGTTTAAAGAAACTAAACTTGATTTCTCTCCTTGACCCCTACAACGAACCACAAAATCAAAATCTATTATTTTCATTTATGATATGCTTATCATGATGTCATTTTATGTAGACTGCACTCGAATGCCTCTCAATCATGCTGAGACGATAACTGCATCAACACATGTTTGCAAGTAAGTTACTTACTAGTCCAGGGTTGTGAATTCTTCTGATTCTTTCTTACTCTTGAAACAAAAGTATTCAAATTGCACCTTTTAAAGCATATGTTAAATTTCATTGATCGAATGTCTTTTTAAATGTTGTTTCCATGGCAGTGATTGTTATGACAAGTTGGTGGGGTTTCTTCTGTACTGGTTCCGGCTAACACTGCCTAGAAATCATTTGCCGGAGGATGCAACGGCGAGGGAAGATTGTTGGTACGGATACGCGTGTAGGACACAGCACCACAACGAAGAACATGCTCGTAAACGCAACCATGTTTGTCGTCCTACCAGAGGGAACCAACACTAATCTGCAAATTTCATCTCTTCTCTTTTTTTGTGTAAACGACTAAACTTGCTCTTCTATGTATGAGTGCGACAAACTACATTTTAGTTTTGCTTGAGATTTGTTAACAAACCCAATTTAAAGTAACAAAAGCTTCGTTGCTTTCTCTTTTACTTCTGTGTTCTCTCTCGTGTTGTTCTTTGTCCAGTCCCCATAGAAACGGAGGGAAGTGATTGTATATAAAAGCATCGACATTGCATTTCTTTTTTTCTTATTGTATAACTCTCACAAGGAAACGATACGTGCAAATGTACATTTACATCTGTATAAAGTTATTGGTCATACATGAACCGATCTTGTAAAACTAATGGACCGTGTGTATAACGAAGGCCCACTAATGAAAACCATGACGCGAAGAAGATTACAGCATTTTTCATTTTTTTCTCGTTGAAAAAAAAAAAAAAAAAAACGATTCAAAAGCAATTTGTCGATTTCATCATCGATTACAATTTTATCTTCTGTAAAAGTTTGTCGATTTTGCTTGTGCGGAAACTAGAGTTTGGATCTTCTGATTTCGATCTTGCTTTCGTTTTTTTCGGAATCCTTTGAGCGGATCGGTGGAGTCGACGAATCATGTTCAATTTCTGGTAAACATAAACTCCCTCATCTGAATTCGGCTTTTTTTGTGCTTCTACTCTCTTTGACCTTCTGCTCTCGATTATGTTTGTATCTAATTTTGATTATGATCGATCATTTTTGGGGAATTCGGGATTTCTTTGTCTCTTGTTTTTTTGGGGAACTCTGCTTTTGGTTGTTAATTAGTGTTAATGGCGTTTACTGTTACTGTTAATTCTCTAAAGCCACTCACTGAGTTAATTAGTGTTTATAGTTGCTGCTATCAGATTAAGAACACCTCTTCCTTGCAAAGCTTTGTTGCTATTGGTCTCTCTACAGTAATTCATGAGAGGGTTTTCTCTAAAGATTTACATATAGTCTTAATGATTTATTTTCACTTGTGATCAGAGAAAGCATATCTTTTTTCTTGCTAAAAGCACCTCATCTCGTGTTTAGATTCTGTGATGTTCAGTTTTGAGGTGGATTTTGTTGAGAATGTTTAGTTTTCTTATAGGGGCTCAAAAGAACCACAAGGAGAGTCTCGTCCTTCCTCAGAAGGGTCTGCACAACCGTGGTTTTCACCGTCTTTGGTCACCTCTCCTAGCTCATCTCGGCCTCAAACATCAGCGCAGATTCCTTCACATGTTTCACCAGCTGAAGCCGCTGGCATTATAGCCTTTTTAAAAGACAAAAGGTTAGCTCTTAAAACCTCTTCTTGTTTGCCTCTGTTTTGCACGACATGTGTATATCATTTTGCTTGTCATCTTCAATATGACTTTGAGGCGTTTGGATACTTCGTTTGCTACAATTCTCTGTGAATTTGCCTTGTTTTACAGTGATATATTTAGGGATCCAATTTTCAGTGTATCAACTGTCTTGTGGTCTTTCTCTTATCTCACAAATCTTATCTTTCTTTGATATTTTCTTCTCCAGTGTGGATGAGCTCAGGAAGCTTCTGTCTGACAAGGATACGTATCAACAGTTTCTCTACTCGCTTGAGCAGGTTTCGATTCAAAACAATGTAAGTCCAACCAAAAATCAATCTTCCTTCTTTACAATTGTAGCTTCTTCTTCACTAGATTTCATCTTGTGCTTTTTTCTATATGTTCACCAGATCAGAGAAGAGCTCCGCAAAGAAACTTTACATCTAGCTAGTGAGTTCTCTTAAGACTTCATTTAACGAAGAAAATTTATATTTTCATCAAAGAGATCTAAAGACATTCATGCTTAATTTAACAGGAGAAAATTTGGAGAAGGAACCACAGATAGTGGAGCTCAGAAATCAAGTGAGTATATATTATTTATATTTGAGACAGTTATATTGAAAGCATATGAAAACTTTCTAACCATTTCTTCTATCATTATGAAACAGTGCAGAATAATTCGTACATCGGAGCTTGCAACTGCTCAAGAGAAGCTCAATGAGCTTGAGAATCAAAGAGAAGAGATCCTCAAATACTACTCTCCTTCTTCTCTTCTTCATGGACTTCAAGGTAAAAAACATGTGTTTCCTTCACTGAATACATCCTTCATGTGTAACAAAGTTTTAATATACAATCTCAGTTAATTTGTTCGTTGTAGATGCGATGAACAAGGGTGATGAAGAATCCGAGGAGCTGCAGCAGAAGTTTATGGAGAAGGAGATTGAAACAGCCGTGTTTGTGCAGAAATATAAGAAGCTAAGAAGCAAGTATCATAGGCGCGCTTTGATCCACCTCGCTGCTAAAACTTCATCCATCGGTTGAAACTTCAAACAAACGAAATGTTTTGGTTTTTCCTTGATACGATATGTGTAAGTAAAAGAAGCAAAAAAAATAAAAGGGTGCATAGTTGAGAACTATGTAAAAACCAATAGTATTGTATAATTACAGAATCATGTTGTGATCTCTGAATCTAAAATCTTGTAACGTTCTTTCTGATTTTAATTATGTTTTTGTTATTGGATCTTCCTCATTTGTGTGTGAAACATCCAAGAGAGTGATGAAGGTGACTTGGCATGTGCCCAAATTTGTTTTTCCTTATGAAAATCTTTGACGTGTCCTTTTAGATCAACACACGATCAAACGTATCGAATTATACTATCGTATTTATATATATATCATGATATACATAAAGTATGTAGATTATAAGTATATAGATGGTCACATTCAGATCTAATTTTCAAACAAGTATGAATTGTTTAGATTATAATTCACATTCACTAACTTATATAGATTATAAGTATATAGATGATAGAGTATCTATCAGATCTAATTCACATTCAGATTATAATTGTCACTTTACTTATGTTTAATTACCTATTTCATTCAATAGGTTATGATTTTAAAAACCATACCAAATCTTCGGTAGCGTTTTCACCAATACATAAATAAAAAGATCATTATGCATGTTGCACAAACCATGTACATTGCCTAAGACCATATTTAGTTTAAAATTTTAATACTTCCCTCGTTTTGTTGATTTATTTGGTATACAAGTGTGAAGAAAAAATGAAAAGACAAGCTTTTGAATATGAGTGAGAAAGAACACTGGTATCAGCACAATTATTGATATTCTTTAACAACACTGCATTTAGGTTCCACTTAATTCTTTCACATGGACTTTATCCTAGTTTTATCTTTTGATGTCATCGTTCTTAATTAATCATTGTTTCTCCTGAAATTTATCATTGCTTTTCACTTGATTGTAGTTAGTCATTATCATTTTTGGTACTTTTTCACTTTTTGTTTGCTTAGGTTTTACTTAGTTTTTGCTCAATTTTTTTTTTCAACTCATTGCCTTTTAGTGAATAAGATTTTTAGTTAGGTTTGAAATTATTGGATTTGCATCGATTGACTCTTAAACTGAAGTGAAGTTTCCACAACCTTAAAGTGATAGATTGAAGACCAAATATCCTCTACTGTGGAATGTTGACATATGATCACAATTGGGAGGATTAAATGTATTAAACTAGTTAGGACCAACTATACTATAGACGCCTATAAGAATCTTACCTTAAATTTTGTTTTACATTCATTTCTAGTTACTCCCTTAAAAGCCAAACCCACATTGTGGCTATTGATAATTATGGTTTCTATAAAACCAAGTATGTATTACTGAATTTAATTATACTTTCTAAGAAAATTATTCAATAAATTATTAATTTTCTGCAAAACCAACTACTATGTATTAACTCAATTAAGCCAGCCGTAGTGGTAGTAGTCGGGAAACGAGCTTTCTTCTGATTGGATAGGAGCCAAGTCGTAGTTGTAGGTGCTCGACCACGCCGAGTATTCGGCCACACTCGGCCACCACGAAGTCTCTGCCTCGCTCGGCCACACTCGGCCACCACGAAGTCTCTGCCTCGTTCGGCCACACTTGGCCACCACGAATATTCCGTCTGGTTAGAGAGAATTTCATAGCCTTCAACATAAGTTTCAAAATATAAACACTTTTCTATGTAGTAGGAACATAATACCTTATTGTTCCTTGATGCTTGTTTTTGTTGTGGACTTTTGAGTTTGTAGATTATTAATTTTTCGGTTGTGAAAAAAGATTATGCATTGCGATCAATTTGATTTGATTGTGTTATAAAACCAATCACATTGCTTATTGTTCCCTGATGGTTGTTTGATTTGTGGACTTTTTTGAGTTTGTCGATTAAAAGTTCAGTTGTGAAAAAGATTTTGCAATGTGATCAATTTAATTGTATTAAGAGGCGATGCAAATCCAATTTCAGACCCAACCAAAATGCTCATCCACTAAAAGACAATGAGTTGAAAAAAGATAAACAAATATGAGCAAAAACTTAGTAAAAATTAAAGCAAAGAAAAAGTGATAAAGAGTGCCAAAAATGATAATTACTAACTATGATTACACCAAATAAATCAACAAAACGAGCGAAGTATTAGAATTTTAAACTATACAGTCTTAGGCAATGTACATGGTGTGTGCAACATGCAAGATGACCTTTTTATTTATGTAGGCTGGTGAAAATGCTACCGAATATTTGGCTATTTGCTATGGTTTTTTAAATCGTGATCAATCATTTAGCCTTTTTTTTGAACAACAGATCAAATCATTTAGCTATTGAATGAAATATGTAACTAAACATAAGTAAATGCAATAGACATGTGCATATATAAATTTGTTCTTGTCTGAAAATTAGATCCGAATGTGACTTATCTATATTACTATATACTTATAATCTACATACTAGTGTCTGCATACTAGTGTATCTATATATGCATCATGATATATTTATATATACGATAGTACCCAAGCTCCTGGTTGTGGCCTTGCTTTATATATTAGATGTTGGGCATGTTTTTCAAAATGTTACTATAGTCTAGTGGTAAAGTATAGTCTTATAATCTATGAGGTGTCGGGTACGAACACTAGTTCCGACTGCAATTGTTTTTTTTCTTTATTTTTGTTCTTTTCTCATAAAATAAAACAGCCCTTTAACTTGGTTTGGCTTGTGGCCTTATCAATATTCAGGGAGGGCTCTGGTTGTTAGCACATCAGTACAAATAAAATATTGTCACTCTTTCAATGGCTATTTGTGTGTAAAAAAATTTAGTGAGCAATTTTGATTTGATTGTATTGGCATAAACTTTTATGAACCATGGCATTCTAACGGACAACAAACTAACAATTAACTACACATTTTGCGCGAAGATAAAGAGTTGTGTATTTTGTTTATTCTTCTCTATAATATGACAAAAATCTATAGCACAATTTAATTCACTTAAATGTTATTGTAAAATTTAAAAAGTGGTAATTTATTTATCTTACTAGCTCTTCCCGGCCTTCCTCGGAAGGGTCTGCACCAAAGGCGGACCCACATGCATTGATACTGGTTCACTTGACACTCCTAAATTAAGATAATATATTTATTTGTAAGCCTAAACACATTAATGCAATAGCTGAATTGGTAAAAATCCTTTGCATTGACCCCCAAATAAAAGTTCGAGTGTCCCCAAATGACACCTATAATTTATGTTGACCCACCTAAAATATACTTCTAGGTCCGCCACTCTGCACAACCGTGGTTTTCACCGTCTTTGGTCACGTCTCCTAGCTCTTCCCGGCCTCAAACATCAGCACAGATTCCTTCACATGTTTCACCAGCTGAAGCCGCCGGCATTATCGCTTTTTTAAAAGACAAAAGGTTTCCTCTTTAAAGTCTCTTCTTGTTTACCTCTTTTTTGCATGTACGTGTATATCATTTTTCTTGTCATCTGATCAATATGACTTTGAGGCGTTTGGATAGTTCGTTTGCTTAAATTCTTTAAAATCTAATATTAAAAATATATACTCACTTGGTTTCTGAGCTCCACTATCTGTGGTTCCTTCTCTAAGATTTTTCCTGTTATATTTTTTTTTCGTGTTATATTAGCATGAATGTTTTTAGATCTTAGATTTAGACATTTAAACTAGTTACACTAATTGCTAATTTCCTTCACTGAATACATCCTTCATGTGTAACAAAATTATGGACATCGGTTTAAAAATACAATCTCGGGTAATTTGTTCATTGTAGATGCGATGAACAAGGGTGATGAAGAATCCGAGGAGCTGCACCAGAAGTTTATGGAGAAGGAGATTGAAACAGCCGTGTTTGTGCAGAATTATAAGAAGCTAAGAAGCAAGTATCATCGACGCGCTTTGATTCACCTCGCTGCTAAAACTTCATCCATCGGTTGAAACTTCAAACAAACGAAACGTTTTGGTTTTTTCTTGATACGATATGTGTAAGTAAAAGAAGCAAAAAAATTAAAAGGGTGCATTTATTGTTGAGAACTATGTGAAAATCAATAGTATTGTATAATTACAGAATCATGTTGTGATCTCTGAATCTAAAATCTTGTAACGTTCTTTTTTATTTTAAATGTGTTTTTGTTATTGGATCTTCCTCCTTTCCTTAGTCTCATTCTTTGACATGCCCTTATAGATCATGACTAGAGGGACGAATCACCTATTCACCTGCCAGTCAATTTTTAATATTAAATCAAGAATTTGCTAATTCATCTTATATGTCGTTGTGAAATTATCGTCATTTTGCCCTTTACTTGTTTCGATATGTTTAGAATTTTTTTCTCTTACATTATTGCTTCGATTTCGTTACACAAACCTGGTTTACACTTAGAGAGTGTTGACGCATCTCATTAACATATATTAGAAAAACCTGCTTCTATGAAATGGTTGTCGTATGGCTCTTCTTACGAGTTGTCGGATTCAGACCCGCCCCGCTTGAGCCTGTTGCCGAGCTCGTCTAACCTTCAAATCATCAAGATAATTCTGGTAGACATAAGAAGCGAAACCCCAAAGCGCAATAAGCATCGACATAATCTTAACGCCGCTCATCTTATCCCTGAACACAGCCAAAGCCGCGAGCGGAGTCACGGCCAAAGACAGAGTACTTATCACATTCGAGAAGAGTGACGACACCAGAAATATCAAACCAACAACTCCAACGGAACACACTTGCCAAGTAACTGCAGTACCAACTAAAGTCAATACATACGAGGCTCGACCTTTGTGATACCCAACCATTTCACCGTGCAGCGTTCTCCATTCCCCGCTAGCGAAAAGCCCGATCACCGCAACACAAGTCGCCACCAAAGAAGTGTAGATCTGCATTTCAAGAACCACTGAGAACGTCTCTCTCTTCAAGATCTTCTCGAACGAGAACTGCATGAGAGAGAGTAACAGAGAGTAGAGCGCGGATGCAGCGAGCGTACAGACGAACCCGACGATGTATTTGGAGCTAGAGACGCCGGAAGGAGCGTCCGCGTCGTCGTTGAGAGCAATCAGAGCAGCAGAGAAAGAGAGGAAAACAACGGAGTTGAGAATCAGAGCAGTGAACTTCTGAGCATTGATGAAGTAAGAGAAGACGGCGTTGAAGGCTAGCTGAGTCGCGCAGATGAGCGAGTAAGTCGACGCGGAGAGGTAGAGAAGTCCAACGGAGTACAACATGTTGTCTCCAGCGATGATGACGCCGAGGAGGACGTAGATCAAGACGATGGTTTTGAGCGAGCAAGAAGAAGAAGAAGAAGGCTCTGCTGCGTTAGCAGAGGAAGAAGAAGGAAGGAGCAGAAGAGGGATGTAGAGGATAGGAAACGCACCGGTTTGAACAAGAGTGGCCATCCATTTGCTGTTTCCACCTTCGTCGTAGTAGAACCTACCGAGGAGGACTGAAGCAGCTTGACCACCGATGAGGAAGAAGATGTTGATGGAGACAAGAAGCCACCATTGCCAGCTTTTGAGCTTCAAGAGTGGTGATGGAATGCCTGTTACATTCTCCTCCTTCGCCAAGATTGGTTCTTGATTATCTGGGAATCACACATTAATCAAACAAGAACTTCAGCTTAAGAACTCAATCTAAAACCTTCAAACATAAGAACTTAAAAATGCCAACTTGTTCATGAAACAAGAACCTAAAAGCATAAATCCTACACAGAAGCACAGATAATCATCAAATAAGAAAGAGAGTGAAACTTTCAACTTCAAAATTCCAACTTTTGCATGGAACAGCAATCATAAACCATAATCCGACAAGGAACACAAATAATCACCATCTGGGTATGTCGAAAAACCCAAAAAATGATCAAAGAATCAAAAGACAAAGAGAAATGGACTGACCTGACATAGATCAATAGAATTTGATCTGCAAAGCAACGACGATGCAGAGAGATTGAAGAAAATCTGAGATTCTTTCTATATGCGTCTGCTCCGCGGGTATTGATCGTCGCTTACCCGAAGAAGATCCGTCATGTGAACTCAAAAACGAGCTTTTGTGATTCGGGCGGTTGTGTATGGTGAGAAGAAGCAGCAGCTATTATTGGGTGATTCGATTCGACTCAGACTTTTTAACTAACCTTTTTGACTTTTGACTTTGTTATTAGCCCATCATTTTTAAACCGGAGGGGGACCGGAGGAGACTGACCATAAAAATCAAACATATCTCTAGTATTAAAAATTAAAAATTAAACAAACACTAATTAACACAATATATAATCAAATTCAATAAACTTTTCTAAGTAACTTTTGATGAACATTTTTTACAGGATGACCAGCTTATAACAATAATGGATTCATCACCGCAAATACTAACATTGTGTATTCATATACTAACTTTGGAGTTCGTTAAATGAGAAATGGACAATATGGATTTAATTTGTCTAATATTGAAAGTCTGTTTTTGATTTTGGGATCTTATCAATACTTCGGTTCAATAAAAAAAACACCAGGTGTCAAAGTCATTTTGGAAATTGATGATAATATTGTGACTCTCCTTTGCACCTTAAATATTTTACCTTTGATGATAGAGATGTGATGGAAATGGGTTTGGGTGTATTGGGCTTTTTTTCATTGAGCTGGTTCGAGCTTTGCCAAAGTTAAAATTTTCCAACTCTTTGAGAATGTTTGCTTCCGTTTTCACACTCTGTCGTAGCTTCAAATACTCAACGCCGCAGCCGGCATGGTATGGCAATGAAGAAGTGGTGATGAAGCAAACAATACATATTTTATAAGTGTAGTTAGGCACTGACTTTAATAATTCTTGTACTGAATATCATATTAATTAATCATCTTGTCCAAGAGATTACAAAAATCACTACAAGAAAACAGGCCATTTGCGACGAACATTTGCGAGCACCTTGCGAAAAAGTACGCCATCGACGCAAATCCGTCGCAAAATTGCGACGGAAACAAAACCGTCGCAAATTTGCAACGGATTTGTGAATAACTTACATTGAAACGAACACCTATCACAAAACACTCGCAATAGTGCGACGGTGTTGCAAGAGAAAAAGGTCCGTCACAACATTACGACAGCTTTGTGACATCTTTGCGACAGAAATACTATCCGTCGCAAAACTGTTGCAAGTTTGCGAGAGCTTTACGTTTTCACAGAAACATAGTAACTTTTGCGATGGATTTGCGGTATCTTTTTCTGTCGCAAAACAGCACTCGCAAAGCCCTTGCAAATTTGCGATAGGTTTGCGACGAAAACATTTTGGCCGACATCACTTTGTTAGGTAGAGCACGTGTTAAATAAAGTTCACCTAATAAATTGCGATGGAATATACGCCGTCGCAAATGCGTCGCAAAATCGTCGCAAAGCCATCGCAATATAGTCGCCCTTTTCGCCATCGCAAGTCCCTCGCAAAATTGCGAGGTTTTTGCGGCGAAAATCTTTTGGTCGACATCAGACAAAAACGCAAGACATGGTTATCTGTCATAAAGGTGAATCCAAGAAATGCATGTTGTTGGTTTAGACGATGATGTGGCTATGCAGCATGACAGAGCTGAAGATGTGTCCAACCCGATCGAATCCACTGAAAATATCGTACATGTTGATCCCCAACACAGAGAACTCGAAGACGTCGTTGACGAGTCAACTGAAGATGGAGAATCCGATGAGTTCGCGGAGCCTGCTACTGATGATGATGAAAGGGAGCATAATGAAAACTCTTATGTATTTGAAAATGATGATGTTGAAAATGACTTTGATTAAATAAGTGCGTATGTATTATTTCCCTTGTATTTTTAATTTTTTTTTAGTATTTTAAACATTTCATATATACATATAAGCATTATGTTATACACATTACCTACTTCATCTAAGCTTTCCACAGACCACAAACATCAGCATGCTTATCCACAACTAAAAATCAATAAATAAAGTGGAGTAATCACCTTTCTCTGAAGGATATGAAGAGAGCCCTTCTTTGGCAAGTATCTGCTCAAGTTCTTCTATTAAAGCAGCCTCGCGTTTCTCTTCAGGAGCCTTCTTGACTTTCCTGTAAAGTGCAGGTGGAACACTGCCAAAAACAACAATAATAAAGAGCCTGGACTATGAACCAAACATAGAGATTATTCAAAGATCTATCAATTTAAGTTTTGATTAAGAAACCTCATCCCACAAGATTTGATGACTGATTTAAGATGCTCAACACGCTTTCCATGCACAGGAGTTGCAGCCTCCTTTATCTGCTACAGAAAAATATGTAAATTGTTCAAGGTTTTAAATCGCATTCGAGATACAAAATCATAACATACCTTCAATGGCTTTCGAAAACGGCCATTAGCTGCCTTCATTTCAGTATCATCTCCTCCATCACTGTCACTCTGTGAATCTGTTTCTATACGTTTTGCTTTCCTTTTCCCAGATACCGCTTCGCCATTTTCGTTTTTCCTTTTCCGGGTCTCAGTCTTCTCCACAGCCACTTCCTCGTCATCCAAATCATCCTCAGCATCTGATTCAGAATTTTCGTCACTTCCTAGCTCCTTAGATGATGTGCTCTCGACCCTTTTCTCAGCAGGCTTAGTCGAACGGTTTGGAGCATCAGGAATTTGTAAAACCTATTTAGCAAATAAAAAAACTATCAAAAGATTGTCTTCCCACTTAAACTCAAAAGGTAAACATAATTTAGCATAAAGTACTTCACCTCATCTAATTCTTTGCTAATGAACTTTTTGAATGGATCAAGAGACTCCTCCTCTAAATCAAGATCTTGCTCCAAAATACGACGAAGTGATAACATTGTTAGTGTCCTGAAAAAAAAAAAAAAAAACAATCGATTACTAAAACAGAAAACGATCTCTTTAAAGGAAGCTTTTCACTGAATTTCCCTAAACTGCAATATCACTCATCAACTTACTCTGCAGAGTCCTTAATATAAGAAGCTCTTTTTCGGAGAGCTCTCTTAATATCACTCATCAGGGCTTCTCTATTCCCTTCGTTGTTCGTATCTTCAGCTACCGTTTTGGATATGTTCTCAGGTGAACCTTTCGTTTTCTCATCATCGTCGTCACCACCAGTTTCTTCTTCCCTTACATCGTTCTTTGCCACGTGCTCTTCAGAATTTTCCGAAGCCGCATCGTTAGCATAATCTTTTAAGCACTGACATCAAGAAGGGAAACAACATAAGTGCTCTCAGGTAGCAGCATCAGAAGTCAAATGGTTTCAACAAAGAACATATGTGACATAACGGAGAATGTAAGTTCATTTATCTTCTTGTTTCATGCAAAACAAATTGGTATATACACCTTGATCAAATGCTCTTCAACAAAGCTTTTATGCACATCCAAAGCATATTTCTCCAACTCCATACGTTCCTCCAACAGCCTCCGCACACTCTCGAAGGTGAAAGAGCTGCAAAATGTTTCTCAGTAATCAAAAAACTATTCTAAAGAAAAGGTCTTTTTAAATATCATGGATGAAAAAAAAAATCCTTTTTTCGACATTCGAAAATGGAAATTTAAATATTTTAGCCATTTCATTAAGAAAATGGGATACCAAATTAGTCTGCTTACACATGAAGATCATCCAAATCCAATTGACAAGAAGTGAGTAAAGATTCTCTATGTTCACATTTCATATACCTAAAATGCATTCACGCAGTTTCATTATTCCTCTAACCACAAAAGTTTGAGTCTTTTTGATGAATTACACAAAATCGAAGCTTTTTCAATAAAAAAATAAAATAAAAAATCACACTTGAGTATGAAAATCGATACAAGACCACAAATACACACATTTCGTATGAAACGTCTCTGACACTTTTGACGGACCAACACAACACCGAAATCAAAGAGAAACCAGAAGAACCCTAACTTAAGCCACAAAATTAAACTACCAAATGCCTTGAGAAGTGAGAACAATGGAAGCTAAGTCAATCGCTTGTACACGTAAAAATTTAGAGGAAGAGATTGAGAAGACTGAGATTTTGTTACTCTGCTTTTTCTCTGAGGTAGGTTACGCAGGATGGCAAAACCGCCTGAATCTGGAACTCTGTAACTGTTGAATCGGAATCCTTCCGATTATTCTTATCGACATTCTGAGTTATCTCCGCCGTCTCCGTTGCCGTGACTGCCGACTCGCCGGACATTTCTCCTCGGTGGTGATAAAAGTGTTGGAATGGATCAGAGAGCTTTGCAAAGATAAAAGTCTGAATACTCTCTTAGATTGAAAATAAAAGAAAGTGGTCTCATATATCGACCTTACAACTGCGATCCGAAACAAACGCAAGACTGAAACAAACTAAAATCGTTTCCTACAGGACAACAACTTATTCACTACTTGAGCATAAAGCAAACTTTATTCTTCAAAAAAAAGGCCTAAAACCTTCGGGGAGTAAAAACCGCGAGAAGTTTTAGATAATGGTAAAAAACTGATAAAAGGTAGTTATTTTTGGGTCGTGTGATCATGGTTATGGCTTTGGGCCTTTTGGCAATAAAACAAAGGGCTAATTAATTTTTCGATTATCAAATACAAATTGGTAACAACAAAATTATATGATTGCAAAATGCCAAAATCGTAGGTAAATTATATTTTTTTTCACGTAGAATTAAATAAAAATTGTGAAACTATGTAAACATTTTTTTTTCATTCGTTGCAACAAAAACTCTTGTTTACATTAGTGGAAATAAAGAATTTGGTTGCTCTCCAAATCTAATGCTCGAACATCCATTATCCAAACTATAATTCATTATTGTTTATAGTTTCATAATCTTCATATGATGGAGAAAGAAAGGTGAAGAAACTACGAAAGCTATCTTTGAATGAATCATCTTACCACATCCACACCAATCGTTAATTTATCAAATGTAGTTAACATCTATAAAATCGAACCGACCCAAACCAAAATTAAAACTAAACCAACATCAATAATTTCGAATATAAATTTCCTTAAAGCCCCACTCTCTCTCTCTCTCTCTCTCTCTCGGACAGTTCTTTTTGTTTTTCTGTCTCTCTCGCTCTCTCTCGATGCGAAGAATCGAGCACCTGTGTCGCTCTTTGTAAGTTTTCTTCAATTGAGAACGCCACCAGAATCCCAGCGAGCTACTTGAATGTGTACCTTTCGATGCCTACTGCTGGCGGTGGCGTTGTCGTTGGTCGCTTCGCCGTCTTCTTCGTCGTTTGCGCAATACGCAGCTGGTCCGGCCAAGATTTTTCCTCTTGAAAGGGCGTTTCCTCTCGACGAGCAAGTGGAGCTGAATGAGCTCAGGGCGCGTGATCGTGTCAGGCACGCGCGTATCTTACTCAGCGGAGGCGGAGGCCGTCGCCGGAGCTCCATCGGCGGCGTGGTTGATTTCCCAGTTCAAGGCTCTTCCGATCCTTTCCTCGTCGGGTAATTTCTTCATCTTGTGGGTTTTCTTTTTCCTAAAGTACTTTAATTTCTTTTTCGGGGCAGAAATCAAAAATGTCTGCTTTATTGTCGTAATTAGTCTTCAGATTGATTTAGAGATCTTTTGCACATACAAATTTAACTTCTTTTTCACCAAATTGTATGATGAAATTGAAAGTGTTACGCTTTAGGAGTTTTTAGCTCTTTAGCTTAATCTTGCTGAGCTAAAGATCTTATTCAATTTGTCTCCTTTCTCTTCTTTGTTGCAGCTCCAAGACGACTATGTATGTCACATTTGCACACTCTGTTATTGGAGATCTCTCCTTTGAGTTCTAAATTGGTTTTATCAGCTCTTTTTGTGTGTATTTGTGTGGAAAAAAACTTCTTTTAAGTGATATATCTGTATACTGTTTCTTGGTAGGCTTTATTTCACAAAGGTCAAATTGGGATCTCCTCCTACAGAGTTCAATGTTCAGATAGATACTGGGAGTGACATCTTGTGGGTTACTTGTGGTTCTTGCAGTAATTGCCCTCGCTCCAGTGGACTTGGAGTAAGTAGCTTTTATCTTAGTTTCTTGCTTTATAGAGTTTATCAGAGAAGAAAGTGTGAAGGGCTTATCCTTTGTTTCTTCATTTGACAGATAGAGCTCCATTTCTTTGACGCTCCTGGCTCCTTGACTGCTGGCTCTGTGACTTGCTCAGATCCGATTTGTTCTTCAGCTTTTCAGACTACAGCAGCACAATGCTCTGAGAATAACCAGTGTGGTTACTCTTTTCGCTATGGTGATGGAAGTGGGACTTCAGGTTACTACATGACTGACACGTTCTACTTCGACGCCATTTTGGGAGAGTCTGTGGTTGCAAACTCATCTGCTCCCATTGCTTTCGGGTGAGGATCAAACACTAGCCCTTGTGTTAGCATGAGTGAGATTAAAGAGCTCTAACTTGGTAAGTGATTTTTCTTGTATATGCAACAGGTGTAGTACATTTCAATCTGGAGACTTGACAAAGTCACAAAAGGCAGTGGATGGAATATTTGGTTTTGGCAAGGGGAAGTTGTCAGTTATTTCTCAGTTGTCGTCACGAGGGATTACACCGCCGGTGTTTTCTCATTGCTTGAAAGGAGATGGTAGTGGAGGTGGTGTCTTTGTCCTTGGCGAGATCTTAGTCCCAGGAATGGTTTACAGTCCTCTCGTCCCATCACAGTAAGCTCACTAACCAACCAAAAGGAATGATTGTATTATGCTTTCACAAGCTGAAACTATGACTAAGTGTTTGTGTTCTGAAGTTACCTTTTGATTACGTGCTACAGGCCTCATTATAACTTAAATATGGTCAGCATTGGGGTGAATGGGCAGATGCTGTCCATCGATGGAGTGGCGTTTGAAACATCAAATACACGTGGAACTATTGTTGACACAGGAACCACTTTGACATATCTGGTGAAAGAGGCTTATGATCCCTTTCTCAGTGCTGTAAGTTTTTTCTGTATCTTGTGTGTTTTTGAAATGAGATTCTAGCTTTTTTTCAGATCATGATGTTTTTTTGTTTCGTATCTGTAGATAACAAGTAGTGTGTCACAGTTGGCAACACCGATCATTTCTAATGGAGAGCAGTGCTATTTGGTCTCGACTAGGTGTGTGTGCCTTCTTCTCTTGTAACTACAAATGTTGACTGACATCATTTTCTCTCTTAGTTCAAAAGTTAAGTGGAGAGTTTCTTTGGGTTTTGTGTGTGGTTGTGCAGCATAAATGACATGTTTCCTCCTGTAAGTCTCAACTTTGCTGGTGGTGCATCGATGATGTTAAGACCTCAGGACTACTTATTTCATTATGGTTTCTATGTAAGCTCTCCTTCTACTTGTTATATACTTATATATATAGTCTGCTTTCTGTATGGAATGTATTAACTTTGTCTCCTTCTGTCTAGCAGGATGGTGCGTCCATGTGGTGCATTGGTTTTGCGAAAGCCCCGGAAGAACAAAACATTTTAGGAGGTTAGACACTGAGCTTTCAAAATTTTATCATAAATTATCTGCATCTTCTTGTCCCAACACTGTTTATATATCACTCTTGCAGATCTTGTCCTTAAAGATAAAGTCTTTGTGTATGATCTTGCTCGGCAACGGATTGGATGGGCAAACTATGATTGTAAGTGTAATTCTTATAGTGATGTCACTTAGGAAACTTTAGTAATCGGTTTATCTTTATCTTACACTTAGAAAACTTTGTGTTGACAGGTTCGATGTCTGTGAATGTATCGGTAACTTCAGGAAAGGATTTAGTAAACTCAGGGCAGCCATGCTTGAGCATCTCAACAAGGGACATGTTATTAAGATTCTTTTCTAGCATCTTCTTGGCTCTACTTGTTTGTATTTTCTTCTCCTTGACGTAAATTTTATAGAGTTCACGTTTTTGTGCGTTTGCTATAGAGTAGTGTAGCCTGATTATTTTGTTAATTTGCTTTGATTCTTTCACCATTCTCATATCTTCTCTGTTGTAGTAACTATTATTTGTAGTTAATTGTAGATAAGGTCTCCTGATGAAAGAAAAAAGGTTTAACTTTGGTCATAACTATAATATTGGAGGCCTATTTCTGTAATCCTCAGCTGTTTTTTTATTTATTTTAAAGAAATTTAAAGACAAATCATTAGCACTTCAAATCTTGAAAAAAACTTGAAAGAATTACTTTCTCGTTAAACCATGAAACTAGCTTCTAAGTTTGTATTTGTTTTCTTATACACAATTCATTGCATAAATCATTTTCTTGAGTTTGTTGAGACTTCTCAAGACTTTTATGATCCATAAGCATGACTTCTTGATCTTTTAAGTTAATTACAATACCGTTCGAAACGCAGCTCCATCTCGTATTCTTTCCTCTGAAGCTCCTCGAATCTGGATTTTAATCTGAGAATCTCTTCCTTCTGATGAACTTGGTTCTCTGTTTCTTCTTCTCCATCGTTTCTTCTACTAGGTGATGAAGAAGACTCTCCATTGCTTGCATTAGAAGTTACTTCATTATCTTCTTTCCGAGACTCGAGCCTGGCCAGGATCAAACCAGTTGCTGATAAGAAAAGAGCAACACCAACTTTCAGAATCATCGGCTTCATAGCTCCTCATTCTCTGGGACCTGAACCATCCATTAATTTCTTCTGTTATACTATTGAAGCTTAGATTAGAGAACGGACTGATTGATCGTTCTTGTGAGGCTTTGATCAGATTTATATGGTTTATACGACGAGTCATGGTGTTTTTTTAAAATAGCTTAAATACTCCTCTTTTTGTTGTGGAGGAGACATGTCTCGTAAGATTATTCTTTTCCCTTAGTGTGCCTTTTAACAATGGGTTTTAAATAAGACGATTAATTGAGATGGGTTGCTTTTTGACCATTGCTTTTGCTTGCTTACTCGTTTGGGCATCGGATATTAGGATACAATCATATCTTTGACCACATATGATTAGTATCTCTGATTCCGTATGTTTAGCCTTAGATGATGTTCATAATATTCTCTCATTAATGTCTCTTGTAATACCCTAGCTCCTCCTCAGTTGTATATATAGTGATCTGTGTAAAGTAATAAGACAACACTTATACAATAATCTATATCGGATTCTCCACTTACACGACACACGTTTGTACTCCCACTCACACTTACCTACATGTAATGCATGGTATGTTTGGTACCTGCTAGGAGAGTTCCATATTGTTATTTTTTAATCAATTCGAATCCCATATAGTTTTATTTATTTATTTTCCTTTTAACAAAGAGGCTGTTTTTTTAGCTTGAAGTTAACTGTTTAAACCTTAAACCCATAGATCCTCATTAATAAAATTAACAACAACAAGTGTTTAGATGAGTTAAGCAACAAGAATTCCGATAGTACTACATATGAGGACTGTAAATAAGATTAATATCCCTGTGTGGAACATGGTGCATTATGCATATGTGTCGGGACTTTGGGAAATTACGAGGTGATTTTCCAGAATCTTATCTATTTTTTGAAGAGCAAGATTTTTTCCAAATTTTAACACCTTCCATGGAGACGAGAAGGACCTGAAATCACCTTGGGGAAGAGAAACCGAAGTTGTCACCAAACGGAAAGACCATGTGTTGTTCTTGGTTGTAAATAGGACACCCCAAACCGGTTCGGTTTGGAATATGTGACGTTGGTGAAGAAACAATATGATTTTGAAAAATGTGGTTGTTTCCCAAACCGAAACTCCCAAAATCAAGTGATGTTAATCTGGTAAGATGCAGAACCGGTTCGGGTTAAGTGATTTTTTTTTTGAAAATGCAAGGACCTGTTTCGTCCACATATAAACCGACTCATTTAGAAAATATAACCGTTTGTCAAACGCAAGGGTACATAAAAACATCCTCTCTCACTTCACAAAAAAAGTTGACATCTTTTCGCCCAAATTTCTTCCTCTCCTCCGTTTTCATTTTTTCTTTCGCATAATTCTCTCGGTCGACTTTTCGGAGATTTTCTCCCAACATTTTCTGTTTGTTTCCTTTCGAAGCAACCTACAAGCTTGATTCCTGAAAGCGACCCAATTGGCTGGATTTCTCAATCGTCGTCAAGGTTAGGGTTTCTAAATCTCATGTATCGCGATTTGTTTAGGTTTTCCAATTTTCGTAACCGTTCAAAGATTAATTTTTGCAGCGGTCGTTGGTTAAGGGTTGGATGCTTCTTTCACATCGTCGAGGTAATTTCTCTTTTTCATGTTTGGGTTTTCAATTTCTTTGGTGATTTTGACGGTTTTTGTTCTCCGACGATGCCTTGGGTTTCCAATTTTGTCAGCGATTTTCAAATTTTCGTTCTCCGATTTTGCTTGGGTTTCCATTTTCCAATTAAATTAAGATTCCAATTTCGTTGCTTTTGTTCTTGTTCTGCAATCTTTAAACATATTGTTCTATTTTGGTGGAACAGCTTCTTGGCAAGTCAAATAGTGAACATCAAGATGTGATCTTCATTGATGGCCCTGGATCAGTTTTTGCTGAATTTGCTGGTCAGTTCAAGAGCATTTGCACTCAGTTCTGATCGTCATGGCTCAAGATTGGTGAGTGTCAATAGATAAGGCTACGGTATCTCTATCATCTTTTGCAGCATTATTTAGGTTCTTTTACGACTTGTATGTGAATGGATCCGTATTTTTTCACTACATTGTTAGATTTCAGGAATCTCAAATGGTTTCATCACCTCTATGTTTTACTTTTAATTTCAGGAACCTCGCAAATCAGATGATAGTATCGCCTTGCAAAGTGGAACATGTTTGATCACTTATGGTAAGGTAAGATTCTTTCTTTATCTAAGCAATTAACAAACTCACCAAAACAAGCACTAATCTAATAGTGTTCTGGTTTTGTTTTCCCTTTAAAAACCCCAAATCAGATAATAGACAGGCACTAATCTAATGGTGTTCTGTCAAATTCTCGTTTGGGAACATTGTCTCGTTGCCTCAAGTCGGTTATTAATGGATTGGTAGTGCATGATGTTAGAGGATGGAAAAATGAAAACCCCAAATCAGATCATAGACAAGCACTAATCTAATAATGTTCTGTCAGATTCTTGTTTTGGAACATTGTCCCGTTGCCTCAAGTCGGTTATATATGGATTGGTAGTGCATGATGTTGGGGGATGTTAAATTAAAAGTCTTTATTGACAAAGACGATGGATCTGTTTTCGGTTTGTTTGGATGGAACCGAGGATGGGATTAAGAAAGTCTTAAGGCAAAAGGTTACAAACTGAAAACAGATTCCTTTACCGACGGCTTAAAAAAGGTATTGTCTCAGAGACAATGGGTCCAGTTTACATGATGGATGGATGGATAAATTAACCAGCGGCTTAGACAAAATTCCATTGGTTTTCGACTTGTGGGATGGGAAAAAAGAAAGACTGATGGCTTAAAAAAAACTTGTGGGACGGAATGTAAAACAACCAACGATACAGACTATGAGCTGAGAAACTATTATGTTCCGGGAACCACAAGGCTCAAATTAAAGTAGAGAAAGACTATGAGTTGGATGGATCTAACGACCAATGGCTGAAAAAGTCTTAAAGCAAAGGCGTATAAGTTGGTTTTCCTTTTGTTGGAAAGAAAGACCAATGTCTTAAAGAAGGCTTGTTTGGATGAAAATTATAACGACCAACAGGCTTGGGAAAGTCTTAAAGACAACGGAAAGAAAGACTATGAAGGCTTAAGAAAGTCTTAAAGACAACTGAAAGAAAGACTATGAGGGCTTGTTGAAAGAAAGACTATGAAGGCGTGAGAAAGTCTTAAAGACAACTGAAAGAAAGACTATGAAGGCTTGAGAAAGTCTTAAGACAACAGAAAGAAAGACTATGAAGGCGTGAGAAAGTCTTAAGACAACTGAAAGAAAGACTATGAAGGCTTGAGAAAGTCTTAAAGACAACAGAAAGAAAGACTATGAAGGCTTGAGAAAGTCTTAAAGACAACTGAAAGAAAGACTATGAAGGCGTGAGAAAGTCTTAAGACAACTGAAAGAAAGACTATGAAGGCTTGAGAGAAAGTCTTAAGAGAACTGAAAGAAAGACTATGAAGGCGTGAGAAAGTCTTAAGACAACTGAAAGAAAGACTATGAAGGCTTGAGAGAAAGTCTTAAGAGAACTGAAAGAAAGACTATGAAGGCTTGAGAAAATCTACTGAAAGAAAGACTACAAGGCTTGTTGAAAGAAAGACTAGGAAGGCTTGAGAAAGTCTTAAGACAACTGAAAGAAAGACTATGATGAAGGCTTGTTGGTTTTCATTTTGTTGGAAAGAAAGACCAATTTCTTAAAGAAAGCTTGTTGGATGGAAAATATAACGACCAACAGGATTGAGAAAGTCTTAAGACAACTGAAAGAAAGACTATGATGAAGGCTTGATGGTTTTCATTTTGTTGGAATGAAAGACCAATTTCTTAAAGAAAGCTTGTTGGATGGAAAATATAACGACCAACAGGCTTGAGAAAGTCTTAAGACAACAGAAAGAAAGACTGAAGAAAGACTAATGTCTTAAAGAAGGCTTGTTGGATGGAAAATATAACGACCAACAAGGCTTGAGAAAGTCTCAAGACAACAGAAAGAAAGACTATGAACCGAGAACTATATGTTCGGTTACCCCAAGGCTTAATACTAGACAGAGACTTATCATTTTGATGGATATAACGACCAAATGGCCGAAAAAGGTTCTAAGACAAAAAGACTATGAGTTGGTCTTCATTTGGTTGGAAAGAAGGACGATTTTCTGAAATAGGTTCTCCAACAGGCTTGAGAAAGTCTTAAGACAACAGAAAGAAATTTGGATGGATATGACGACCAAATGGCCGAGAAAGGTTCTAAGACAAAAAGACTATGAATTGGTCTTCATTTGGTTGGAAAGAAAATCGGTTCTTCAACAGGCTTGAGAAAGTCTTAAGACAATAGAAAGAAAGACTACGCAACCGATTCTTTACACTATGGCATCTAAGTGAAGCAAAGACTAATTAATTTTGATTTATACAGGTATGTGCTTCAGAAGGTGTTCAAGTGTTCGAGACTCTTGAAGAGATGTAGCAGACTTCAATGATAGGTATGTGCTTTTCAAATGTGCTTGTAAATTAGTTGATACAATTATGAAAATCACAAGTCAGAGAAACATACTAGTTTTGATCTTCACTGGACTGATTCTTGAGTAAGTTTTCAAATCTTTAGGAGATTTCTAAGTGAACATACTTTGTAACTGAATAAAGACTAATATTCTTTTTGGTTCAGGTATTTGCGTCATATATGGTGTTCATATTCTCAGGGAGGCAATTTTGGTGATTGGATGGATTCTTTTCTTTCTTTCAGTTTTTTACATTTTAGGTGATAAGTTTGGCTTCAATCGAACTGAGTTTCCTCAAACAGTTTATATTGTGGCTTGTAATCATGTAAGACTTATACTTTTGTATCTTCTAATGTATTTTTGTGCCCCTTATAAAGTTGTTCAACTGTGTATTTCTAGGCAGGTGTGGGACTTGTGCTCTCATCTTAATGCTTTAGTGGAGTCAGAAACAGAAGGTAGAGATGGAACTTCACTACTTCTTAACTTTTCTGACCACAAAGATTTTGAGTTCTGCAATCGCTGGATGACTTCTTTTCGGTATATCTATCTCAGAAATTTCACAATACTGAAACAGTTACATGTTTTCACCATGGTCTATGTGTTTTTTCTCTTCTTCCACCACTTAGGGGGGCTTCAAGTTTATGATTCATTTTGCTGGAGCCAGCTTTCGGTTCATGAACTTTTCACACTGCAAGTAACTATTACTTTGCAGGTAACTTGTGTGTGTGTTGGTACCATTTACATTTGGCGAAACATTCTTTTTAGTTGTTATGCAAAACAGTAATGTTGCAGTCTGGGGTGTTTGATGTGGAAAGTCTCATGTAATATCTTTGAAGGCACATGATGCAGAAGTTAATATCATCTCATTAACAGGTTCTTCTGCCACTTTCGCTTAATAATTTTTGTTTTGTTTTATGTTACCCGCCAATGGCTGATTCTTTATGTTTCCTCCTTAATGAAGGGCTGGCTAGTTCCATGTTGCTCTATCAATGATCTTAAAACTGATCAAGGTCCGCTAGAGACCATAGCTTTATCTTTTCCCCATAAATTCTTTATACTATTCTGATGTAGTATCATTTGGAGATTCACATTTTGCATACCATAAGCATCATATCATGTTGATTGAGTGGAGTGCTCAGGAAGCCTACACTTGCAGTTTATTTCAATGAGCTCAACGTAATTAGGTATATCCTTTTTGAGACTTTTCTTTAATAAATCTGTATTAGTACATATGATACTCTTGCTGGCTAGTTTCTTTGAATCTTAAATGTATCCATCTCTCTTGACTAGAAATGTGTATTTTCTCTGTTTTAGTGCTTGTGTGTATTCTTTCTGTTTTGGTGCTTGTATCAATTTTTATAGTTTGCTTGTATAGTTTGCGTGTATGGTTTGGTGCTTGTATCAATTTGTATAGTTTGCTTGTATCAATTGATATAGTTTGCTTGTATCAATTTATAGATCTTAATATCTATCTCTCTTGCTTGCGTGTATTCTCTCTGTTTTGGTGTTTGCGTGACTAGAAATGTATTATTCTCTCTGTGTAGTCTTGCAAACTGTTGTAGCAGTTTCTTTGAATCTTGAATGTATTTATCTCTCATGAATAAAACATTGTATTCTCTCGTGTTTTGGTGCTTGTATGCATCATAAGGTCTATCTTGGATTCTCTGTAGATAATTATATTGAATGTAAGCGAGAGTCTTGCAAACTATTGTATTAGTTTCTTTGAATCTTGAATGTATTTCTCTCTCTTGACTTGTTAGAAAACATTGCATTCTCTTTGTTTTGGTACTTGTATGCATCATAAGGGCTATCTTGGATTTTTTGTAGATAATTATATTGAATGTAAGCGAGAGTCTTGCAAACTATTGTAGTTAATTCTTTGAATCTTGAATGTGTTTCTCTCTCTTGACTTGTTAGAAAATATTGTATTATCTCTATTTTAGTACTTGTATGCATTGTGGGTCTCTCATTTTATGAACTGAATAGGTCGTAAGACTCTTGCAGATTCTTGTAGTAGTTTGCTTGATTTTGAATGTATTATTTTTCCGTCCTAAAACCTTTGGCGATCACTAAAAAAAAAACTACATCCTCACAAATGCACAATCATGCATTTAAATTTTGTTTGAGAAATTCTGCATTTGGTATCATGCATGCTTCTGATGATATTTTATAAAATCTATTGCATTTGGGAAGCTTGGAAAATTTACTGCATCTGCATCAATAGTGTAATATTTTAGAACGGTGCAATGGATCTTTCGTGATTTTCCTACCATGTATTTATTTTTAGACTTTGATAACATTTCTTAAGGTTGATGTCGAAATCAATAAACTAGAAGCATGTTTAAAATTCCAATTTTATTACCCTCATTGTAAGCATGTGCACATAGGTGTCTAGTCTTCTCTGCTCTTTTGGTTGGCTTATTTTATTTTCTCCATACTTTGTTTGTTATACATCATGATACTATTGGTAGTATTGGAGAAATTCTAGAAACATTGAATGCTTATTTTGTAAAGCAAAGGCTATTATTAGACGCTAGAACAAGATCTTCTTGAATGAAACATGCGTTCTTCTTCAGGCTCCACCGTCAAAGAGTGCCATCCGAAACATCTTTCCTCTGGTTTTGTTAAATTTCCCTTCTCATTTCCTTCCACCCATCTTTTCAGCTTCTTCATCAGCCTCTTCCTCCTCGAAGTTTCATGATGATGATGATCATCATGATTCTGATGGAGTTGGTTCTCCTCATGATGATGCTCATCAACTACTGTCAATGCTAGATCATCAACTTGATCCTCAAAAACCAACTCTTGCAAGTTTCGATTTGGAGAAAACGTGACTTCCTCATAATTGGTTCCCTTTCTCATCACCTCGTGCCTCAAACAAGCATTTCTCCATTTTAGGTTAATCATTTCCTTAACTCCATTAGCAAAATCCTTCTTTAAATCCTCATACTCTTCTAATACCCTTCTATAATCTTCTACACTCACCATCTTCATAAAAAATACAAAAAATACAAAATTTACCAATCAGCACCAATTGGATTGAGATCATTGAATTTGGGTAACAAAAAAAAATAGTTACCTCTGATGTGGAATTTGATGATAACTTCCAAGATACATCTTCCTTTTCCTCTTGCAACACATCAACGTTGGCTTTCAGAACGTTAACTTCACCTTCAAGTTCCTTCACAATGTTATTCTTCGTCTCCAATTCATCAAAACATCTCAAGAACTCTTTCTCCACGCTATTAACCCTCCTGTTCTTGTCGTTCACAAGGCGGTATAACTGTTTTGTTCTTCTCCTGAGCTTCTTTGCTTTTCCCTCAAGCAACCCATTCTCTGATCTCAACCCTTGGATTTCTCCCACCAGTTTAAGATACACGATCAACAAATCTTGACCTCTCTTTTGTTCTTCTTGCATCGCCGATACTTCTCTACGGAAGAAATCTAGTTGAGATTTCTCAAGACTTAGCATGCTTTTATGATCCATAAGCATGACTTCTTGATCTTTCAAGTTACAATACCGTTCGAAACGCAACTCCATCTCGTATTCTTTCCTCTGAAGCTCCTCGAATCTGGATTTTAATCTGAGTATCTCTTCTTTTTTATGATCTACGCTCTCCGTTTCTTCTTCTTCCTCTCCATCATTTCTTCTACTAGGTGATGAAGAAGACTCTCGATTGCTTGTGGAAGAAGTTACTTCATTATCTTCTTTCCGATACACGAACCTGGCCAAGATCAAACCAGTTGCTGACAGGAAAAGAGCAACACCAACTCTCAGAATCATCGGCTTCATAGATCCTCCTTCTTCTCTTGGACCTGAACCATTCATTATTATCTTCTGTTAAACTATTAAAGCTTAGATTAAAGAACTGACTGATTGATCGTTCTTGTGAGGCTTTGATCAGATTTAAATGGTTTATACGACGAGTCATGGTGTTTTTAAAAATAGTTTTGATAATCCTCTTTTTGTTGTGGAGGAGACATGTCTTGTAAGATTATTCTTTTCCCTTAGTGTGCCTTTAACATTGGGTTTTAAATAAGACGATTAATTGAGGTGGGTTGCTTTTAGACCATTGCTTTTGCTTGCTTACTCGTTTGGGCATCGGATTCTCCACTTACACGTTTGTACTCCCACTCACACTTACCTCATGTAATGCATGATATGTAACATATATTTGCTACCTGCTAGGAGAGTTCCATACTTCCATATTGTTATGGTTTAATTAATTCGAAACCATGATTTATTTATTTATTTTCTTTTTAACAACGAGGCTGTTTTTTCATAGCTTTAACCTATAGAACCTCGTCAAGAACATGGTTAGACTTGCAATGATTAACACAAACAGTTGTAGTTTTGGACAAGAATATAGTGAAAGAAATAATATACTTCACAAGTTCACATGATCACACATATTCCTATAACATTAACTTTATAGTCTATCATGTAATTTAATTTAATTGCTAGATACTTAAACTGGATCTTATATTGTAATACTTGGGGTGAGATTTTGTTAATCTGATTAAACTTTTTAACCATTAAACTAACACAAGTTGAGCAAACTAAACTTGTTCTAATATTCAAACTGGTTATAATCGTCTATATATGTCACATGGATTCAAATTTTTATAGAAGAGATGAAAGATGAATTCGTGAACTGCTCGCATATTATCGTATAAAGATATATCACATTTTCAAGACAAATCACGTGGTAAACGTGACTGATTTGGATGATTTTTTTGAATCAAATACGCGTCCGGGTAATGTCGGACAAATAATGAAAAAGAATGATGTACCTAATTAAGTGTAAAACGATTCTATGTAAGAAAATGATTAACGTGATTAATTTGTTGACAAGAGAAAAGTTATGTAATACATAGCATTTCGAACATCATCTCAATACTACATGATCGAAAGTAATATGTTGAAAATAAGTATGTAACATGTTCAACACACTACTACATGATCGAATTGTGATGAAATGAAATAAGAGGATACATTTTCATCTATATCACATATATTTCATTTATATATAAATTCCTCGAGCACCTCAAAACATATGATATTCAGCCGACGGAGTCCACCATCAAATCTTGCTTCTCTCTTAAGTCAGTTGAACGAACACTCGAGAGTCGAGATCTATGCATGAAAGGTCCACGTGTCTTAAGATACGTGTCATGCGAAAGGCTACTTGGAAAGCAAAAAGGAAAAAATGAAAATAAATTTACGCGTGGCAGCTGCTGCGACTTCCTATTTACTACGTGGCGTCACCACAAAAACATAGCACTTACTATAAGAAGCAACAAAAGCACCTCGACCGGTATTCAAGTTAGAAACATTTCTAAAATCGCAAAATATTCCACAAATCCGTAACTGAGTTTTACTATTTCTCTCGACTCAAATAATCGAGCAAGGCAATGGCGTCAGATAAACAACAGAAGGCAGAGAGAGCTGAGGTTGCGGCGAGGCTCGCAGCTGAGGACTTGCACGACATCAACAAAGCCCGTGATGGTGACGTCACGATGTATAAGGTGACGGAGAGAACAATTGAGCATCCGCCAGAACAGGAGAGGCCCGGAGTGATAGGATCGGTGTTCAGGGCTGTGCAAGGAACCTACGAGCATGCAAGAGATGCTGTAGTCGGAAAAAGCCACGATGCGGCAGAGTCTACGAAAGAAGGAGCTCAGATAGCCTCAGAGAAAGTGGCTGGAGCAAAAGACGCAACCGTAGAGAAGGCGAAAGAAACTTCAGATTATACGGCTGAGAAGGCAAGAGAAGCTAAAGATGCGACCGCGGAGAAGATAGGAGAGTATAAAGACTATACGGTGGATAAGGCAGTGGAAGCAAAAGATAAGACAGCAGAGAAAGCCAAGGAGACCGCAAACTATACTGCGGATAAGGCCAAAGAAGCTAAGGATAAGACTGCTGACAAAGTGGGCGAGTATATGGAGTACACTGTGGACAAAGCCGTAGAAGCTAAGGATTACACGGCGGAGAAGGCTGTTGAAGCGAAGGATAAGACAGCGGAGAAGACCGGGGAGTATAAGGACTATACGGTGGAGAAGGCGGCTGAAGGGAAAGATAGTGCGGTGAGTAAGCTTGGAGAGTTGAAGGATAGTGCGGTGGAGACGGCGAAGAGAGCTATGGGTTTCTTGTCGGGCAAGACAGAGGAAACCAAACAAAAAGCTGTGGAGACTAAAGACAGTGCTAAGGTAGTTTCTTGGAACGTTGTGTTATTTCATGTAAATGCGGATAATGGTATATTATTTTTGTTATATATGGGTGTTTTTTTGTTGTTTAATAATGTAGGAAAAAATGGAGGAGGCCGGAGAAGAAACGAGAAGAAAGATGGAGGAGATGAGACTGGAAGGCAAAGAACTCAAAGATGAAGCTAGAGAAAGAGCCCGTGAGGCATCTCAAAAGACTAGAGAGAGCACGGATTCGGCAGCTGAAAAAGCCTACGAGACCAAAGATTCTGCTGCGGTTAGGTAAAGAATTAAAGAAGTAACATTCATTGAAGTTTTGATTTATTGTGTGATTTATTAGTGTGATTAAAATAAATGTATAGGGGGAATGAAGCCAAGGGGACAATATTTGGTGCATTAGGGAATGTAACGGAAGCCATAAAGAGCAAACTGACGATGCCATCAGACATTGTGGAGGAGACACGTGCGGCACGTGAGCATGGAGGCACGGGGAGGACGGTGGTTGAAGTCAACGTCGAGGATACAAGGCCGGGTAAGGTGGCGACGTCTCTGAAGGCGTCGGATCAGGTGACCGGTCAAACATTCAACGATGTTGGACGGATGGATGATGAATCTCGGAAAGAGAAAGGAAAGCTCTGATAGACTGCGCCTATGGGCTTAGGACAAGCTCTTGGAAACAAGATAAAGTCTTTTGGGCCTTCGTTTTGGATGCATCTGTTGCATCGGATAATGTTTTCTGATAATTTATGTTTGTTGTATTCTCGTTTTGGATTTTCTTCTAGTTTGTATTCACTCACTTAATTTTATGGGGTCGAATCTTCGTAGACTTCTAGAGGATTATAGCTGTGCTATGCAAGATTTAAGACGGGGTCAAGATTTAAGACGGGGTCAAAATTCTGTTTTCAGTTGCAAATCTGATTTTATATTATGTGATGTTAAAGTATTTGTTTTTTTTGGGACCAATGTTACACGGGCTTGCTTTAGTAAAATAATATTTTAGGAAGAGTATTTTGTGACGTATTTTTCGTTGCCTACAACACTTTAGAACTATGTCACCAAAAGTGGTCGGTGCGTATTTTATGGAAAGCCCAAAACTACTAACCGGTTAGCATCGTCGTTATGTGATTTGATATGAACGACGTGAGATCTGTTTCGACCGACGAATTGCTATCACGGATTTATGAATTGTTGTTACATGGAGAAGAAAAAAAAAAACATATTGGAAACAAAGAAAACCAAATAATTAATGTTTGTCTTGACCCTGAAGATGGATGTCACCACATGGGTTCCGATTGGCCTGTTCTTGCATGTTCTTGTGGATCAGTTTCGGCCAGTCACTGATATCGTACTTTCTTGTTTCGTTTCTATCTGCCTTTGTGGATTTTGCAAGTTTTTACATTAGTTATATTCCCACATGAGATGAAAAACCTTGAGTGTTACTATAACTTTTCTCCAATCCGTTTTATTTTACGAGAAAATTGGTACAAGAATTATATGTCTAAAAGGGTTTTATACATGTTGCTCACAAATAGGTACCCCATTATCCCCATCTGCATGGAATCGAGTATCGACCTCACTAAGATTGGTGTTACATGTTCTGGTAATTGACCTAGTTAATTCAATACCCTAATTCTTTTTTATTGGTTGTGTTTGCTATCTTTCTTAGCTACTTGCTAACTGCAACTGCTCGGCGTTCGCTATAGGTTTCAATTATGGTCAAAATATTTCAGGAGTATTATATGTGATTCAGATCTAAATCCTGGTTAAATCAATTACCTGATTAAGAGATTCCCATGATAGTCAATGATTTCAAAATTTCGATTTTATATAATCTACAAAAATATGGAAGGTACAGTAAGTATACAGTCAAATACTATGTATATCATAAATAAGTACAAAAAAATATACTAAAAACTGATGCTAAAATCCCGTAAACAACAAAAAAATCTCGACATTTCAGATAAGACCATCCTAATATTAAAGGAAAGGTCAAATTAAAGAGCCTGTATTTTCTTCTTATTTTGTTTTGTCCCTTTATTATTCAGAGTAAATTGATTCAAATTTTTTTTGCATTTATTATTTATGGATTAGAACAAGGCAAGATTACAGCCTCAAAAATTAATATAGAGAAATCAGAAAACAGATTTCCAAAAACCCCAAATGTTTGCCACGTGTAAGCCTAAAAGAAGAGGAAATATCGTGATAATAAACGCAAGAGCATAGCTGATAAAACCTCCTCCATCTCCGTCTTCAACTCTCTTGCTCTGCTTTTATAAGACGGTTCTCTCTGCTTCACCACCAGAGAAAAAAACCCAAAAAAAATAATTATTGTCGTTTCTTCATTCTTATCGGCGTATTAAGACAAGAAGAGTTGACGATTATTTAGGGTTTTAATCATATTTGAGGAAAATGGGATTATGGATTGGAAGAGGCACCGGAGATTTTCTCCTCTACCTTCTCGTGGGTTTCTCCGTCGCCATCTTCTCCGTTTCTTACGTCGTAGACACAAACCCTAACCCTCATAATCTCTCCTCCTCTTCTCCGCTCTCTGCCACCGATAAAGTTTGGCCGGTAATGAAAAGATTCTTCTCGACGTTAGTTTTTTTTTCATCTGAATATTCCCTCGTCGTTATATTGAGTCGCTGTCAATAAACGTGGATTGTATAGTTTAATTTACGTTTCAAAATTGATCCGTTTGAATGAGAAGATGCGTGTTGATTAGAATAATGGAGACATTCGATTTTCCTTACGTTATACCCGAAACCTTGGAAGAATCTAAAAAAACAAAGATGGAATGTTGACTTTTTTCTTTTTTTTTCTTTGTCTAAAATTGTGAAAAAATAGGATTTGAAGTTTAGCTGGAAACTAGTGTTAGCTACATTGATAGGGTTTCTAGGATCTGCATGTGGGACAGTTGGTGGTGTTGGAGGCGGTGGAATATTCGTTCCTATGCTAACACTCATCCTTGGATTCGACACAAAATCAGCAGCTGCTATCTCAAAATGTAAGAGAGGGTTTTGACTTTTGATGATGATGTGGAAATTGAGAAATGGGGTTATGTTTTGATGTTGTTGTTGTTGTTCATGTGAAAGGTATGATAATGGGAGCATCAGCGTCATCAGTTTGGTACAATGTAAGAGTACGTCATCCGACAAAAGAAGTACCGATCTTAGACTATGATCTTGCTCTTCTTTTCCAACCAATGCTTCTTCTGGGCATCACTGTTGGTGTTTCTCTGAGTGTTGTATTCCCTTACTGGCTCATCACTGTCCTCATCATCATTCTTTTCGTCGGTACTTCTTCAAGATCTTTTTTTAAAGGCATTGAGATGTGGAAGGAAGAGACTTTGTTGAAGGTAATTTGTTTTCTCTATGATCTTTCAAATTAAAAATATGTGGAGATACTGAATTAATGTTTTTTTTTTTAACAGAACGAATTGGAGAAACAGCACCATGGTTCCACGGTTAATTCTCGTGGAGAACGTACGTAAAGCTTCACACTTTTTCGATTCTTGTTTCTGTTTGATCTCAAAGACGTAAACTCACTACATTTTCTCTACTTTTCTTGTTGATTCTGTGCAGTTTTGATCGACACAGTGTATGAGCCGCTTTACCCGAGAGAAGAGAAATCAGAACTGGTAAGGATGTGTGTATGCACATTGTTTTTTTTTCTAGCTTCATTGTCTCTTCAAGATTTGCATCAAGATTCAAGAACTTACATTTTGTTGTTTAAACACAGGAAATTATAAAGTCCAACCTCAAGTGGAAACGGCTTCTGGTTCTTGTGACTGTGTGGTTGGCTTTCTTAGTCATCCAAGTTATCAAGGCAAGCAATTAATCTTTTTCTTCACTCTTAATCCTATAGCTTTTGGTTATCAACATTCTGAATCTTGATGTTGAGCTCTCTCGGTTTTATACAGAACGAAATCAAGGTTTGCAGCACAACCTATTGGGTGCTTTTCTGCTTACAGGTAAGATAATCCTCCTAACTATCCTGATCAGCATTTCGAAGAATGAATCAATCATATTGAGACCTTTTTACACTTGCAGTTTCCAGTTGCTTTCGCGGTGTATGGATTTGAAGCAGTGAGGTTGTTCAGAGAGAACAAAAACAGGCTAATCAATGGGAACACTGAATCAGTATGTGAAGCTACGATCGAGTGGACTCCTCTTAGTCTCATCTTCTGTGCTCTCTGTGGGCTCGTTGGAGGTGTCGTAGGTGGTCTCCTCGGATCAGGTGGTGGGTTTGTTCTTGGCCCTCTACTTCTTGAGATTGGAGTCATCCCACAGGTACACACACACAATCCTATCGATGCAAGATTAAAAAAAAAAACCAAAATCAATCATTTGTTTCTTAAACATTTCTATATGGTCAGGTTGCTAGCGCCACAGCAACATTTGTGATGATGTTTTCTTCGTCTTTATCCGTTGTTGAGTTCTATCTTCTCAAGAGATTCCCAATCCCATACGGTAAGATCTCTTAAGAACACACAACAAAGGTAACCTTATAAAGTAAGCAGTGAGAAGACACTGATGATATGGATCTTTTGTTTCATTGGCAGCAATGTATTTGATGTCGGTATCGATTCTTGCCGGTTTCTGGGGACAGTTCTTCATAAGAAAGCTAGTGGCGATCTTGAAAAGAGCTTCGCTTATCGTTTTCGTTCTCTCAGGAGTCATCTGTGCCAGTGCTCTCACAATGGGAGTGATTGGGATAGAGAAGAGCATCAAGATGATACATAACCATGAGTTCATGGGATTCTTGGGATTCTGCAGCAGTCAGTGAATCCTCAATATGCTTGAACAAGCTACGAACAAAAGGTTTTTGTTTTGATTTTATTGGCCAATTTCGGTTGTCCAACATAATCATTTTAAGGAGTTATAGAATCAGATTGTTTTGTTGGGAGTGTATGCGTGTACTCCAAGTCATTTGTGATCTGTACTAGGTTATAATACATTGTTTGCTATCTTCAGAAACAAAGTTTGTCAAAACTTGATTTGTTTTCATTTGATTTATTGGCCAATTTCGGTTGTCCAACATTATCATTGTAAGAGATTATGAATCAGATTGTCTTCTTGGGAAGGTAATTGCTTGTATTCCAAGTCTCTTGGTTAATACGTTTGTCCATCTTCAGAAACAAAGTTTCTTAAACTTATAGGTATTATTGCATCTTTGGATGCTTGCAATCAAAATAAAATAAAAACGAAGTACATTTGTTCGTTCACATGCTCAATATAATGTAACTACGTAGTACAAACAAACAGACATAGTTGGTAATAGTCCTAATTGGAGGGCAATAGATTTGGAGACTTTGGTATAAGTTGTTGACTTGCTGTCAATGACAACATCTTCATGAAGACAGTTGACTAAGAAAAAGACATCTTCAGACAAATCTCACCACATCGTGTATGTGTGACTCCCATTTTCCCAACGTTTCAACAACGTACTTATTGTGGTTCCGAATTTGTTGTGAACCACAACCACATGGTTAGAGAGGTTGCAATGGAATAATTCGATCATTTATACCTTTTGGTCCATCGACCATATGACCGGTCTGTCTATTTTAAATTATTGATTTCCTTTCCGAATTTAAGTCTAGCTTAGTGATATTGTTGGTCTAGTAGCTTGCGGTTAAACGTCAAATTCATAACAAACAAATTAATTGAATTGAGATACTGTATTTGAACTGGTCCTATAGATATTTCTTTTATATATATGATCTCTGATATAACTGACTTTAAATACTACAGAAGTACAGATGATGTGAAATTGATATCAACAATTTTGTTGGTCTTATTATAATACTGTGTTATCGATATTTCCAGCTTTTTGGTGGTAATTGGAATCGGTTTAAAGTATCGATTTGGAATAGTAATTCCCTATGAAATTGCTAACATACGCAATCAAATCTTCTTTAATGGGCTTAACCGTACTAAAATTATCATTCAATGGGCCAAACTATTTATTTTGGACTCACGGCCCGTTTTATTCCTTGAAAGCTAGGGCTCAGACAAATTCATCTGCCTTAAATACTATTTCGTTTATCAAAAGCTTAGATTTTTAGGGTTTCAACTGTAGAGAGAGTTTCAGCGCGGCGGAGCCATGGTTCTCAAGTAAATCAATCTCATCTCCCTCTCTTTCTTCATGCTCCTGATCTCGTATTCGTACATTACTGTTAATTAATGATCCATATGCATTTGGTACTGTTAAAGTTGCCGCTTTGATCAAATGAGCTACTTTCCGATAGAATCTGTTTATGCTATTATCAAAATGGTCATCAATTTGAGATTTTGAGATTTTGCGATTCGATATATGGTTAGAGCTTGACAATAACTAGATCTGGTTGTTCCCCTTTACTGATTGTAACATATCGATTGTGTTTTCTGATTTTTGAGCTAATTGCGTTAGTGTGTATTTGAAATCTGGTAGAATTTGTATTCATTGCCATTGTTATGCTCCACTCTGATTCTTAAGAATCATATTAATGTGTCGTCCTGTTTTGTGTATGTGATCCGTGTTAGGTTCGATTGAGACATTTTGAGTGATATCTCTAAACCCTTGACTATTTGACATGTAGGACTGAGCTTTGCCGATTCAGTGGACACAAGATCTACCCCGGAAGAGGAATTAGATTTATCCGTTCTGATTCTCAGGTACTTTACTGTCAAATTTGTGCAGTGTTTTAAGGAGCTTGCTTGCTTAAGTCTCTGTATTGATCATAATCTTTTATCTTGATGTTGATGATTCATTAGGTGTTTCTGTTCGCCAACTCCAAATGTAAGAGGTACTTCCACAACAAGTTGAAGCCATCCAAGATTGCATGGACTGCTATGTACAGAAAACAGCACAAAAAGGTCATTACCCTTTTGCTTTAGGTCTTGTTTTCGTTCTATTGGTTTCTGGTTTTGGTCTGTGACAGTGATCCTAATCTGTGACTTCTTCATTCATCTGATCTCTTACAGGACGCTGCAGCAGAGTCTGTAAAGAAGAGGAGACGTGCAACCAAGAAGCCTTACTCAAGGTCCATCGTTGGTGCCACTTTGGAGACCATCCAGAAGAAGAGAGCAGAGAAGCCTGAAGTTCGTGATGCTGCCAGAGAAGCAGCACTACGGTTAGTTCTCTTTCCCAACAAAATAACCTGAAAATGTGATTCGACTCTAAATGTAATTGATGATTCTGCAGTGATATCAAGGAGAGAATCAAGAAGACAAAGGATGAGAAGAAGGCAAAGAAGGCCGAGTTTGCTTCAAAGCAACAGAAGGCTCAAGTGAAGGGCAATGTCTCCAAGACTGCAGCTCCCAAGGCTGCTAAGCTAGGTGGTGGTGGTGGCAGACGTTGAATGGAGTTATAATAGACTAGTCCCCCACTCATCTCTATTGATTTATCTTTTCTTTCTTGTTTTTGACATTTGTTATTCACCAATTTTATTAGTTTTGCACCCAATCTAATATATTGTAGTACCTGAGGTTTTTCTCCAGCGTATGAAACTTTTTATTTCCCATGTTTTCTCTTTTGATCTTGATATGCGGAGTAGATTTGAGTGAGAACTTGGCTGTATTACATAGTTGATCAGTTTTGGTAGTTGCATAATTGGTTGAAAGTGAAGATCAACCTTTTAAAGGGGCATAAATGTTCTGCAATATCAATAACTTTCAGAACTTATTTTCATTGAAATCGCTTAACCCAATACAAAAAGCAATAACTTGACATGCCAATGCCATTGATGTTTCTGTTGGATTAAAGCTACAGTTTTGGAACACAGTTTGAGTCTTTGAGATCTAATTGAGCTGAAAGTAAACCGATACTGCCTCGCTGCTTAAACCATTCTCTCTTATCATCGATTTCAGTTGTATAAGCTGTTGAAACAAGGAGAAAGTAAATTAAGTAGATGTCACTTGAAAGGTGATTTAGATTAGGATTGATCAATGAGTTTAATTACCTCTTCCTCTAGCAACATCTTTTCTCTAGAGACAACATTGAAGTCTTGCCTTAGTGATTCATAGAGATGCTCGAGTTGTTTGTTCTTCCACCTGGCTTTCCTGTTCTGGAACCAAACCGCAATCTGTCTCGGATGCAGCCCGAGTTCTCTGGAGAGCTTCATCTTCCTGTCCGGGTCCAGCTTTATCTCTTCTTGGAAACTTCTCTCAAGTGACTCTAGTTGCTCGCTCGTTAGCTTCTTCTTCTTCTTTCCATATCCATTGATGTTGTTGCTTGCTTCTCCGTAGCTACTCTCCACCATTGCTAGAGGGACACGATGTCCATGAAGCAAACCTTGTTGTTCATCCACCATTGTTCCTGAAGAGAGACATTTATTTCCTTGGTTTCCTAAAAAATTAATAGAAGCACACTTGTAAGAAAGACGACATGTTGTTCGAGAAAACACATCTAATTAGAGTCAGTAGACCATAATTTGCTATTTGGTTTAGATAGTTGTAACTAATAATTATTGCACATTGAGTTAATACATAAGCATGAGAATATGAATTAGTTTTGTTAACCATAGACGTACCTGAGAAATAGTCAAAATTATGGAGAGGATAGATGAAGTTGGAAGAAGAATCGCCATTGATGAAGGGGCTACTCCAATATTCCATCCTCTCTTCTTCTTTTTCCTCTTTTGTCTATTTCTGCATACAACAATCACTTTCAACTTACAAGAGACAACGTTTTAGCCACACAAAGTATGGACAATTTTGGGTTTGATCTGGAACTTGGAGTTAAGATGAAATGTGAGTATTTATACAAATGTACTACATATATATATATATATATATATATATATATATATATATATACTAGTAGAGTACCCGCACGTTTGTGCGGTGTGACGTTGTGGTTTTGTGTAGAAAATTTAAACCCTAAATCCGACCCGACCAAAAAACTCTAATAAAAAATTTAAAAACTCAAACTTTTCTAATATGTCTAAACTTGAAAATCTGAAATAAAAAAATCCTGAAAACCCTGAACTAAACAAAAAAATCTGAAAACTTTTTCACCCGGAACCCAATCCAAATACCCTAATCAAAATTTTAAAATACTCAAACTTTTTTAATATATCTAAACCCGAAAACCCGAAACCCAAAAAATCCTGAAAACCCTAAACTGAAAAAGAAAATCCAAATACTTTTTTTGCAGATTTTTAAAAGCTGGAAAACGGAAGTTTTCTAAACCATCGGTTTGTTTTAAGTTATTATTCTTGTATCCAAACAATTTTTTCCATTTATTCTTCTATCCAAATAGTTTTTTCTCTTATTCTTGTATCCAAACATTACAATGTACTAAACTGACCCTAGTTAAACTTGTTGCCAAACACTTTCTCTTCATAATTAGATTGGTTTTTTGGGCATAAACTTTTCATGTACTTCTTAATTAATAATATAAAGATATATATATATACTAGGGGCAGGCTGTTACTTTATTAATTTACTAATAATTGTGTCTTATCATGAATATCTTTTTTTTTGTGTATTTTGTATTTTAATTTAATATGGGTAGAGTATTTCTTGAGATAAATAAATTTTATATGTCAATTGTATAGCTTTGAAAATGGATAATGTAATGGTGGAATTTAATGATTTCCTAATGTGGTTTAAGCTAATGATACAATGTTTGTAGAATGTGTTTACATATATTTTTGCTAGTCCAATTTTTAGTCGTATGAAAATTGTAATAGAATTTGGCATTTACTTTTTTTTTTACAAGAAAAATACTATAACGACCAACATAATTGAATTACTTAATAACTATAATTGAAGTATTGGCTTAATAAGTAAAATAAATAAATTACTGTTATTTAGAAATAAACAATAATTTATACATAAAAATAGAAAAGTTGTAAAAAAAATTAAAAATAAATATAATTTAAGTAAATTATAAGCAAAATATATGCGAAATATAAGTAAAATATGATAAATATGATAATTTTAACATGTTTTTTATATATATATATATATATATATATATATATATATATATATATATATATATATATATAAAATTGAAAGCCCCATCTGCCAATATATTAATATATCAAAGTTACGAGCAAATGTGGTTCTCAATTTCGAAAACGTGTATTCTTTTTTCATGGTTTTGAGTACTAACAAGGTATCTGATTTTGGGTTGACAAAAGTAACATAAATTGGAAACTCAGCAACACTTGGTGCAGTGGGTACATTTGGTTACATGGCACCTGAGTAAACAACTTGATCTCGTTTCTCTCTATATAATATATATCGTAGATTGTATGTAGTTACATCTCATTCCAAGAAATGAGTTCGTATAGGATAACTTCGCAGAAGTGAGTTCGTATATGACAACTATGCAGAAATGAGTTCGTATAGGACAACTCCAAATGCACGCAAGAGAATGCGCAGCTACGTCCGAGTATGTCCGAGTATGAATACATTTCTTTATCTACCTTTTTTTGTCGACAGGCAATTGGTACGTCAAATTTCAAAAAGGTCAAATTTTTTAATCATATGAAAATTGTAACTGAACAAGTTTACATGAAAAAAAACAAGTGTAAAAATTGAATAATCAGAGAATAAGCATTATAGTATGAATCAGTGTAAATAATACAATGACCAATAGAATTAAAATATGTAATAATTATAATTGAAACAATTGGCTTAGTAATTAGAATAATTTTGTTTGTTATTTATAAATAAACAATTAATTATACATAAAATGAAAAGAATTTCCAAAAAATTACAAAAATAAGCATAAGATAAGAAAATTATAAGCAAAATATAAGTAAAATATCAATGTAGACAGTATGAATAAATTTAATTTTGAAATATTATAATAGATATATAAGTAAATATGGTTGATGAACAGTTGGTCTTCTGTTTTTGACTTCGCCGTAATTAATTGACTCACTGTTGAGTAAAGATGAATATGTGTTAATGAATGGTTTCTCATTTTCTCCATTTAGGCTTTAAAGCCTTTAAATGGTTAACAAAAGGTTCACGAGCTAGAATGAGCCATGTGGAACTATAATGAAATAAATATGGTTAATAGATTTAGGTGCCGATGATAGAAGCGGTAACAAGTAGAAAAACAATTAAATGCAAGTACATAATAATCGTCAAATTTTGATTCACAATTTGGATGACTCTAAAAAATATTTCGAATTAGAATTCTATTTGTCGATAAAAGTGATCTACATAAAAAAAATTCCAAAAATATTTTAATGGAAAGGAAAGGAAATCAAAACCACACGAAAATCAAACAAAAACAAACATTTTAATTAACATCTGCATGTGCTTAAAGTTTTACACATCATATGCCTGTCACAAAAGATACTAAAAAATGTGTTGCTCTGCATGCATGTCTCCAATCACTACCATTCTACCAATATGTGTAAATTAAAAATGTGTCAATTTGTTTTTTTTTTTTAAACTGAAACCGGTATTAGTTCCTCACCCTTTTTGTTGTTCTCTAAGTATTGACTGGAAAGTGGAAACGAAGAGCTTGTGAGTTCTGAATGAATACGAACGGTAGCTTTTGTGAGAAAAGCATCAAAATAAATAATTGGTGAGCAATGGATAATATGAATACGTGTATCGTATCGTTCATGTCTTCATGAGTCCATGACTAATTAATGTGTATTAGTAAATGAAAAAACAAACAAGAAGTAATGAGTTGAGGAAAGGAACAGGAACATATATATAGGGGGAAAGGAAAAAGAGAGAATGGTCCAGATTCTACTTTTGTACAACTGTCTATCACGTCTTCTACCTTAATCAACCACCAATCTGACAATATCAATTCTGACTTCCACTCTCACTATATAAATGTTATTTGTAAAAATAGTGACCCCCACAATCTTTATTTAACACTGGAGATGCAGGAGTGCTACTCAAACAGAAATATCAGAACTCAGAAGGGTCCAAATCTACCACTGACAGTATTTTGGAGCACAGTGCACTAGTGAAAGTAGTATCATCATATCGATCTACGAGTTTATTTTGTTTTTATTGTTGAAATGTATTGATCCGGCGGTCAAAGTATGGACAGAAATGAAATGATGCAACGTATCTTCTAATGTTTTAAATAATCTCATTAAGTAGAACTATTTATGATAGTTTGATTGATATGAGCAACTTGCCAGCTTATTATTCAAACCGTATTTCGTAGATTGGAAAATTTAAGTGATTTGGTTCGTAAAGAATAAGAACCGGGTCGGGAATTTTGAAAATGAAAAGTGATTCAGTAATTGATTTACAGCACTTTAGGAAAATATGCTCATGAGATGCTTGCTCTATCGAAAGAATTGACGTATGGTCATGATGATTGCTTCGTCCAAACCCGTTTCAGTGGTAATTTAATTAGAAAAATAGTTCAAAGATACATAATGCGTTAAACGTACGATTGGTGGAATGTTTAACGCATTATATATCGTACGTTTAACGCATTATAAGCAAACGCTGCAAACCCTTTAACACAAAAATAACATTTAACGCATATAATGACATGTTACTAGACTACAGGTCCAAGTCATATGTGAACACTGAAATGTTTTTTTGTTAATTCAGTCATCTAGATTAAGAAGGAAATTAAAAATGAAATTAGAGACATGAAATGAAACTATCATGTGAATTCAACAATGAGCTAGATATTGATTTCCTGTGTAGCGATGCTTATATAAAAACAAATTTAGGTTCATAAGAAGGTAAAATCAGTTGAACTGTTTATCAAACAAACAAAAAAGTAAAAAATCTAACTAATTCAATGGGGATGATTGGTAGGGGCTGTGGTTGCTCTGTACAGCCCTAAATCTCTCTACAGCAATACAAAATTACCAATCAAGCTCTCATTTTATCTCTTTCCATTTTTGAAACACAGAGCAATTTTATTTATTTATGGAAGTTCCGTGGCTTTGGAAAGCAATTTTTCTATAGCACCAAATTAAGTGCTCTTAGAATTCTCTCTTTTCTCTTTCCTTAATAATCTTTCAACATTTATTTTTTAATCTATTATTTCTATATCTTAACTTTTTTGTTTTAATGTTATATTTAATGACACAATCTATAATAAAAAATCTTACAGCACTAAAATCTAGAATCACAGCCAAAATTTCTACAGCATTAATTCTACAGGAAAAAAATTAAAGCTACAGCCACAACCAATCAGGCCCAATATTTCATTTCCGTTGGGATTGGAGTACTTATGATCCTCATTCGTCACGATCCAATTAATTGAGAAAGAGAAGGTGATAAATTGAGAGAGTATAAATAGTAAAAACCATAATGATAACCTAAACGAGGACCATATATTTAGAGATAGAAATGAAGCTTAAGAGAGAGCAGTGCGTGTGTGTGTGTCATTGCTGAAGATTTTTAACATATTATACTTCTTTTTCTGTCCCAAGTTGACTTTTTTCGTAAGCTACACAGATAAATATTCCATGTTAGTTATAAACCAAAACCAACGGTTCATGATTAGAAAATATACGTACTTGCTAAGTAGAACATGGTGAAATCTATAAGTTTTGTTCTTCAGACAAATTTTTGACAATTAAGTTTCTTGTCTAGGTGTGTACTATTTTTAAGTACTACTTTGGGACTGTCAAGTGCCAAAACCAGTGAAGACAGAACCTGACTTTCCTTTTGCCATTATTACCTCTTTTTTGGAATTGAAGTATAAATTATCAATGTGTCCTCATCGTGAAAACAAATCTAACACATTCAATAGGAATATGGACTTTCGAGTAACAAAACTACACGTTTTAACAATTAAACACAAATGGTCCCTTTCAAACAAAAGTAAGGTCCTTATACTCCTTACAAATTGAACATGACCCCTTTTGCTACCAAGTTAGATTAGTCAAAGGCTCAAAGCCTATCTACAGTACTTCAAAATTTAGGTAACCACTTACATTTCTTCCAATGGATCTCTACTTTTCATATAAGAAAATGGGAAATTAGTCGATTGTGATGGTCACAAACTAACATCAAATCAATGTGTATAATCACTCAAATATGCAAAATGCAAACATATATTTTTTCTTTCTTTCTAACATTACTTGCCCATATAAGAAACTCTGTTACTGTATATCACCATTACAACAAGGTTTTTTAAACCCGAAACAAGAACAAAAAGAAAAGAATCACGATTTCTCTCGCCTTGATTCTGTAACAAACGGAGTATGAAGAGAAGATCAAATTCACAATGCTATACCCTAATTCAAGAACCAGATCATGACAGACAAACAGTTTTACCTTCAAAGTATATGTATTATATGCAAAGAGTGATAAAACTCCTCCCCACTATATACATTCCTTCTTTCTCTAACTATCATTTCACAGCAGCTTTCCTTTTCTTGCGTTGCTTCACATCCATTGGGATGATGAAGACAGAATCCACACAGATCCCGCCTTTTGAATGTGTGCAGTCGATCTGCTTCATCGACCACCGGACTTCCGTTGATGGTTCCGAGCAACCAACAACAAACTCTCCAACCTTATAGTCTCTCCACAATCCTCCTCCTCCTCCTTTGTGTTCCCCACTCGTTTGCTCTCCTTCTTTATCAGCCAAGTAATATTCACATGACGCCTCTTGCCCGTCTGAAGTTGAGAGTGAAAACCTAACCGGCTTTAGCTCCCAACCATGCGTGTGCTCGAAATGGCAAACCCGTCTTCCCAACCTTTTCGAGAATCTCCCGAGGTGTATTCTGAATGATAGACAGTATTTACCAGGTGGAAGATTGAATCTCACCACCCCATCTACTTCAAACCACCAAATCTGCTGTAAGTAAGCTACAACATGGAACCTGTCAAGGAAAAAAGAATCAAATGTATAAGCATAAGTAGACACTCGTTTTTTTTATGTTTCTCAGTGTAAACATAAAAACTTTGATCAGTCTATTTTCACAAACTTCAATTAAGCATTGTTATTAGCCTAAGCATTTCCATGTTGCCTTTCAAAATCTATAAAGCTAAGACACCTTAACACATATAGATACGATCACTTATCAAACTGTAACGCTCTTGCAAACTTTCAATCCTCATTTTGATCTGCCTAAGAGAGAATTGTTTCTATAAAAACTGTCTTTTGTCAAGATTCAAGAACCTGGCAAGAACTGAGAACCAAGAATCACCAGATTATGAAATTCGGCTCCTTTTTGTTTAAAATTAACATGATCACAAACCAACTAGTATTGCAGCAATCTTGTTATCTACTTGCTGAATCTTCCAAAGTTGAATGAGTGAAATTTCGGGAAATTAAGTACCTTGATTCTTCTGTAGCAATCCAATTCCAGTATCTGCGATCTTCGATTCCAGTTATAGCCATTCCTCTTGCCGAAATCGCCATACAAACCAATCCTGTCATTCTATCGATCCACACTTCCTGCAACAAATATCAGAGAAAAGCCTTAGATAGATTCCCGATTCCCAATTCCCAATTCCAAAACAGAGGAGAAATCTGAAATCCCTAAATCCCGATTCCAACAGACCTTATTACCATCGTCGAAAGAGACGGGACGAGAGAGCAAGGCGAATATATCCTTCTTCGAGAGACTCTGATACCTCTCCGGCGGCAATAGATGAAGCAGATCCCGGTAATTAAGCGGCAGCTTCTTCTCCCACACAGAATCCGACGAGGCCGCGCCACGGAATGCTCGATTGAGGCGAGCGAGATTGCAAATCTCCGGCGGCGTCAGGTGAAGAATCACGCAGGCGACGCAGCTCTCCGGTATGTCGCCGAGGCTAGGTCCGATTGCCGAACCGTTAGTATCGTTGTTTAGGCTCGAGAAGGACGATCCCATGCCTCTCGATAAACCTCCTCGTTCGCCTTTCAGTGCGTAATCCCTACACGCGTTGAAGAGAGAAGTCGTGACGCTTGAGAGCCATAGCGATGGAGAAGAAGTAAGTGTTGGGATGGCGAAGAGAAAGCAGTATTTTTAATTTTTTTTTATGTTATGTTCCTATCTCATTTCCATGTCTCTAATTGTTTTTTTCCGGGAAAAGTATTTTGGTTCACTATCGTTTACTATTTTACGATTTCATCAAATGTTGCTTTCTTTCTTTTATTTTACATGATTGGTTAACTCATCCACAAACTTACTATGAACACAGTGAATATACACTGTAGTGATTTGGATTGTTCAAATCGGTGGTTAACATTTGTTTAAATCTTAGAATTGATGAATGACAAATTACTAGTTTCGCCTAATCAGTCGATTGTACCCCTAGTGCCGACTAGTAAAATGAGTTGGGCTGCAAATGATAGTGAATAAGTGGAATCAAATTAGAGGAATAGTGACCGTTAGTTAGAGGAATCTCTAATAACTTAAAGGAGCTGCCTAGGGCCTCTCTCAAGGCACCCAGCTCAGCTTTGTTTTTTGCTTCCCTCCCAGACTGCCACATCAGCGCATTACGACATGAAATTCGCATCTCCTCTTTCCAAAAGCCCAGAGTCATTCTCAGCCCAACAAAGTAGATCTGTGGTCATCTTCTTCTTCGCCGCATTGTTAGAAAACCAACACGAAGAAACGATTCAGGCTCACCACCTGGACTTCAATCGTTTCAACTCAATGTAACCGTTTGCTCAGCTCTACTGCGCAGTCAATGTCTCCACTTTATGGCTCTACAGCCGGATTTCTCGCTCTCCGATCCTATAAAAACCTCTCCCTTGCAACCCACCAGAGAGACGCTCGATTCTTTTTATGGTAACTTAAATCTCTTTTTCTCCTTCCCTGAAAATTCACTTCTGTTTCTGACACATATATTACATAAATCAATTCATCGACTTCATAACCCTTCCACTTCCACTTCCACTTCCATCCTTTCATTTCGTTTGCGGTGGATTTAAAGAGAGATCGAGCGTCAAGGAGGGATCATTTCCGAATCTGATGTGCACCCAAGGTACGAACTTTTCTTATCCTCTTAATGACATTTGGCCGGATTTCTCTTGCCCTTATGTTTCTCGCTGATTAACCTTTGGGATTTGTTTGTTCATGCTGAATTTGTCTCATTTTCGTTAGTATGGCACTTTCGGTTTCTCATATCTAATTCTAGCATATGTATTGAATTCCTTTTTTTCCATCATGTTAAGAACTCAGTCCAATTTCAGAAGCATCGAGTTCCGAGATGATTAACAAGACCTTTGCGATGACCAAATCAGAAGCAGAGATGAACGCATGAGCTCTTTCGGTAAGCGAGAAATAGGAATGAGTTATTAGGGGAGTGTTTAGTCTTCTTTATCCTTGATTTCGCGCTGCCACCATAACTAATATCTAAATCGTCTCCATTCTTACATGAATTTCGTCGCATAAAAAGAGCCCCTCACGGTGATTGGGATAGGCCGCGAAGATGACAGTGCCAGTGAAGGCAGCGACAACGCAAAATGGGAAGAAGTAAGGAGTTGTTATAAATTGTCTTCAGTTTACGAGTGAAGATATATATTTGAAAGAGTTAATTTTGTGATACGGTTCCTATTTTGTTTCCTCATTCATTTAATTTGTGAACTGCTTTTTAGTTGACCAACTTAGGTATGGATACACAAACATATACACATCTTTGTTGAACACTCTGAGTAAAAATAAATACAAAGAATGACTCACTTAGAATAGTTTATAAGTTCGAATCTATCTATTGTTGTTTGTCTACAGGAGAGGTTTCATGAATTTTCACAACAAGTCTGGTTCTCCTGATTGATTATTCTCTTAATAAGTTCTTTGCACTTCAGATGTAGAAAAGGCTCACGGGTATATAAGTCCATGAGATGTTCTCTCCGAGTAAGTTATTTTGCTCATCTTCCTTATCTGCATTTTCTCCTCTCTCATTTCTCATTAACTGGTTTCTTACTCTTTCATATTGCTCGCAATTTTTTCAACCATAAGGATTCTTCCTTCGGTTTTGTGACTCAGTTTTTCTTACCCATCCCAACCCCATTTTCAGGTCTAACTAACTACCTCCCTCTTTCGTCTACGTGGAATGGTGTCAAATGGTGCTTTGAATCGAATCTCCAACTCCAACTTAGAAGACATTGAGCAACTATGAGGAAGTGCAGAAGAAGAAATACATGTTGTACTCTTCCTTATACCCTTTACGGAAAGGAATTTCCAATGTCATTTAGATGCTCTTCTTCCTTAAAACCACAGAATTAGAATATGCATTACATTTTGACATAACACGATGCATGCCGAAGTGTAAGTTTCCTGAATTCCAGTATTTTAATTAAACATGCAGACATTATTCCTCGCTATTTTGTTTTCTAATGAAACTCTTAACATGTCATTAAGATGTTTCGAATGCTAATAGTTTCGAATGCCCTGTAACAAATTTATTTAAGATGTTCTTGCGATATTGTTCTAAACTGTGTCATATTTATAAGAAAAGTATTTCTATAACTTAGATATCTGGTTAGAGATAACCAAGTACTACGAATTCATAGTTTACTTTATTATTTGGAATGAGAGGCCAAAGTTACTCGAGTAAACATATTCAACAAAGATAAAAGGGTTAATCCAAACTGGGATCTAGAAGAATAGAAGAAGGTGATGGGTGTGCTGGAAAAGCAAACCTTGGAACAAAAAACAAAACAAAAAGTCAAGGCATAAAAAGGAGATAGACAGGTGCAAGAAAGCGTGATCATGAAAACATTCTCATATTCTCTACGTATAGTAATAGAGAGCAAGACATCCAACCAGAACAGATGAAGAGCATAGGACCAAAAATTCATGTCTATGTGGCTGAGATACTAAGATGAGAAATGACTTCCTCTGCTTTGTTCAGTACAAAGATAATCGTCTTTTTTCCACTATAAAATATACTGTAAAAGATATGTGCTCTTTTATACAGAAGCAGAGTGAATTATGCAAATGTAAGAATGCAAGATTAAATCTAGAACAAAACCATTCCTTAAACAAATCATATAACAATCACTCAAAACTATTAGAGTTTTTGTGTGTCTCAGAAGATTTAAAGTGGAAAAAGAATATGATATTTTGAACCATATATTTTCATTTATAAATCACATTAAAAAATGTAATATAAGTCAAATATTATATTAGATTAACGTGTCTTTTATTTTAGATTTTTTTTATGTTCTCCAGAGAAATTATACAATATATTGATGACCATTTGGTAAATTTGCTTGATTTGGTAATTTATCATTTTATCCGACCGAGACTAGAAATAAAGATGACCTTATAAGTTATAAACATCAAAACATATTTAAAATTGTATCATCAAATTGTCTAGAACAAAACCATTAAACAAATCATAAAGCTAATCATCAAAAAGTAATTATCAAAAAGTTTGGAGTTTAGGTGTCTTGGTAAGAAAAGAATAAAATATTTTCTCTTTTAACTCTCATACTCTGTTTTTAACTAGATTTTTTAATTTTTAAAATCACATTAAAATGTATTATAAATTGAACATTTCATTTTAAATATCAAATTCAAATTCACAGATTTATCAGACAAATAATATTAATTATAGCAATTACCCGCGCGTCGCGCGGGATAACACCTAGTAAATATTAGAAAATCATAAAATCTATTACGCTGCTATTCCTCAGCCTTTGAGGAGGTGAACAAATTTCAGAGGAAAAGGGTAGTTTTCCACCAAAAAAGTGGGACCCACTTATTCTACAAAAAAAGTTAAAAAAATAGTAAATGGTGAATGTTTTGTGGAATGTGGCGTAATCAAAAAAAGATATGGAAAATTTAGTAGGCGAGAGATGAAAACTAAAAAATAATTGACACACCCGGTGGGACTCGAACCCACAATCGTTTGATTAGAAGTCAAACGCCTTATCCATTAGGCCACGGGTGCTTTTGTCTCAACAAGTACTTAGTATACTTATAAACGTAACCATATGAAGGGCAAAAATGAAATTAAGCGATTTCTTCTTGGTGATGTAAGTTCAAATGTCGTCGTTTCAATTGGTACAATTGCTTACAGTAGACCTTTACATGTGTTCCAAACTGAGCAGACTAAAGTAACAAAAATTTGATATTCTTACATGATGAGTCACTACTTAGTACTTACATGGCTACATATATGTACATTAGCGAAAAAAGGGAAATTTAAACTTTGAATGCTAAGCTAATTGGAATCGCATAATTCATCCGAAGGTAATCGATGCAGTTTACGTTAGATGAGAGATATATTTCTATGGCGATATGATTACAGGCTGTATGATTTGAACGGGTAGGTAACAAGTCGTGCTAGCAACAGTAAACATTATAACGAAATCATCAACGTTTAGCTTCAAAAGGATAGAGAACTATAGATTACTAGGGAATCTAGAGATATTATCCATAAAAGTGGGGGAAGTGGATTATATCATTGTAACTTGGAAAGATCAATCTCCTAGATACAAAAAGCAAAAGTCCCGGAGATATAATTTCACTCCGGTATCTGGCCGATACATTCTCGCCAGCAAAACAAGAATCTCAAGTGTTTTCTTCAAGGCAAGAAACTGATTAGTAACAGTAAGAAAAAGAAAAAAGTCTCTGGAGTCTGCTTCTTCTAATCCTCGAGCTCGATGATTTTGACCACAGCAGCATCGCCAACTTTCTGGCAGACCACAACTCTGTCATGTGACTTGATCACTCCGGCTTGCTTCCCATGGTCTAGAGCCACTTTCAGAACTGACTCATTTGTTGCGTTTGTTGATTCCGCCTGGACAAACATTCAAACATACACCAGATAAAAACACTGTTTCAAACACAGCCAAATTGTCCATAACACTAGATTTGCAAGTTCTTTTCGCAACCGGTGAATCAAATATTTTTTTATATTTTAGCGTAGATAAGATAAAGAGACTTACAGGGTGACGAGGGTCAGCGAGCATGGGGAAGAGACCTCTCACAATAAGTGACTGCCTTGCCTGAGACCATAATATACACAACATGGTGTCAACTTTTGACAGTAATCAGATCTAAGCAATTCATATGTGCCAAGGTTAAAAACAGGTTAATGCTTTTGCGTGTAGAACTTGTCAGATTTAGATTTCACAAGATGCATAATCATTCACAGGATTTGAAGTTTACAAGAAGGTGATACCCTAATATTCCAAAGAGTTACTATTCTTTTGAATCAAGTTGACGACTAGACATAGAAAATCAGAAAGTGGCATACGAAAAACCAAATTTCATTTTTGAAAAGAGAATTCTAGAATTCATTTTACCTCAAAGGCTCCGCTAAAGCTCCATTTGAGCTGATTTGTAGCGAGCCGTGGAATGACAACAGAGAGAACAGGCATAGTTGGCCGGTATTTAGCAATCAACCTTCACAAACATGGAAGAAAAATTCAGTACATAGTTACAGAGAGTTTAAACGAAGGACAGTATTAAGACGGAAGAGAAGGCATACCTTGCTGCTCTTCCCGACGAAGTGAAGCATATAATTACGGATGCCTTGACCTTGATGGCTGCCCGTACCTGATATCAAGCACAAGTTAAGAAACGAAGACGGAAATTCTCAACTTGAAAGGCAAATACTCAGCCTTTTTTCAGTTGTGTATGTAGCACAGAAGAGAGAGACTTACAGCAGAAGAAGCTATAGACTCCAAGTGACTCATTGGTTCTCCAACATACTTGACAGTCTTCTTGAAGAACAAATCTTGGTTGAAAACCTTCTCTGCCTATTAACAAGTAGTAAAGATGAAATCAGATGAGAAAGCTTGCCAAAATGCTTGAGATAATAAGAAGGCGGCATAAATAATAATACTTAAGAACTAAAGGTTTAAGCATACCTCAGCACAGATTCTACCAACAGTTGATATTGTTTCGACAGGGTACAATCCACGAAGGGTCTCAGCACCAAGAAGAATTGCATCACTTCCTGCGGAGCGTGAAAGGGAAGAAAACATCTTCAAGTTAAACACCAAAAATATGTACTTCCTCCTATAAAACATTAGCAAGCACAAGACTAAACATACCATCTAGAACAGCATTGGCAACATCAGTTGCCTCTGCACGAGTTGGCCGCAGATTGTCTGTCATACTGTCTACAACACGAGTGAGTACAGCTGGCTTTCCAGCCATGTTACACTTGTAAAGAGCAGCCTTTTGGAACAAAAACACCTGCAAGTTTTAGGGTCAATTTAGCACATCAAATGGCATACCACTAATAAGACACTGATCAATCTGATTAGAAAGTGAGTAAGGCTTTGATTTGGAGTGATACCTTTTCCGGAGGTAGATCGATACCCAAATTTCCACGAGAAAGAATAATGCCGTCAGCTTCTTGTAGAATTTCATCGAAGTGGTTCAGTCCCTAAAACAAATATAGAAAATAAGATATAATCAGCACCATTCCCATTGACAGTGAAAAGAAAAGCTACAAAGAGAGACATGTAAAGCAAAAATAAATGCATTTCACTTGCCTCTTCATTCTCAATCTTTGCAAATATTTGTGTTTGAGAGAGAGCACCCAAACTGTTAAGTAACTCACGGGCCTGCGTCGTGGCATAACAACGGTCATCATTCAAAGTGTATCAGAAGCTCAAAGTAAATAAAGGAGTAACACTTGAAAGGCGGTACACAAAATCATTATGAAAAAGAATACGGACATGGCGAACATCTTCTGCATGTCGGCAATATGATAAGGAGAGGAAATCAATCTTATTCTCAACTCCCCATGTGCTTATAACCTTGAAATGAACCAAAACAAAACCAAATAGTTGAAGCGCTAAACAGACAATCTAGAGTATTACGAGAGAAAGGACAAAATGGTCAACTGAGATATGTTACTTAGAAGCAACACTAACCTTCTTATCATTCTCAGTAAGGGTTGGCATATCAATGTGAACTTGAGAGACATGCAACGTGAACAGTGGACCGCCCAGAGTAGCAGCATTCCTTGACACACAAATAACATCATCTCCTTTAACTTCATCAACCTGAAGGTTTGTTCAAATGATTAAACTTCCAAAAAATTTAACACTGTATAGCTCTATATGCAAGCTTTTTGTTACCTCAAGCCAAACTGAAGTTGTTTCACTGCCAGTGAATAGGTATTGCCCAACAAAGATAGTGTCTCCTTTCTTAACAGACTGGAGAAAATCAAACAATAACATCCATCACACGCCTATAAACAAAAGCTAATAATACATACAAATTCCTCCAAAAATAATACTGAGAGAGTCGTATAGAACCTTTGCTAGCCCATCGAAGTTAATGGGAAGGACTTCAGAGGAGGCTTCTTGATCTTGACTGGGAGTCAAAGTTACAAGACCATCGGCTTTAAGAGAGATAGCTTTCTCAGTCTTGTTAATCACTTGCAGCTCAGGTCCCACAGTGTCCAGCATAACCTGGAGAAGCCATAAACCATGTTAATTTCATGAACTTTAGCTTATTCGCTACCAAATCTAAAGATCCAGCAGAGAAATAAACAGAGAAGAGAACATACAGCACAAAGCTTCTTAGTGCTCTTCACAGCTGTTTTCAGATTCTCCAGCGTCTCCTGGTGATAATCCGCATCACACCAAGAGAAATCGAATCGAGCCACTGCAAACACAAAAAAATGACACAACAATAATCAGTCGGTGAGAGAAAAACCCCAAGCAAATCACGTCACAAATACTGCGACTGGAGAAGAACAACAAAAAGCGCAAAAGGGAAGCCATCGATATTTACCAGACATTCCAGCTTTGAGGCAACCGGAGATCACCTCTACGGATCGAGATTTGGGACCCAGAGTCCCAACAATCTTAGTCAGAGCGGGGAAGAAGCTCTGCGATATTATAAATCACGCGAAATCAAAAACCTCGAAAATGATCGGAGAAGCTACTGCTTCAAAATGGTTGAAATAACGCAACAGATCCATTTGTAACCGAGAATCAACGAAGAACTAGGAAGAAACCAAACCATCACCATAAACACAGAGAAATTGAAAACTCACTGATTTGGAAGGCTCCAGGATTGAAGTCATCCTGATCGGTTCCTCGAGAAGGAGATGACTCGAATGCATAGCTGCTGATCGGAATTCGGAGATCTCAAGCGATCGAGCAGAAACACGGTGAGGAATTTTGGAGTGACGAAGAGGCGGAGAAAAGAGAGTGTAATTGGGTTTTTGATGCGCTTGACCGTCGAATATGCCTCCAAATACGACACAGTTTTTCTTTTAAAGGACAAGTCATTTGCTTTAGCTTTCACTGTTTCTTTCTTATAGCCCCAAATGTTTACAATCTAGTGAAAATAATCCCTTATTGTTTTATTATAAACTGTGAACCCAAAAAGATCTGATTTTTTCCTATTACTTCATTATTTTGACTGATACTATAGTTAAATAATGAAATCAAATTCAAATAATTTTAGAGCAATAGCATAAATTCGTGTATTTAGTATCTGTGTATGTACTACAAAAGACAAAAATTACCATAACTTATGTTAATTGTAAAGTATTTCAGATACTGAATGAGCAGTGATTTTAAAGACAACATGGATTAAAGTAGCAAGAAGCTAAAATTAAGGGGACTTGAAAATGCAATAAGCAATTTTAATATGTACATCGTGGAAACGGGATTGTCGTACACGTGGCGCAAAGAGCTGCAATCGTGAGGCTTTAGGAATTCCTCCCCAAGTTACTTTCTTGGGCAAGGGGTCAAATAAGCCTTACGCCGTGAGAAGTCGCGCGTGCTTCAGCTGATTTATTGCCTATCAAGCTTCTAGAATGATATTCCGAATCATGTTTATACATTTATACATCTGTTTATTCATTATGAAAGCGAGAAATGAGATGTGTAACATGTGGTCGTCTATTATACTTGCCTTTATAACGAAAGCACCATTTTTTGTTAGTTTTCACTTCGTAAATTTCATTTTTCCAATAAATGTATTAGTTTTATGTTAACGATTGTTACTTTATGGTTAGACTATCACAAACCCATGATATAAAGTACTCCTGGTCCTATTATAACTTTTTTCTTTAACAACTTAGACAAGATTCACTTTAGAAGTGCTGTCCCAACAACTATCCAACTAAATGAACAAGCATCCATGCTAATTTATCTTAATTATTGGCTAATCATCATGTGCTTGACCATTCGTTAATTTAGTTAATACGCCAATCATCTTTCATTGGCTTCAACGGTATGCTAAGGTTAGTAATTACTAAAGCCTCAAGCCTGAAGTTTCAACTCTTGTTTAAGTCTGGCTGTAGTTTTATACCATGCTGATCTCATTTTGATTACATGCCATATTGATTAATACTTGTGGAACACTAAACCCGTGGTTGGTTCCACTAAAAACTTATTATCGAAACCAGTTAATTGGCTAAATCTTTCTACATGGGCTCAAACGGTGTGCGAAAGGTTAAACAAGAGTTGAAACTTCAAGGCTGACTCTTCAACCGAAAAGGCAATTACGTTCTAGAAGCATTGATCAATCATCATCAAATGTCAACTAACCTAAGATCTTATGGGCCAACTTAGGCTTTAGTCAGTAACTTAATGGGCCTCCACTTAACATCAACCGTTCATGAGTTTTATTATGTAAAACAAATACTTGAAACGGTTTCATAAAACCACAAAACGTTACGTTACGAAAATTCAAACCGTGAAGACACAAAACATGGCTAAGAAAACTCCGACAAAGTCGCAAATCGGTGATCTAAGCAAGAACCTTGAAAACACGAACAAAATCCAGCGATAGATAAATATTACAAAGCGGCTGACAAATCAAACGCGACCGTCTTCAGTGGTGGCCAACGACGGAGACATCGAGTTCCTTGACTCGTCGAAATCCTCTCCCACCGGCGATTGCTCAACCCTGATCTCCTCAACCATCTTCACAACCTCCGCCATCGTTGGCCGTTTCTCCGGCTGCGGCACGACGCATGCGAAACCTATATGAAGCATCGCCACCATCTCCTCCTCAATGTTCTTATACCTCAGAAGCTCCGGATCAAAAACCTCCGCCGTCCACTCCTCCTTCACCACCGACCTAACCCACTTCGGTAAATCAACCACCGCTTCCTCCTCCTCCTCCACCGCCACAGACGCCGCCGATCTTGGCCTAGACGGAGACGGGTACATCGAGGGAGCTTTCCCGGTAAGAACCTCGAGTAGCAACACACCGAAGCTGTACACGTCAGCTTTCTGCGAGAGACGTTTGATCTCAGACTGCTCCGGCGCACGGTAGCCCCCTAGACGGGCTATAGCATGAACCGGGTTTAAAAGCAGAGATAAACCGAAATCGGCGATCAATGCGACGCCGTTTCTGTCGAGTAGTACGTTTGAGGATTTGACGTTGCCGTGAGGAATCTTCGAGATGCTATACTCGTCGTGAATCTTCGCTAAACCTCTCGCTGCTCCAAGCATTAGACTAATCCTCGTCGTCCAATCCAATGGAATCCTCCCAGGACCTCGATTACCTAAAATCAAATTTTGATTACTCAATTCGTATCATTTCAATAATTAATTAACCCAATTGGTGAAATCTGGAGAAGAGAATTAATTAACCATGGAGAAGAGAGTGTAAGCTTCCATTGGGGAGATACTCATAAACGAGGAGCTTCTCTTCTTTAGCGTAATAGTAAGCTCTGAGTTTGACGACGTTTTGGTGTTTAAGCCTTCCGATGATCTCCATATACTGCTCGAACTCTTTCCTCGGACATGGATTCGCGTCTTTTAGCCGCTTCACCGCCACCGTCGTTGTTCCGTCGTCGAGCACCGCCTTGTAAACCGTCCCTAAGCTCCCTTTCCCAAGCATCTCCGCCGATGCTTTCAACAGATCGTCGAGCTCGAACTGCTTCCTCCTCTCGAAGAACACTAGCCGGCTCCTATCTGTCGCCGACGTCGCGTCGCTTTCCTCTCCTCCGCCGTAGCTGCTTCGTCTCTTCCCTTCTCCTCCTCCGACGATTCCGTTATCCACGCTTCTGGATTTCGATCCGCCGCTACGATTTGACTTTAATCCTCCGCAGCAGTAAGCGAAAGCGAAGGATGCTAGGACGATAAACGCCACTCCGCCGCCGATTACGGCGGCGATTGTTACGGGTCTTAGCCCTCGATGGCCGTGGGTCGTCGGTGCTCCAAAGGCGACCGGAGTATGCGGAATCGATGTTGGATTTGACGGTACGATCTGATCTGTGTTGGAAGATTCCGGGTCGTTCGTGAAAGAGCAAACCGGTAACGGATCCGACCCGCACAATCCTTCGTTACCGGAAAAGCTCAGCTCTCCGAATTTCTTCACTGTACCGTCGGCTACTTTTCCGTGCAATTCGTTGTAGGAGACGTTCAATTCGAGAAGCGGTTTCACCTGAGAAAAATCCGGGATCCGACCCGTTAACTCGTTGTTCTGGAGCCTGATTGTTAGGATCCGGGTAAACCCGAGAATCTCCTTGGGGATTACTCCACGGATGTTGTTATCGGAGAGATCGAGACGTATCATTCGCTTGAGGGAAGAGATCTCTTTAGGGATCTCGCCGGAGATATCGTTACCGGCGAGGTACACGAGCCTGAGGTTGGTACAGTTTGTGAGTGGTGAAACGGTGCCGTTGAGTCGGTTATCGTGGAGGTCGAGAAGACGGAGCTGGTCTAAGGAGCAGAGAGAGATCAACGGTCCTCGCAAGGAGAGGGAGGGGAGAGAGAGTCCGGTGACGCGTCGCGAAGACGGCGAGCAGAAAACGCCGCGCCAAGAGGCGGAGCAAGCGTCGGAGCCGGACCAGTTTCCGGCGAGGTTGCCGTGAGCGTCGGTCTGAATGCGGAAGAGTGTGAGTGCATCTGTGTCGTTTAGAGCGAAGGAAACAGAGAGCTGAAGAAGAAGAGGCAGAAGAAGGAGGAGGAAAGGAAGAGGTTTAGCCATGGCGGATTGGCGGGAAAGAGAAGAGTGAGTGTGAAGAGAGAAATGATAACCTTTTTTTTGAAACCGATAAATAAAATGAAATTTTGATAATAACGACAAAAAAGTGGAATCTTTACATTTTGCTTTTTCTTTTGTTTGTTTTTTTACGGTCTCTCAGTGTCAGAGACGAGTCCAGAAACGATGGAGTAGAAAGAAAAAAAAAATGGATAAAACAAAAACTGAAGAAAGAAAAAACAAAAGTTTTGTACAAAGAATTGATTAGGAAAGTCAGGAAGACAAAGGAAAACAGAATAATGTACACTCTATGTTGAAAAGAAACATATGGTCTTTAATCAAGTAGTAACCAAAAATGTTATGAAATGATATCAACTAGTAAAATTTTCTTTAATCAAATGTAAATACAGTCTTGTGGATGTAAAAAAAATAGAGAGATGATGGTAAATCATTGGTGAGAAGATATTTTTTTTTAAAAGGGGAAAAGTAGGAATGGTGGTTGTATGAATGATTGCTGTTCTCCACTCTTTTTAATGGATGAACATAACCCTACAACTCCTAAGAAGTTTACCCAAAGTGTGAAAAAGTTATCCACAGTAATGCTTTTGTGTCTCAAGTTATTGGTGTAATTCGTATCAAGATTTAGATATTGAGTCTACGTATATTTTAAGTTTAATAATCCACATTCGGGTTCAGCTGACATTTGTGTTTCGATTTGATATTAGTAACAAACCGTTAGAAGAAAAAATGAGATACATGGATTGAAAACGGATGTGGAGAGTGGAGACTTACATTCAATGGCGGTTGAAACGTTATAATCAGTTACATAATCAATTTGTATCATGGAAAGATTTTCTGTTTGTTTGTAAGTTTATGCAGTATTAGGTCGACTGTATATGTTTTATTGTAAGAATATGAATTTTAGTTCTCTACTCAAATTGCAAGAGTTTCTTTTATCAATCCAATCATTTGAAAATACTTAATCTCGGAGCTTAGTAGTTATTGATCCTAATCATTGACATTTTAGGCATCAGCAATTAAAACTGTGCTGAAGCTTCAGTTTAAGTCCCCTTTATTTACTCAGGTATTGAACATCAAGCATCTTAACATCATTTTAGACCAAGAATTATGACATATTGCAAAGACATTTTCCTTTCTTTATAAAAGTCTTACTTAACTGTTCAAATGGACAATCCGGCAGCCATATTATACAAATTCTCAAGGAACGGACTCAACCCACAACACTTGGATTTGTATATTTAGTTCACAATTGTGATTGGAAGTTTCTAAAAAACTTGAATTTAAGGTTTACATAGTTTGAACTCCAAATTTTCAAAACAAGAAGAATATAGTTATGGACTAAAATTTGTTGATATAATCGATATAACCAACATTCTATAGGGTATATGATACATATATAAATCCATCATATAATTTCTATTATTAAGCTAAAAAAATCAACTATTCGAGTGAACTAGAGTGTACCGACAAAAAAATAACAAATAACATGGTGGAGGTATGATTGGTACGACGCGACAGTTGATGATGTTTGGAAAACAAAGGGACAAAGTCCGCCTTCCACCTTAACTTTTTCCCGAATTACACAAATCTTTCCCTTTTCTTTTTTACCAACCCCACATTTTTGAGACGTAAACTAATTTAAAGTAGACTCTCTCTATAGAGGAGAAAAGGAAGGCGCAATTGGCGTTGTGATTTTCACCCATTTAAACAAAAAGTTTTATCATAGAAATTTACTACAGTTAATACACTTCTAGTCTTTCTAATAGATTAGCATTGTGTGTATGTGTTCGTTAAAATTAAAACTAGGGACCATCACGGGGTGAACATACCTTTTAGCATGAGTTTCTTACAAATCCACCAGGGATTAAACAGACCGGAGATCATTAATCCAGTATTAACCATGACACCTTGTTATTAGTGACCTCTATAGTTCGATTTTAGTGATTTTATCTTCGTGATCTCTAGCTTGATTTCTTACTCAGACAAAACGATTTCTAATACCACCACTCCAGCAAATAACAGCGATCTAAATTCTAAACTATATATGTAGTTTAGTTCTTTCAGAAAATACTTCAAGTAATTAACGATAATTAGAAATGGTTTGGTATCTCTAATTTTCGTATATTATGGGGATTTTAATCATGTTTTCAAAGATTAACAATCGACTTACGATATAAATTTTAGATACAACGTACTTTTGATGTAAATGGAAGACATGCATCAAACAACCAAGTCGAATGTTTCTGTCTGAAAAGAGAATTTAGGATACATAGTTAATGTGTACGTAAGATGCAAAAGATACGCCATCATTCAAAATACTTAAACCAAGAAAAGATGATTCTAACTAAATTTTAAACATCATTGATCGAATCACACACAATTCTAGTTGAAAATTAAAGATCAACTCAAATCACCTAGCGAATAAACTTTCCTTAATCAAACAAATGTTCTGGCTCATAGATCTCCAGTTATAGTCAATGCAGACCTGATGGATTTCAAGGGACGTAGCCTCCTCGAGCTCTTTCCGTTCCGGTCGGCTTGTGTGTGTGTGCCGTTAACGCATGAATGTACGGTAAAATGTTAAGCTATCCTACTTTGGGCCTTGGTCCATGGGCAGCGAACATGGATTTGAAGAGAAAGAGTTTGCGTTTGGTCTTGTTTTGAAAAGGGAAGGAAAGAATAATATATCGAAATCTGTCTGTTTTTTACTTTGTACAGTTTTTGTTTGCGGATAGTTCTATTTTCTTTATTTCACCTTTTTGATTTACTTTGTTCAATTTTTTTCTTTGATTACTTTATTCAATTTAAATGCAAAATGTAGCTCATAGTTCGAGAGAAATGAATATTGAAAATGGAAATGATATTGTCGAAACTTTTCAAATCAGTGGTTTTCTTTGTTAAAATACTTCCTACAAAACTTATATATGTCTCTAAATGTTTCAAAATTATATTAGTTGTAAATTTTCCTTTTAAATAATATATAAGGATGAAAGATAGTTGTCAAACAACTAATTAAGAAAACTAACAAAAACAATTGTCAAACAACTAATTAAGTCATAAAAATAGTCCAATTTTCCAACAATACAATATAAAATAATATATATAAGTGATGATAATTTTGTTTTGCGAATAATGTATAATTGTGTAGACAATATCATTTATCCGTATGTTTTTCACGGGGTTGAAAATATGAAATTATAAATTTTGCATATACACGAGTACTATTTTAATATAATATAATCTCTAAGAAACCATAACCCAAAGAATTCACATTACCCTAATTTAGGTCAATGGCAAACACAAAAATTAGGGCAAAATCAGAAATTTACCTCATTGGGACAAGATTCAGCCACAAATTGTCTTATGTCTCAAAGAAAAACCATTAATTCTACACAATTTCTTCGAAATTTACCTTCTCACGATTTTTCCTTCTCATGATGATTTTGTAGTTGGCCACATAACCTAATATACATGATAGATGTTCTCATTCTAATCATATAGGTTGTGTAGTTAAGCATACATTACATTTTTATAGATTTTTGTTCATGTCGTGGCGCTTCTTTTTGTGTAGTTGGCAATCTCTTCTCTTTTAGAAAAACAAAATTAGAACAAGCCAAATTGAGCCAAAACCTAAATAATTTACTGCACACAAAATTACGGTATTTTATCATGATATTTAAAATGTTTATGATAACCAATGAAAAAAAAGTCCTGTAAAAATAAAAACTCTTTCTAACCATACTTAAACAACGTAATTGTTTTTAACTAAAATTATGTATTAGTATCTGATATAATCGTATCCAAATCTGCATAAAAATATGATTGTAATATACTTCTTATTTTGTATATAAAATAGTAGAGCGATAAATTTATGTTAATTATTTTTTATCAGATTTTCTTACAAATTAATTTCACATTTACCTTTTCGAGAAATTTTATAATAGGAATTAAAAAATAATTTATCTTAAAATAAGTTAGACAAAATTTATGATTTACTTCACTTCAAATATTATCTCATTAATATATATAAAAATATACTTACATATAAAGACAAACACATACAATGAAAGTTCACGTTTTTGATTTTTAAAATTTCTACTAAACGGCACAAAGGGTTAATATCAATAAGGAAAATGTCGAAAAATATTTGTTCCCCAATAAACTTAAATTATCCTTTTCCCATTTACGTTTATATATGTCATGCATGGAAGGCGCTTCTTAAATCACAAACTCTTTTTGTTTTTTTGTTTCTGCGTTAAGAAATCACAAACTCTCATTCTCTTGTCGTCTCTCATTTTCAGTTTCTACTATGGATCTAAACGCGAGCCCCGTTTCCGTGTCAACCTCAGACTCAAGGCCCATGTCTGTCTCTCCGGTCATGGTGACTCCCGGAGCAGAACCGGCCACTGTGGAGATCAAAGACGGAGGTTCGTTCTCTGTCGCTCCGGTCATGGTGACTGCCGGAGCAGCACCGGCCACTGTGGAGATCAACGACGGAGAGTCGTTGGAAAAGAAAAGAGACGAAAGATCGAGGATGTACGATACCAAAGGGAAGTCGATCGTACTGTCTGAAAGACAAGAAGACTCCTCGAGGATGTACGATACCAAAGGGAAGTCGATCGTACTGTCTGAAAGACACGAAGACTCCTCGAGGTTGATGAAAGGTAAAGAGTTGAGTTCTCGCAATGGAAATATCAAATTATATTGTTAATTATAGCTATTCGAGTTTGGGGAAGAGATTTCGAGACAATAGTCAGTCTTGAACGTCTTGGTATTCAAAAGATAAAACATATATTTACCAGAGCATCTCTTTATCCTAGATTTATGACATGTTTTGTGCTAGAGAGAATACTGACTAGAAACTGTGCTATGTTCAATAAGTGGAAATTATTAGGAAACAATCTCTTATCTTATTATGTTAGGTCTCTGGTAAATTCGTCATTACCAACATATTGTGTCAATTACAGTGAAATCAGTTGTGTCATTTTACAAGATATATCTCATTTTTTTATAAAATATGTTTGTTTCAAAACAATTGAGAAGATCTGGCATATGAATTGACAAACGTCGAATGTTGTTTTGAATTGTAGGTGTCGGAGGAGGAGGGGACTTCAAGGCACATATCTTCGTAGTCCATCCCAAAGAGGTATACAACGAGTACATACATATTTCTTTATCTTTATATTTCTTATAATTGTTTGTTTATTCCATATGTTGTTGTAGATGATAATTGCATGGTCTAGTTTTTTTCGATTATCTTTATTATATGAGTATTAATTACCCCCCTAAATAAACCATTTAACTCATGGTTTGGGATTTTGGATGATAGATATAAGTTTGAGTTGATAAGTAAAGCTTAGATAATGAATGAACTGAAATAATGTAACTGATCATAGTTGAGTTACGTTGAGTGAATCTGCTCAATTTACAGATCGAGGGACTAGAGAAATGATATCAAATAGTCAAAGAAACGATGAGTTTAGTTTAGCTTTGTTTAATTATATATGTTTGGTCTTTTGCATGTATATGCATATTTAGTGTTGAAGATGAGATGATAATATATTGTCTTCTGTGGTCTTTTTCTTTTACAGGATATAATTGGGAAGATAATGTCCTTCACGAAAAATGGTTCTCGCAGCGTCTGCGTTTTGTCAGCAAATGGTGAGATTTGCAACGTCAAGATTCAACCGCTAAGCTTCAACAGCAAAGTCTTGACGTTTAAGGTAAAATCTATGATGAACATTCAGTCCAACCTTGGATTATTAAAATTCTTGTATAGAATTGTTTGAACATGAATGCTCTAAACTTCAGTTTTGGATACAATGATGAAAAACATTTGTTGGTCTAGGATTCTTATGAGATAATATCACTGAGTGGTACAATGGCGGTGAGTCAAAGTGGAGAAGTGAGAAATGAGACAGGAGGATGGAGGATTACGATTGGTGGATCTGATGGTTTTGTCTTTGCTGGTCGTTTATTCGGTAAACTCATTGCAGCATCTCCGGTCCAAGTAAGAATAAACAAAAGAAAAAGCATCTTCATATTGTAATGTTTACACGTCAAACATTCCTATCTTATGATTCATTTTTTTTTTTACAGGTTGTGGTTGGAAGTTTCTGGCCAATTGTCCAAAACCCGTCTTGGTATAGGAGCAATGAGTCCAGAGCTATGATTGTTGCACCCACAACACAAAACGGATTAATGGGTTCTACACTCACAAGACAAGACAAGCAACCAGAGATGGGAAACCCGCCTCCTCGCTCTATGAACCGAGACTTGTGTGGGACAGGATCTGGACTTAACAAGAATTCTTGTCCAAATCTAAATGAATAATATCCTTAGAAAAGGAGATTATTTGCTGCTATTTCATGTTCCTAAGAGCGTGTGTAAGACTCCATTGATGCTAGATAAATGCATTTAGCAAAACTCATTTGGTCTTAGTTATATTTTCAGACTTATCTTTTCTTTTGAACGTTCATCAAATTTTCAGTACATTGGTTTGTTTACAATCCAGTGGACATAATGAAACTGTTTTGATTTACATTTCTTCTGTTTGTTTGTCTATAAATATTGGAGAATTTGCTAAAAAACATAAAACGTATGAGAGAGGAGAAAATAATTCAAGAAAAAACAAGGGGGAATCAAATTTGTTATTAGAAAAATAAGTTGAGCTTATTTATGTGTTCAATACTCAATAAAGAACATAGTAGAATAAAGAACATAGTTGCTTAAAAACATTAACTTCAACAGATAGATGATAATGCAAGATTAAGAGACATTCTTTGAGGCTTTGCGGTAGAAAGACCAATCAAGATGAGAAGAATCGATCATTGGCTGACCAAGAGAATGCTCTTTTATATAGGCTTGAACATCGGTTGATTTAGCAAGATCATCCAAGTATGAACAGAACTCTCCTTCTGGATCTAAAAGAATCAAAACCAACCAAGTCATAACCAAATAAACATGGATTAGTATAAAGAGAAAAACAACAAAATTTTAAAATTTGTCTCATATATACCAAGAAAATCATCGTTTTTGTCAGAAGCATTATAGCTCAAAGGGAAAACGCCTGTATTCTCCTGCAAGAACAGCAATATCAACTAAAGTTATTATCTACAACTAAACAGATAAACAACAATACTATATAGGGTTAAAGTATTTTACAGGGTTAAGAAGAGCTTTGTAGGGCTCGTTATCAATGAAGACAGTGTTTGAAGGAGAAAAGCCTTTAAAGCACTTAAACACTTTAGAAAGATCCTTAAAGAACATAGGTTTAGCACTGTTCTCCAGTGTCTTAAATCCACTGTCGGTGCACTCGTCTTGATCCTATAACAAAAAGTATCAGAAAATGTTTATCTATGAATAAGAATACTGAATACACACACATATATAAAAAAGTCTTACCCACACAAAAAGAAGCTTATCTTGCAGATTATCAAGAATGATGTTTAGGACAATATCAACATTTCTCCTACAAGTAAAAACCGAGAAGAGTCATATCATCGTAATATTAAACTGACCTAATTGAACTTGTTTACATCTAATCTGTATTTAAAAAGATGAAAATGAGGAGACTAACTCGCAAGCAGAGGACCAAATCCCTACTTGGAATCTCTCAAGGCAAAACTTCATGAATTCATCAGCAAATGGCCTCTTATACACTGAACAACAAACAAACAAGCCTAATTAAGGTAACTAAAGATAGAAAATAAATGGTAATTAATAAAAAGATAATGAAAATTTACATAGATTTGGCCCACAAGAAGCATCCGGTTCACGGTTCCTTGGCTTTTTCAGCATGTTTTTCATGTGGACTCTGTGTAGAAGTAGACCACTCAGACTCAAGACCAAGAGCTTCTTCTCCTCTTTCTTGGGTCCTAAGCTAAGTTTATCCAGAATCGAACTCAGCTCTGTCTGCTGCTCCGAGTCTTTGTCACATGAGTACTCATCGTCATTGTCGTCCGATTGAATGACGCTCTTCTTATTCTTTTCTTCAGCCATTGTTATTGTGATCGTGGTTAAGATCTAGAAGAAGACTATGTTGTATTTATATTAAGAGGGTTTGGCATTTAAAGTTTTAAACTGGTGGCGATTTAGCTTCACGAGGAGGTCAAAAGCCATTTACTTTTATGCTGAGTCAGAGCTCAGATGCTATTATTCCAAGGGCATCTTTAATCTGTGGGACCCTCTTTCTAGAAGAAAGGTTTATACTTATTGGGCCGTAAGCTTTTGGGCCCATGTGTAGTTGTTGTCATTTGTGTATTTCTGCCTTGACATTACTTCTCTTTGTCTCCAAGATTAGAACTAACGAATTCATTTTTACAGGTTGATATCTATTTGATCTGATCGAATTCATTTTTACAGGTTGGTCGTTGGAAGTTTCTGGACTTTGATCTCACATTCCCCTCATAAGAGCAACTCTGAGTCAAAATTTGTGGTTGTTACACTCACAATATCAAACGCACTTGCTTTCACATCCACAAAACAGGTCTAACAGCCAGAAATGAGGATCCTCCTCACTATGTGCACCGAGGTTGGTACGGGTCAAAAAAACCCAACTTAACCGGTAAGTTCATCAGAAAATTATTAATATCGTTTTATAAGATCCTTTTTTCTAAGCAAAAAAAGAAAAAGATCCTTGCAAAACAGAATGTATTTGTTGACATCTTCGGAGTTCGGAGAGTGTAAGGCTCCATTGACCACATTTGGTTTCGTTTTCTTTTCAATGTTTTCTCTTTGTCAACTTTCGTTAAACGTTCAGCCATTTGTTTCTTTACAATCCAATTAACCAAAAAAAAAAAAAAAAAACTCAATTTTCACCAACATGTTTCACATTACTTCTCCTTGTCTCAAAATATCACAAAGCCAATTACTAAAAAATTATAATAGTGAATAGGATTATAAATGATACAAGAACAGCAAGGACTAGAAATAATGTTTTCAGTTGTAAGCTAAAGAATACAACTGTTGAAAAAAAAACAAAATAAACTTCAACAAACATATGATTATGCATAAGAGAACATCTCTGAGGCATAAGTGTAGAAAGACAAGTCAGGATGAGAAGAATCGATCTTAGGCTGACCAAAAGGATGCTCTTTTATATAACCTTGCACATCCGATTCGCCAAATCATCCAAGTATGAGCAAAACTCTCCTTCTGGATCTAAAATAATCAAACCAACTCAAATGACAAACGCAGAAAATATGCATGGTTAAAAGATAAACATCACAAACTTAAAACTGGTTTCATACCAAGAAAATCATCGTTCTTGTCTGAAGGATCATAACTCACTGGAAACACTCCTGCAATCTCCTGGATGTACAGCAAGATAGTGTAAGTAACAACCAAACTAACATACAATAATAGTCCAAGAGATTAAAAAAGGGTATTACCGGATTAAGAAAAGCTTTGTACGGTTCATGATCAATGAATATAGTGTTCGAAGCAGAAAACTTTTTGAAGCTCTGAAACACTTTAGAGACATCCTTGAAGAATATAGGCCTAGCACTGTTGTCTTGTGTCTTACATCCACTGTTGGTACTCTGTTTTTGATCCTATATAAAAAGTGTATATTCATTAATGTACATGTGATCTTCTACTTTTTGCCAACCAGACAACCATTACACATATGTATCTATGTGTAACACTATAAGAGTCTTACCCACACAAACAGAAGCTCATCTTTCAGATCTTCAAGAACAATGTTAGAAATTGCATCGACATTACTCCTATCAATCAAATCCATAAAGAATTAAAAAAAACTATTAAGCATAGGGAAATGGATTTATCAAAATTAATCTGTATTAACAAAGATGGAAAATGAAGAGTCTAACTCCCGAGCAGAAGACCAAACCCCAACTTCGAATCTTTCAAGACAAAACTTCATGAACTCTTCAGCAAATGGTCTCTTATACACTAAACATCAAACAAAACACAATTAAGCTTACGTAATAAGAGGGAAACAAAAACATTATAATGAAATAATATAAAAATTGTTACCAAGATTTGGCCCGCAAGTAGCATCTGGAGAACGGTTCTTCGGTTTCTTACGCATACTCATACTGTGAACTCTATGAAGAAGTAGACCACTCCGGCTTAAGATCAAGAGTTTCTTCTCCTCCTTCTTGGGTCCTAAACTAAGTTTATCAATAATCGAACTTAGTGAAGATGCAGCTGGTTGACGCAGATCGTGAATCAGTCAGGAAGTGCATCAGGACGTATGGACGGACTTGTAGCGGAGCTAAGCGGAGCTTAACGGAGCTAAAGGATTGATGCTGAGCTGGATGCGAGCTTGTAGCGGTTAAGGACGAATCCAGAAGAGGCGGTAGCTGAGCTGGATGAGGAGATTTGGAATTATCAAGACAAAAGGGATATTTCCTATTCTTAGAGAAAAATAAGGAAAGGAAATATTCCTTTGGAGATTTGGAGTAATCACCAAGACACAACCTTGTAGGGTTTGGCGGTTCGTCTATTGAGGATAAATAGAGGACCTTGGCTGCTTGGAAGCGGCTATCACAAAACTTGAGAGCTTTAGCATATTTGGGTTTAGATTTCTTGTAAGAAAGCTAGGACAATGGGGGCTAGGGTTTGAGAGGTTCAAAGATCGTGGATAGATCTGAGAACGTGAGAGTTACTAGAACAATCAAAGATCGTGGATAGATTGTGATTGTTGAGTTCGTTTAAGCATATACTTGTAAGTTATCTTAAAGAATTTCTAGTAATATATTTCTTTGTAGAGAAAACCCTTGTCCCAGTTTGTGATCTACTACTGCATCAATAGCCCTTGGTTTTTCAATTGGTATCAGAGCAGTCACCTTGTGTATTGCTATAGCAGGTGAGATCTTGCGGAATTAGGGCTATCACCTGGACTTCATGGGAAGGTCAAAGGTGATACTTGATGCAGGAAAGTATGGATATTGGAAATCCAGGATGAGATTGAACATCCGAAGTATTGATGATATCACATACTACAAGTGTAAAGGCCTCGGACACACGCACCAGGAATGTGAAAGCGACGAGAGGCAAGGAAAACATGATTGGGTATGAAGAAATCAGTAACTTTGTAGCCTTTGCCGGAATTTCTGAATTTGTGGAAGAAAGAAAAGCATCTGAATCAGATACCGATGACTCGTCCAGTGATGAAGAAGATGAGATTGATATCTATGAAAGCTTCAAAGAAGTTCGTGATGCTTTGGTTGAAACCGGGAAAGAGAATCTCGAACTGAAAAAGGAGAATGCTCGTCTTGAAGAAAAGGTTGGAGAACTTCAGAAGGCACTTCAAGCGGAAAAAGATCTCAACATGGATAATCTCAATATCATGTTGGAAAAGATGGAAGCGGTTAAACGAGCAGATGACATCACCAAAGAGTACTTTTTGGAGAAGGAGAACTCCAGGAGTCTACAAGCTGAGTTAGATCAACATCGAAAGCAACTGAAGATGTTGACTGGAACTAAGGAACTCGACAAGATCCTGAGTCTTGGTCGTGTTGGGAAGTCAAATCTTGGTCTGGGATACTCAACAGGAAGTGGATCAACCGGCAAGACAGTCACTTTCGTGTCTGGAGGAATAGCTCAAGATGTTGTTCAAGCAGAGACTAGATCATCCGCACAGAAACCTGATCCCATCCTAAGGAGTGAAAATCGAGGAAAGACCACCATGGGATTAGGATATGAGGCTAAGAAAGTCAGTAATGCTAGAGCATCACATCGCCACAGAGGACATCAAGGGAAACAGTGCTATTTTTGTGGAGTTGTGGGTCATATCAAGGCGTTCTGCAACAAGTTTTGTGCTAGAGTTGATCACGCCTGGAGACAAGGACGCTACTACTGGAATCATGGACTGAACCAAGTCTTCATCAGGAAGACTGATCTTTACCAGAATCCTGCTCGACGTACAGCACCAGGTGGTACAAGACAGCGATTCTGCTCCAATATGGCACTATTTGAAGAAAGCAATGAGGTGGACAACACAGGAACGTGGTACTTCGACAGCGGTTGTTCCAGACATATGACTGGCATGAAAGAAAATCTGCAGGATGTGAAGCAGTTAAAAGGAGGAAAGGTGACATTTGGATGTGGAACCAAAGGAACTATTCAAGGCAAAGGACGAACATCTGAGGAGCAGCCACAACTTATGAATGTCTATCTTGTCCAAGGTCTAAAGTCAAATTTGATCAGTGTCAGCCAACTATGCGATGAAGGTTTAACAGTGTGGTTCAACAAGCTAGAATGTAAAGCCATTGATGCTGACGGAAAGGCAGTTCTACGAGGAGTTCGTTCAGGCAACAACTGCTACATGTGGGATCAATCTGCAAAATGCCTAAGTGTGCGAGATGATGTTGAACTGTGGCATAAGCGATTGGGACACATGAATATTCGCCATCTTACCACTCTGGTGAATAAGGAGATTGTTCGTGGTGTTCCAAAACTGAAAGGATGTGAGAAAATCGTGTGTGGTCCATGCAATCAAGGGAAACAAGTGAAGGTCCAGCACAAGAAGGTGCCAGATGTACAATCCAAGTCAGCACTGGATCTAGTACACATGGATTTTATGGGACCAATGCAAGTGGAGAGCATTGCAGGCAAACGCTATGTCTTTGTTCTAGTGGATGATTACTCGCGATACACTTGGGTGCGCTTCATTCGTGACAAATCTGACACCATGGCGAGTTTCAAGATTTGGGCACTACAGGTCATCAATGAGAAAGGAAGCATCAAGCGCATACGCAGTGATCATGGGGGAGAATTTCAGAATGAGGCTATGAAGAACTTCTGCAATGAACAAGGCATAGCTCATCAGTTTTCAGCGCCTAGAACACCACAGATGAATGGAGTTGTTGAGCGAAAGAACAGAACACTTCAGGAAATGGCGAGAGCAATGATCCATGGAGGAAATATTCCAGTGAAGTTTTGGGCTGAAGCAATCAACACCGCATGCTACATCATAAACCGTGTCTACATTCGAAAGGATTCACTCAAAACACCTTATGAGTTTTGGAAAGGAAAAATACCTAATCTAAGTTACCTTCGTGTCTTTGGATGCAGGTGTTATATTCTGAGTGACAAGGACCAATTTGGGAAGTTTGACTCAAGGAGTGATGAAGGAATCTTTCTGGGTTATTCAGGCAACAGTTCAGCTTTCAGAGTGTTCAACCTTCGGTCCAAGATCATAATGGAATCGGTCAACGTGGTATTTGATGATCGGTCAATCGCAATTATGGGAGACTTACCACTGTATTATGATCCAGAACCCAGGCGAGCTGAAGTACATGAAGAGGATCCCAATCCAGACAAGCCTGAGGATGAAGAGAAGGTTGAAGAACGAGCTGAAGTACATGAAGAGGATTCCAATCCAGACAAGCCTGAGGATGACGAGAAGGTTGAAGAAGTGCCTGACACGGTGGTTGCCGTAGAACACCCAGTGACTCAAGTTCATAGAAATCACTCATCAAGTGATCTGATTGGCGACATAAATGATGGACGAAAGACAAGAGGAATAAGGCTGAATTACAAGCAGATGGTCAGTATGGCAATAATTCAGTTTGAATGCTTTGTGTCAACCATAGAGCCTCGGAACCACCTTGAAGCACTTGATGATGCAGACTGGATCATCTCCATGGAAGATGAACTTGAGGAGTTTGTGAGAAACGATGTCTGGGAACTGGTGCCTCTACCTGATGGTGTGAATGTGGTCGGCACAAAATGGATATTCAAGAATAAGACAGATGATGTTGGCAGTGTTGTGCGAAATAAGTCAAGACTTGTTGCTCAGGGTTACTCACAAGTTGAAGGAGTTGACTTTGATGAAACTTTTGCCCCTGTAGCACGATTGGAGTCTATCAGACTGTTCTTGGGTATGGCTGCATACTGAACTTCAAAGTACATCAGATGGATGTAAGAAGAGTGCTTTCTTGAATAGCATTCTACAAGAGGAAGTATATGTAGCTCAGCCGAAGGGATTTGAAGATCCTACGCATCCTGATTATGTGTACAAGCTGAAGAAAGCTCTTTACGGACTGAAACAGGCTCCAAGGGCTTGGTATGAGCGATTGACGAAGTTCCTGACTGACACAGGCTACATCAGAGGAACAGTGGACAAGACTTGTTCATACTTGAGAAGGAAGATGATATGATGATGGTGCAGATCTATGAGGATGATATCATCTTTGGAGGAACTTCAGAGAAGCTGGTGCAAAACTTCGTGAAGAGTATGACAAAGGAGTTTAAGATGAGCATGGTGGGAGAATTGAAGTACTTTCTTGGACTTCAAGTAAATCAGACTGAGGAAGGTATCTTTATCTCTCAAAGTACTTATGCTAAGAATCTGCTGGTGAAGTTTGGTCTTGAAAAGTGCAAGGAGGCAAGAACACCAATGAGCACAACCACTAAGATTGGAAAGGATGAACATGGAGAAGATGTTGATGTGAAGCTATACAGAGGAATGATTGGAAGCTTGCTTTACCTTACAGCAAGTCGGCCTGACTTATGCTTCAGCGTCGGTGTGTGTGCTCGTTATCAGGCCAAACCAAAACAGTCCCATCTTCAACTGTCAAGGATGAAGAAAGATTGTCGATTGGGCAGGATGTGCAGATGATCGGAAAAGTACAAGTGGAGGTTGTTTCTTCCTTGGGAACAATCTAATTGCTTGGCTTAGTAAGAAGCAGAATTCTGTGTCACTATCTACTGCAGAGGCTGAGTACATTGCATTGGGAAGCTGCTGCACACAGCTTATATGGATGAGACAGATGTCAGCCGATTATGGGATGGAGTCTGGACCCTTCTTGGTCTACTGTGACAACAAAAGCGCCATTGACATATCAAAGAATCCGGTGCAGCACTCAAGGACTAAGCACATTGACATAAGACACCACTTTGTTCGTGAATTGGTGGAAGAAAAACAGGTAGTACTTGAACATGTTGTCACAGATTTACAGCTCGCTGATTTATTCACAAAACCATTGGACTTTAACCGTTTTGTCACCTTAAGAAATTCCATTGGAATTTGCACAAGTGGTTTTGAATGATGCAGGGGCTGATACAGGCACTGGCTCGGGGTGTATATAACAAGTTCAGATTTTGTTTGGAGTCAAAGGGTGCCAATGAGGATCAGCTACTTTGTCATGCCGTCATGTCACCTCAACATAAGAAAAGTGAAAAGTAAGTGATTCTAAGCATGTTCAAGGTCAAAAAGCAGTTGAGCCAACTCCAAATGAATGCAATATGATGGAGATGGCTTGCTGCTTCAAGAACCAAAAAGTGATTCAATGAGCATAACAGGAAATGTGATGAACTGACAACAATAGCTCACAAGGCTAAGTTGGTTCATGTGATTTCTCGAAAGACAATGTTTCACAAGAACAAAGTCTGACGACAGAACTAAGAGCTGAATAGGAAAGGGGATGGACTGACAACAACAGCTCACAAGGCTGAGTTGGTCCATGAGCTTTCTCGAAGGGTAATGTTTCACAAGAACAACATCCAACGACAGAGAATGATCACATGTTCTGCCTTGAACAAAATAAAGAGTTTCACTTTGCACATCATTGGAATTAGAGGTGGTGATATGATCTGGGTATGACAAAGTGAAAGCTGCAGGTTGGAATCAGGATGGCCAAGCGCACTATGAATCTGTTGAGAATTTGTAATACATCCTGATGCAAGTGCCGACTCAGTCAATGTCTCCTTCGCTAAAATGAAAGGTATTTAATTTGAGATAAACTGAGTAAAAATGTTTTTAAGCTGAAAAGATGTGACACATGGGACGGTATTACTTGTTTGGATTCTATCTTGAATCGAATCTTATGTGGTTGTCACAATTTTGGGTCCTTGTGCTGTACTGCTGATATTGGTGCTAAGTGTTGCAGGAAATCAAACAGGATTCTGGGTCTCTAAACCAAATTAATCCGGCTGATTTATGTTGATTCCGATTAAATGGTGTTTTGAAACAGCCGTCAGATCTACAAGCCAGCAATCTCCAAGCACTGCCGTCGCCTGACGAAGCGACTGAAGTAGCGACCACTACATCTCTGGTAGTGACCGCCGATGGTGTTTCTGAACCAGCAGAGCCGGATGTACAACAGAACGACGCATCAATGTCTCTGTCAGATCCATAACCAGCCGTTTCACCCTCTCGACGAAGCTCGCGAAACAGAGTCTCTTGATGAACTTCAACTAGGTCAACCGTTTTCGAACTACAGCGAAGACATAGTTCAATCTGCAAGGTAAGTTGTCCTTCTGCACAATCTATTTCAATATGTTTATCCATCTTGTGTTTTTAACTTGTGTGTGCTCACAAGCAGGGGGAGAATAGGATGTATCAGAGAACGAAAACTAGGATCTAAGCTAGAATTGTGGGGGAGCAAGACTTTTGATCTTGTTTGCTTGTTTTGAGTAGTTTTCGATCTAGAATTCTGGGGGAGTTGAGAGTTGAAAGTTCTTTGATCTTTTGGATTTAACTCTTGTTCTGAATCATGTTAATATTTCTATGACTAATGTTGAAGTATTCAGATCATCCCAGTATTCTGGTTATCTCTGGTATATGCATTGTGGTTTTGAGTTTTACAGGTGCTTGAGAGACACAAAGCTAAAAAGGGGGAGATTGAAGATGCAAGCTGGATTGACGCAGATCGTGAATCAGTCAGGAAGTGCATCAGGACGTATGGACGGACTTGTAGCGGAGCTAAGGAGCTTAACGGAGCTAAAGGATTGATGCTGAGCTGGATGCGAGCTTGTAGCGGTTAAGGACGAATCCAGAAGAGGCGGTAGCTGAGCTGGATGAGGAAATTTGGAATTATCAAGACAAAAGGGAATATTTCCTATTCTTAGAGAAAAATAAGGAAAGGAAATATTCCTTTGGAGATTTGGAGTAATCACCAAGACACAACCTTGTAGGGTTTGGCGGTTCGTCTATTGAGGATAAATAGAGGACCTTGGCTGCTTGGAAGCGGCTATCACAAACTTGAGAGCTTTAGCATATTTGGGTTTAGATTTCTTGTAAGAAAGCTAGGACAATGGGGGCTAGGGTTTGAGAGGTTCAAAGATCGTGGATAGATCTGAGAACGTGAGAGTTACTAGAACAACAAAGATCGTGGATAGATCATGTTTGTTGAGTTCGTTTAAGCATATACTTGTAAGTTATCTTAAAGAAGTTTCTAGTAATATATTTCTTTGTAGAGAAAACCCCGTCCCAGTTTGTGATCTACTACTGCATCAATAGCCCTTGGTTTTTCACTTAGTTCAGTCTGCTCAGAAACTGTGTCACATGATGAATTATCATCGTCGTTGTCGTCGGATGCAACGATGATCTTCTTATTCTTTTCATCCGCCATAGTAATTGTGAGTAAGATCATCGAGACTACAATATGATGTATTTATAATAAGAAGGTTTCGTCATTAAAGTTGGTGGCGATTTAGCTTCACGAGAGGTAAGCCCCTTAAATTATTAGTCAACCTTGTAATTTGTTAATTAGACGAGTAAAGGTCGATACATCTTTCCAAGGTGATGAAGCCGACAATAAATATCTTTCAAGACTGAAAACCTATAAATCGATCAAAGCTTTGTTTCTCGTTTTCGAACTGTTACACATGTTATGAGGAATCTTTGGCTAAATGTAATATGGCACTATGGTGATAGAAGAGGCAAAATAAAGGGTAAAAAAAAGGAAAAATATTGTTAAATTCTTTCATATTCATATAAAATCAAATTGTTTTATATGAATATGGACCAACAAAAAACATTGTTATTAATAATTATACGAGGTAGTTGGCCCACGCATGCGCGGACTTGAGTTGTTTTAAAAATAAAAACATTTATAAGCTAAAAATAATATTTTTCGTATTCATTTTTTTTTTGTCGGCAATAAAGTTTCATTAAAAGTCAATAAAGGACAAATCCAGTACAATTTCAGATCCAACAACCCTGCAATAAAATAAAGCCCAATAAAAGGTCCAACATACAAAACGATAAGGCTAATTGCATGTTGAACACGTGTCACAATCAACGGGTTGACGGGTGTGGTGACGGAAAACCGACTGCCGACTCCGCCGACGCAGTGGTTCCTGGTTCGAATTGCCGATGAAGACTCAATAGAGATCCATCAAAGGCCGATTTCCACTCCGAAAATATACTGGTTGTTCTTCTTCAGAACAGATTCCGCAGTGAACAGGAACAGAAATCTTCTTGCCGCCATAAACTCCATCTCCGACCACCATACTCTTTGAGAAACTTCACCCCCAATACCTTAACAAAGGCCCTTTAGCGGAGGGATGTAGATTTTACTCCCTAAAAATAGATGATAAGAGCAATTGATTGACAAAGAAGAAAACGTCCTACCAACAACGGATTTTGGCTTTGTTTAAATAGATCTAACAAATTTATCCAAAGACCAGTTCAGAAAGAAGAACAAAAAAAAACATGAAAAGAAAACATAACAAAAGAACCGAACAAGGTCGGAGATACAACCGGGCGATGCTGGAACTAAACAACCGAACCTGATCGGAAAGTATATACAGAAAATCCGATCTAAGTCGGAGAAAAAAAGAAGGGAGTTTCTCTCTCTGAAATATTCGAGATATTTTTCGTATTCCAAACATCAAGAGTTTATAATGTAGGAGTTTTATATGATATTTTAATAATTATGTAATGTTTTTATTTATTCGATATGATTTGAACAAAAAGACTAAATAATTTAGTTGTTTTGCTATTTTCCTTTTGATTATAATTTTCAAGAAATAAGATTTTTTTTTTCATTAGAATATCTTAAGAACTAAGAATTTAAAAATGCACAAAAAACTACTCTACACCCCACCAATATAGATACACCACCCCCACCCATCCATAGAGTACACCATAAGACCATCTCCAACCCCTCATGCCATATGTTATTGCAAATGGCAAAAATATAGCAATAGCATTGGGTTTCTCTCCAACCCCTCATGCCATATATCATGCTATAATTTTTTTCCAACTTATTATTAATTGTTAAAACTACTTGATTTCTTCAAATTTTACAAAGTGAATCATTTGTTTTTTTTTTTGCAAAAACAACCAGAATATATTTTTTTATTATTATAATATTAAAACAAAATACATCATATTACATAAAAATTATAGAAAACAAAGATTTTAACCTATTGTTTTATGTTTTTTGAATTTCAGTATTTTTAAAAATAAAATTTTAAGTTTATTATGGTTATGTTTTTATATTTCTATGAAATAAATATTATTTATATTTTGAAAAAGTTATGAGTATTGTTTATTTATTTAAATAAATCATAATCAATATAATTAAACTGTTAAATTAAAAGTAATTACAAATTGAAGGACTATTTTATAAATAAAAAAGTTCAATGGCAAAATAGCATATTGCATAATCTCATGCCAAATATAGAAGCAAAAATAGCATGATGCTATTTTGCAATAGCATATGCAATTGGGTTGGAGCAAAAATTATGGCAAAATAGCATATATGTCATATTTAGCATGGGGTTGGAGATGCTCTAACCATATAACAGACAACTCTTTTCATTTTTTTATTATTTTTTTTTTTGCTTAATTTGGTGTAGTTGTTGTTTACAAACTTTTGTATGTTATTTTAAGAATACAAATATATTTTTATTTAGTCGATATGATTTGAAAAAAATATTAAACGTCATATGCTCATGTAATTGTTTATGGTAAAGGTGTTTCTAAATCCCTCATATAACAACAACAATTACAAATCAAAATTTTCAGTACATTATTTTTCCGGTTTTTCTTCTTACTCATTCCTCCGCTCTCTATCTTTATCATATTCGTCTTCTCTTGTATCATTCCATTCTCTTGTATCAATCTCCTCCTCCTCTCTCTTTGTCTTTTTCTCTTCACATTCCATTTTTTTTTCTTTGATTTCTTTTTCATCATGCTTTAGTTTTCTTTGTCTTCTCTAAATTTTTCATCTTCTTTTTCATCGTCTTCTTTTATTTTACTCGTGTTTTTATTCGTCTTTGTCTATGTTTTTTTATTTCACCTATCAATTCATTCGATAATTTACATTTTCAAGGAATTGTGAAATAGTTGTTTATCTTTATATAGTCGAGATCTTTTAAAAATCTATTGGTTTTGTTATCTTTCGATTATGAATTTACTTTAATTGTTTTAGTTTTTTTCTATTTGTGAATGTAATTTAGAAAAGTAGATATTAATTTATAATCAATGTTTTTAATTTTGATATTCTTCCATAATAATTCATTTTTTTTTAAATGCACCAAAAACTAAACCCTACACCCATCAATATAAACCCTACACCTAAACCCAAACCCACTATGTAACACCACCACCCACACTTCATCCACCCTCCCCCTAAACAACCATACACCCTAGATCCTAACCATATTATAACTCCCCGTTCTGCCCCGTCTCATCCTGTCCCCTAAACAGTACACCATAACGCCACATTACAAATTTATTCTCGATTTGCTTTTATTATTTTAGTTTTCTTGAAAGAAGTTATCGTTGTTTTTATTTTAAATCAGAAATGTTAGTGTTAGATCTATAAAGAAAAAATGAATAATATATATTTTTATTGTTATAGATTGTAGACTCGTGGCACATAATATATGATTATAAATAAATCTTTAAAGCACCAAAGCACCATTTTTTTCAAAGTATGACAACATATCAAGAACATTAAAAAAAATATATATATATATATATCTTAAAGCACATAGCATAATCAAACATCAATACACTGTGTTTTTTTTTGTCTTCTTATCTTTCAATTTATCATCTTCTTATTCTTGTATTTTGCTCTTGTTTTCCTCTTTTATCAATGTATATCTACTCTAGTGTCTTCATATGCTTTATTCTTCTCATTTCTCTTTATATTTTTCTTTCGATTTTTATTCTTTTTTTATTATTACTCCCCACGTTCATATAACGTGATGGTGTCTATGGAACTGAATATTGGGGTGGAGAAGATGAAATCATATCCATCACTTCAAATTTTTATTCGGATGCGTATACCCTAAAAATCATGACTGACCCATAGATTTGTGTTTCTTTTTTATACCCTAAATCTCTACATATTCATGTGTTCTACAGAATATGTGGTACATGTTGTTAAAAACCTGATTGATGGTAGTGTCATTGTTTCACCTCAACAGCTACTAAAAAGATCCATAGCTTAAAAACTAATGATAAAAACATAGTAAAAAATTAAGGATTTAACAAAAGAAAATAATAAAGAACAAATTTTAAGTGATTTTAAGAGGTAGTAAATCTAAACCGGAAAAAAAAACCATGAGGTGGTGATCGGCGGTAAAATCGACCAAACGAAGATATGTTAACAGAGAAACACATTGGCGTCTCTCATATCCTCTTCTTCTTTTTCTTCTACAATCGAACAGTGAAAAGTATAGAGACTCAAACTCGTTTATGTCTACACATCCATCTTTTCGATCATCTGAAGCATGAAGATTCCTAGATTCTCTAAGGAATCGTTTAGCTCTTCATTTGTAATGCGTCTGTCTCTCTTCTTGTCGAACATCAGAAACACTCTTTTTAGATCCATATTTCAGCGGTGGTGGGTTCTTTTCGTTGATGTACCAAGAAGTAGGGAAGAGAACTCTTAGGCCTTAGCTTCATCAACATGAAGAACTTTGAAGTGTTGTTTATTCTACCTGAGACATCAGACATAATGATGAAAGTCTACCTGATATTCTTTAAAACTATCAAAGCGAATAAAATCTTATAGATACCAAATTTCAGCAAACAAAAAAAAGTAAAAGCATCCCTTTACCCTCGAGAGTGTGTGACTTTCTGAGAAGCAAACTCACAAATTTCTTTTGGTAAAGCCTTAACAAATACATTCCATCTTCCATGTCACTTCCACTAAGTGCATTTCTTCCCAAAAATATATGAAATCATCCGCAGCAAGGCAAGTGTCATATCCCTCAACTGCAGCAAGGCAAGTGCCATATCCCTCCACCGAAATCTTGTTGAGCAGACCTTTGTAGCAGCCACACAATCTGCAAAATCTTTCAATTTTATCCCTTAAAAGAGTACCAAACATGTAATCAAAAATTCTACGTACTACTTCAAATAACAATTAATTAATAGAAAAACTCCCGATTCATGACTAAGTAAGATAGTAAGTGGTAAAGCCATAATGAGAAGAAGAGATTAAATTGATGGCGAATTGTTGCTAGAGTACAAATCAGTATCGCTTTAGATTCACTTTCACTATTTCCATTAATTGCAGCTTCATGAATCCAAAAGCTTAAACACAGACATAAAAACCAAAGCTATAGGCAACGTCTTTATGTATATACATAAGACATACCTCCAGCTGCTTGTAAAGCTGTTTCTGTACTTTCATATGAAGCCGCGGAGCCTCTAGTAATACGTATATATAGTCAAGCCACACAAACATACAAAACCCATGAAAATCCATGAAACATATGAATATTTGAACACTTGCACATAAGAGACACAAACACACAAAACCCATTCAAATAAAATTAAGTACAAATTAAGATTTAAAATTCACCAGTGGAGGCGAAGACAGCAACATAGTTTTGTGGTTGCGGTGAAGAGAAAGGGTTCACGTCAACATTAAAAGCAAAAAACTTTATGAAACTAATAATATGGATACTGGAAAAAACAAAAAAAAACGTTATAGTCTCGCCATTAGAAATTAGGGTTTCATGAATATTAAGTTGATATATAAAAGAAAAGATGTTCATACCCTCTATTTTTCGGGAAGAATATTTCTGGCTTGGGACCATATCTGAACTTCTCGATTCCACCATCTTACAAATAATGAATTTCCTGTTACAAAAGTGAAAGAGGAAGAAGTTAGAAGCGGATCAATAAATGATATTGACAGAAGATAACAAATAATCAGCTCATAATTATATTTAATAGAACTAAGATCAAACTAAAACAATTAAGATACATGAAAAGAAGAAATATGAGATTTAAGAACTAAAATTACGTATAGAAAGAGGAATTGTAAATCGTAATGAGAATTATGTTGATTTTCCTTATTCGTATCTATTTATATAAGACATGGTCGGTTAAGAATCTTAGGGTTTACTTTTTATTTATCTTTCTAAAATTTATAATTTCTTCCAAAAATATGGCGCGGAATATGGTAGTTAGCCTTTTTATCTAAAAATATTTAAGTAAATAATCAAATTCCTTTTTAATATAAAAAAGAAAAATTCGCAGATTTAATAATAAATTTTCATTAAAGGCATCTGAGTAATTCCGCAGCTGAGAGTTAATGTGGTGGCTCTATTCGAAATTCTGACTTCGCAAATACTAGTATGATTTATATATAAAAAAATCTTATATCACGTGACGATAAAATATACAGGGTCACTATCGTCTCATCATCGTGAGTTCAAAGCTCAAAAGCACACGAAGAGACATCAAAATGTACAACTTTACAATAAAAACTTCAAAATCAGTAATTTGGACGTACTTACATAGTAGAAAATGTAAATCGACTTATCGACCAAAGAAATTTGGTAACATATTTAACATGATTACCAAAAAAACAATTTGGTAACATATAATCGAAAATGGAATAAAATCTAGACCCAATATTTATTACTTGTTCTAGTGATTACTTGGACAAAGAGCAAGGAAAATAAAAAACCTCTTCTCGTGCTGCAAAAGGCGTGCAACACATCGTTTTGGCTTCTTCCTTCGTATCTGACGAACCTACCATCTGATCCAACGGTCCTTATCAAAACAATCCAACGGCTTTCCCCAACCCGATTCCTCTTTATATAATCGAACCAGACCATCCGATTCATCATCAGCTACTCTTTATTCGTTCACTAAAACCCTCGACCTCATCGCCCTTAATCTCTCTCTCTAGATCTACTCGACCTCCGAAGCTATGGCTACTATCACCGTTGTTAAGGCTAGGCAGATCTTCGACAGCCGTGGAAACCCCACCGTCGAGGTTTGTTTCTTCTCGCTTTTCCGATCACTCTCTCTTTTTTCCCCTTTTCCGGTCACTCCCGGATCTGTACATTGTTTATTCGTTGTGGATCTGTGTTAATAACGAGAGATTCTCCAATCGTCTATGTGAATTGTTTTAACTGTATGAGATTACGTTTTGTGAGGATCATCAGTGTTTTGATCCCGGAGAAATTGAAAGTTTAAAGTTACGTTTATTTCCTCTGTTTTGGATCGTGCGTTTCGTAATTTTGAGAAGAAGATAGGATTGATTATGTTTATATGATTCTTGCGACGGATCTGTTTGTTATTACTGTTTATTCATTTATCTGATTTTCACGATTTGGATATGTTTCTGTTGTTCGATCTCCAAAGAAAACTAATGATTGACGGATTTCATGTGATGATGGTTTAGGTCGATATCCACACAAGCACTGGTGTCAAGGTTACAGCTGCTGTGCCAAGTGGAGCTTCCACTGGTATATATCATCTTTAAATTTATATTCAGTGATATATCATCTTTAAATTTGTATTGCTGAGTGTGTATTTGTGGAAAATTTTGTTGTGTATAGGAATCTATGAGGCTCTTGAACTGAGAGATGGAGGATCAGACTACCTTGGAAAGGGTGTTTCCAAGGTGAGATTTCTTCGTGGTCATTTGTTTCTGGATTTGAATAAATGTTAATCTGAATCTGATATTTTCGTTTGATTTGTGCTTTGTTGATTTGAATAGGCTGTTGGCAACGTGAACGACATCATCGGCCCGGCATTGATTGGAAAGGTATGCTCTCGGTGAATCAAATTTGTTTCTGAAGTTGTTGTGTAGAACGTGAACAAGGCTCATTCGTGTGTGTGTTTTCTCTTTATTGTTTCTTGCAGGACCCAACTCAGCAGACCGCCATTGACAACTTCATGGTCCACGAGCTTGATGGAACTCAAAACGAGTGGGGTTGGTGCAAGCAGAAGGTGATTCAATAGAAACTCATTTTTTTGTGTATTCACTCAATAATAAATGACTTGAGTCTGACAATATTTTGCGTCTTCTTTTTTTGTGTACAGCTTGGAGCCAATGCTATTCTTGCAGTGTCTCTAGCTGTCTGCAAAGCCGGGGCCGTTGTCAGTGGCATTCCTCTATACAAGGTAGGACGATCTTGCAATAAATTGGTTACCTCTAGCAAATAATGACGAGACTGTTAGTTTTTTAGTACTAGATGTAGTTCTAAGCTCTTCCTTTTGCGTTATGTAGCACATTGCCAATCTCGCTGGTAACCCCAAGATTGTGCTTCCAGTTCCCGCCTTCAACGTCATCAACGGTGGATCCCACGCAGGAAACAAGCTTGCTATGCAGGAGTTTATGATTCTCCCTGTTGGAGCTTCATCTTTCAAGGAAGCCATGAAGATGGGTGTGGAAGTTTACCACAACTTGAAGGTAAATCTTCAATTTTGTGGTATTACAGCTGCTTTTAATTGCAGTGTGAATTGCTTGACTAATTACTTTGGACTAAAATCTTTTATGACTTAACAATCTTCTTATTCTCATATGTTTTTGCAGTCTGTGATCAAGAAGAAGTACGGACAGGATGCCACAAACGTTGGTGATGAAGGTGGATTTGCACCAAACATTCAGGAAAACAAGGAAGGTCTTGAATTGCTCAAGACTGCTATCGAGAAGGCTGGCTACACTGGCAAGGTTTGTCTCTTAGTTTAAGTAATTGATTTAGCTGTTCTTTTCCCCTGAAACTAAGTTCATGAAGCTAATGGGTCTCAATCCTTTTTTTGATTCCAGGTCGTCATTG